GGTGCTCTCTTTATATTATTATTCTTTTGTCCTTTTCTTCTTTCTTCTCTTTTGGCAGGCTTGCTAATCTGCTATGTATTACCATACAACCTTGACGGAATCTTTGGGAGGAATCAGCTTGGACTCAATATCGGATATTCCTCCGGTTTCTCTTTTATTTTCTCTTTTATTTCATTTGCAAGATGCAGTGGATGGATGCATGACGGGGCAGAAAAAGATGTGTTGTGATAGACGTTCACTTATTGATTCATTTTGATCTTGATCCTGACACTCTGATTTTCAGTTATAAAGTCTAGCTGCAATTTATATTCACGAGGCCTCCCTTCCGAGACCCTTGAAATGGCCTGTGCAGAAAAAGTACCTACTTGCAGATGCCGGTGTGATTTCAAAATTCTAAGCTAAGTCCTCTTTCGTACATGTCATGCAATGGTGAATAATCTACAATTTATGTGACTACGTAGTTATCTACGCATAGTGTTTCAAACCTAATCTGGTTGACCGATATATTTAACTCTATTATAGCCATCTATAGATCAACAGGACCTTGTGAAATGTTGCACAAGACAACTTCTTTGACCAAAACTAGCAACTTTCCCCCGCAGCGGAACCGGACTGGCTCCTCTTTTCTACGGGCCACGGCATTATAGAGTTTCCGCCACCTCTTTTTCAATTGCACGAGACCCTCGGCATGACTAATGACACTCTCCATTTGACCGTGATGGGCAAGATCTCCCGGGAATGTCCCGTGCTCGCCAATCAGCGATCCTGGATTATAATGGCTGAGTCAGGCCATCCCCCGCCCAGACCGATTTTCCTTTCCGTACAATTCTCTGCCCTGAATCGATCTTTCTTAAAACACCTCGTGTTTTGTTCATTCGATTTTCTATCCTACCACCGCAACCATGGAGGCAATGCTTCAGCAGTCTCGTGCTATGTGCCCCTTCCTGAAGCGCACCGCTCCCTCGACGTTGCGGACTTTGTCGACCGCTACCCGCCCGAGCACCGGAGGCGGAACCATGTCCAATTTGCAGGTTCTCGCTCGCCGCTGCCCTGTCATGAGCAAGGCTCTGGCTGTCCAGAGTGCCCGGATGAGCGAGGCTAAGCGCTTCACCTCTTCCGCGGCCGGTGTGCCCACCATGAAGCCGTTCCGCGCTCCGACTGAGAAGCGGTCGCTGCACACCACTGGTGGCCACCCTGCCAGCGTTGCCCCGGGCTCCTACGAGAAGAACGAGCAGGGTAAGAAGAAGCCATGGTGTTTTTTATTTTTCTTCAATGATGCTAATTGGCCTCTCAGTTCATCCTAACCTTGCCCGCCCGCTCCGTGCTGCCCCCGCCGCCGAAGCCGCAATTCATGCCAAACACCAGGCCGCTCCTACCACCCGATTCGACTATAATGCATTCTACAATGGGGAATTGGAGAAGAAGCACAAAGACAAGTCGTACCGCTACTTCAACAACATCAATCGTCTCGCCCAGGAGTTTCCACGGGCCCATACCGCCTCCGCTGAGGAGCGCGTGACCGTCTGGTGCTCCAATGATTATCTCGGAATGGGACGCAACCGCCAAGTCCTCGAGTCTATGCACCAGACGCTCGATACTTACGGTGCCGGTGCCGGTGGCACTCGTAACATTTCTGGCCACAACCAACATGCCGTAAAGCTGGAAGATACTCTGGCCAAGTTGCACGGAAAGGAGGCATCGCTCGTCTTCAGCTCGTGCTTTGTCGCCAACGACGCCACTCTTGCTACTCTCGGCAGCAAAATGCCCGATTGCGTGATTCTTTCCGACAGCCTCAATCATGCTTCGATGATTCAGGGTATCCGCCACTCTGGTGCGAAGAAGATGGTCTTCAAGCACAACGACCTGGTGGACCTGGAGGCGAAATTGGCTTCGTTGCCGCTGCATGTGCCTAAGATCATCGCTTTCGAGTCCGTGTACAGCATGTGTGGATCCATCGCCCCCATTGAGAAGATCTGTGATCTGGCTGAGAAATACGGTGCTATCACTTTCCTGGATGAGGTGCATGCAGTTGGTATGTACGGGCCTCACGGAGCCGGTGTTGCCGAGCACTTGGACTACGAGGTCTATGCTTCGCAAGACACTGCTTCTCCTAAGAGCACTAAGGGAACTGTGATGGATCGCATTGATATCATTACTGGTACTCTGGGTAAGGCCTACGGATGTGTTGGTGGTTACATTGCTGCCTCTGCCAACATGGTCGACACTATCCGTTCTCTCGCGCCTGGCTTCATTTTCACTACCTCTCTACCCCCTGCTACTATGGCTGGTGCCGACACCGCCATTCAGTACCAGGCTGAGCAGCCGCGTGATCGCGTGCTTCAGCAGCTGCACACCCGTGCAGTTAAGTCTGCCCTGAAGGATCTGGATATCCCCGTTATCCCCAACCCATCGCACATTGTGCCCCTCCTTGTCGGTGACGCTGAGGTTGCCAAGCGCGCCTCGGACAAGTTGCTTGAGGAGCACGGCATTTATGTTCAGGCCATCAACTACCCAACTGTCCCCCGTGGCGAGGAGCGTCTGCGTATTACCCCGACCCCCGGCCACACCAAGGAGCTGCGCGACCACCTGGTTCAGGCCGTGCAGGCCGTCTGGAACGACCTGGGTATCAAGCGTGCCAGCGACTGGGAGAAGCTTGGCGGTTTCGTCGGCGTCGGTGTTGCTGGCGCTGAGGACGCCAACCAGCCCATCTGGGAAGATGCCCAGCTGGGTCTGACCCCGGCTGAGCCTCTTGAGGGTGCTATCTCTCGTGAGCTCGAGGCCGGAGTTCAGGCTTCCCAGGCCAACTTTGTCCCGCCTATGAAGACTGGCATTGCCCAGGGCACCCGTGCCTACTCAACCATCGCCTCCACCCCCGTCGGTGTGGTCGCCTAATTTCCAGATATTTTCTGGGGACACGGGATAATTCCTGGCTATTGTCCGTCCATTCTTTTACTCCACGAATCATGTTGATGCGCGCGCGCATTCGGTATCTACCTACATTTTTTTTTTTTTTTTTTCTTTTTTTTCTTTCCCCCATCACCGCTGTCAATAGGAGGCTTATTGGACCTCTTCAGTCATGTTGCTTGTGCATGTGCAAATGATCTCATCGATTGCATTTTGCATTCGATACAATCTCCTACTCGTGCATTTGTTTGAATATTCATGCAGATATACATACTTGTACATGGTCCAGTGACCTGTGATAGTTGGAAGCAAGTTCAATGGATTGGTTGTTGGGGAGAATTTGAAGTTTTTTTTATATCGTAGCTTGTAGTCGTAGTGACGAACCCCGACGGTGCTGTTTCATTAATGGTACTACTTTGAACCGAGTTGGTCTACCATTGCTTGCCGTTCTCGATTCAAGACACGGCTCCTAATGTACTCGGCTTCTACCATGCCTTGCTTCTAGCACTTGAGCACGATCTGAGCGTGACATCCCAATACGTCATCGCGCTCATAGATGCCTATTATTTATGGTGATGGTCGACACAGGCTTTAGCGAGAGACTCCAGAACAACTTATTGTTTTCAATTGATATCCGGTCCTATACGCTTCTGAGATGGCAATTGGCATGTAAGAACCGTTCTGTTTCCAGTGCTGTGGCCTCATTCTCTTCCTCATAGCAATGATCGCCTGATTCTTGACGTTCAACCTCGATGGGGCATGGCTTGATCGACTGCTTGATGTGGTCAAGAAATTCATTGCAGGCGCGAACGACCTGCAAAGGAATATACGCCTTGTATCAGCCAAATCACAGTGACCATAATTCCATTTTTCGGTTATGAATTGACCGGCATCTGTGCCTGATAAGAGTCCCTGAGATTTATTGTCTTGACTAGTCAAGAATACTTCCATGAGGGATGCTTTTGGCTTGCTTGTGGGAAGTAAGAGCTGAAGTTCAACTGACGATTTTATAGCCAGAGATCCTACACTAAAACATTAGTACATTCCCTACAGCAACACCTACACTCTTGATGTGGCTCTCCACATCAGGAAAATCCAGATATGTAATACGGAAGCCGGTTCAATGTATATACATACTGACAGGGATTACCCTAGATAAACTCCCATTATAGACTAGTGTGTCGGCATTGGGGAATATCAAGAAGGTACTCTGTTCATAGTGACATCCTTTCCTTCATTTCAAGGTGGACCTGTTGACCTCGCACTGACTCCGGGGTAGCATTTTAATATGATATCGTCCGGCTTGCTAGACCCCGCTGAGTTGGCTAAGCCCATCTCGACCCGGGGTTTTCAGAAGCCGGTCGATCCCTTCCTAAAGGATTCGAGCGGGGGATTGGGGTTGTGGAGTGTTGCGATACAGGGTTGAATCATTTAATCGTGCTTTCATTGGATCCATTGTATTGTGGGTGATTAAGGGGAATGATAATACCACATGATGTAGTCCTGCAGGGGTATATCAGGGGGTTTCTCAGGGTGGATAGCCGCCTCTCGATACTTGACACTGTCACTCTACAATAACACATGTTGGTAGAGAATCTGGTAAGCATCATGCTTAATATCTTTCCCTCGATCTGATCTGGCTTTGAGTATCTCCGCATCTCCACAAACAATCCGGCATTCCACCGAAGGCGGATGGATCCGCCAGAAAGCTTGGTCAGGGGTCAAGGTCAATGCACGAGTGGAGTGACTATGGCAAATGGTCTACATCACCTGGCAATAGTCACTCTGATCTGCACCAATTTTTGGATCGTCTTTAAGGGATTCTTGAGCCTTTGAAAATCGTTTTTTAATGATAATCCTCTATCTTTTCGTATAGATTAGCTTCCCGCAGCGACACAAAAAGGGGAAAAAGCAAGCAACACAAGATTAGATTTCGAAGATAGAAGTTAGTACATTTAAATTCAACTGATTGCTTATAATCTAAGGTCAAAAATCCCCGAAATTGTAACGTTCAAGCAATGTAACCATTCCCCTGCAGATCTGCAGGGGTCCAAACAACCAAAACAATTAGTATATATCCCTAGATTCAAATCACCATGCCCTCCCTTTTATTCCCTCCCCAGACTACGACTTCCCCAGATATTCTAGGCCAAGCCAAGCCTAAAAAGATCAACATGGTCCCAGGTCTCCCCCATGCCTTACTGGCCCTGGCCATGCTCGGCCAGGCCAGCGCCGCACCTTCGCATGCGCGCTCATCTGCGACATGCGGCACGGTGCAGTTTGATTTCCCGGCTGGAACAAACAAGAATGATCCCCGAGCTGAAGCCGTGAAAGAAGCCTATGTGCGCGAGTGGAATGAGTATTCGAAATATGCTTTTCCTAATGATGATCTCCTGCCCATCACGCATAATTATACCAATGATTTGTTTGGTTGGGGTGCTACCGTGGTTGATGCTATCGATACGGCTGTGGTGATGGGTCTTACCGATATTGTTGAGCAGCAGTTGAAGCATATCGCGTCGGTTGACTTTACGTATGTTTCTCTCTAGTTTCCATGATGGTGATTCTAATAGCTGGCCAGGAAATCCGCTTATCTCGTCGACTTTTTCGATGTGAATATTCGTTATATTGGAGGGTGAGTATTTCTTCATTACTTTCATGCAGCATCGCTTATTTATTATATAGACTTCTGAGCGCCTACGACCTCATCAAGAGCGGTGATTTCCCGAACCCGTATGATGATGATCTCGTGGAAGCCCTTTTGTCTCAGGCCAAGTCCCTGGCTACGGCTATTAGCCCTGTTTTTGACACCGTCACCGGCCTGCCTGTTGCAAATTTGAACTTTACTTCTGGGGAGCTTGTACAAAGCACTACTACTGTGAATGGTACTCAGTACAACAGTACCAATACGGCCCAGGCTGGAACTATGATTTTGGAATACTACCGTCTTTCGGATCTCACTGGTGATGAGTCTTTTCGTGAGCATGTATGATCAACAAAACTCCAAACTCACATGGAAGCAAGTGAGCTAATACGTTGAACAGGCCCAGAAAGCTGAAGGCTATCTGATCAACCCCAGCCCCGCCCCGGCTTTCCCTGGTCTGGTGGGTACGGAGCTGGACACCGAGACTGGCAAATTCATTACCCTTGATGGCGGATGGGAAGCCGGCGTCGACAGCTTTATCGAGGTAAGTAGCCATAGTAAATGGTTCTTTAGACATGCTATATCTGACTCTCCTAGTACCTTATCAAAACATATGTCTACGATCGTGATGATTCGCTTGCTTCTAAGATGAAGGACTTCTGGATCACCACCGCCGAGTCCAGCATTGAGAACATTGCTCTCCATCCCTATAACCAGCCGCAGATAACCTTCCTGTCTCAACTGGATGTCAATGGTAGCATCATGTGGACCATGGATGATTATGTATGGCCATCTGATCAAGTCTGCCACCGATTGATAGACTGATATTATAATAGGCCTGTTTTGCTGGTGGTAACTTACTGCTCGGTGGTAAATACCTCGACCGTCCCGATATCACTGAACTTGGTGTGAGGGTATCTGACAGCTGCCACTTGTGGTACAACCAGACTCTTACTGGACTGGGACCTTCCTGTAAGGATTGACTCTTCACTTCTAATTTGCACCCGGTAATCTTAACTAACAATGCCCAGCGATCGGTTGGTACAACGCTAGCAACCAGCCCTACGACTCATCATACAATAACGCCACATATCGTGCCGAAGCCTCCAAGTATGGATACTTCATCGAAGACCCTTCTTACCGCTCTTACCCTGAGCCTCTGGAGAGCATCTTCTACGCATACCGCGTCACCGGTGATGAGCGCTGGCAAGATTACAACTGGGAGATCTTCAATGCGCTGAATACCACTCGCTCGACGTCTGTGCCTTATGCCGAGATTACTGATGTCAATGAACCTTATGGTGGCACGCTGGTCAACTATGTTTCCAGGTGAGTTCCTCGATGTTTGAAGCCATGATCAGCTTTGCTAATTCTGGTATTTAGCTTTTACTTCGCTGAGGTTCTGAAATATCTTTATCTCTCTTTTGCTGAGCCCGATGTTGTTAGCTTGGATAAGTATGTGTTTAACACAGAGTGTCATCCCTTTACTATCAAGAAGACTTGTTAAAAGTCTTTTGTAATTTTGCGCAGTGGAAGAGATGTGGATGTGTTGGCTGTTGATTCGTAAAGTCAGCAATCAGCGGAAGACTGTACATATGGAATGAATCTGTATTGAAGAGAAACCTTATCTACAACGGATCAACAAATTATTTGAAGCTACAGCCGCAATTTTTCGCATTGCAGATTCAAAAACGAAAGGGCGCGTGCTTATTCGCAATCACGTTACGACTATGCACTGGGGCTGCAATCCGACTGGACCCGAAAATCAGGAACACGCGCTTGAATCCGGTTTTGGGGTTTTGCGGTTAAAATTAGTTTTCACATACATTGCTGATGAAAGACTAAGGAACTAAGACCGTCTGACGTCGTATGGCGCTTTGACTTGTAGTCATTGATTGTCTGATGCGTCTATCTACATTCTGGTTTATATGGTAGCGAAGCGGGTTGATGATTAGCCGCCTATCGACTAACGTTTTGCCGTCGGAGTTGACCGACAGATAACAATAAACTTGGAAGAATAGGAATGGGACCACAGCACTTAGTGGTCGATGTAGGTCTGGATGTAGGTTCTCGGTCATTTTCCGTTGCATTTCCATGTAAGGGCGTGGACGTAAGTGGTGTGGTGTCTTTCGGCGGCTTACGGGTCCTAATTATTGGGCGCAGACAGGTTGTACGTGTGATTCCTGTTGATCAAGCCAAGAGCCTTGACTTCCCTGGGCGTAAGACGAAGTCCACATACTTCAGTCGTTATGAAACCTCGGCCCTTTCTGCTGATCATTGTACATTCTTGTTCATACCTGTTAAAATGTCCATATAGAATTTCCAAGTACCTGGTAGATACCCCAGGCATTCGATTTCAAAATCCGGAGATTTAAAAAAGCGGATAACCTCGTGGTCCTCCACGCACACTGTTAGGTATAACATGTGGAAATGCAATCTGGAGAGTCGTGTTCGAGAAAATACAACACTTTATTGGTGTCTGATGAATCAATGATTGAATTATGACAACATTCCACGCTTAGCCCCCTGCTAACCCCTCCTCTTGCCCCACTGACAAAGACAGTCATTGGCAAATGCAGAACGAATGCGAAGCACTCCATGCAGTCCGGATGTAAAGGAGGCAATCCCCCATGGATTGACGTAGGATGGATCGAAATGACGTCGACGTCGGGTTGCCGACGATCCGAGCCCCACGGCCCGTGAGGCGCGCCAGCTGTAACAGGTTTTCCCGTTTCTTATTAATCTTTTCCCAACATCATTGAACCATTCAGAATGCAATTTGATTGGATAAAGGTGGAGTAGCGTGGTTCGGACGAATCATTTACAGGATTCGTCCCGTCGGGTCTGATAGTATGGGGAATCATTGTCGTTGCGTTCGGGTTTCCTGTTCAGGAATTTGATCAAGCAATCAAAGATGGCGACACCGATTTGATGTGGATCAGTTGGTCATGTATATAAATCACTGGAGCCATTTGAGATATCTGATTCTGCTATTTTGTATTTTGTTTTGTATTACTTGAAGTTTCAATTCTCCTGGACTTTTGAGTCCACTTTTATATTTTGATACCCCATACCCACAGCCTTGCCTCCACTTTCATACTATACAAGCACCACCTAAACAATTCGCCCCTGGATATACCAGGCCCATTCCACTTGCCACATGGCTTCCCCGGCGCACTCTTCGCTTTTCGAGAAGCGGGAGGAGGATAAGGAGGAACAAGCCCAGAAACAACTCGAGGCCGAGAAAAAGACTGACCGAGGCGACGATGCCCACGCCGAAAACGCTTCCGAATCGGACGAGACCAGCCGAGAATACACACCGAAGATTGAGAAATCTGGCAAGCGCGAGCTCACGGAAGATGACTGCTATGACAAGTTGGGCTTCTGCTTTCCCACATGGAGGAAGTGGATGATCCTCACGGTTATTTTCGTGGTGCAGATGTCCATGAACTTCAACTCCGGTGTCTACTCCAATGCTGTGACAGGTATGACCGAGGAGTTTGGTATCAGTGAGCAAGCTGCGCGTGTTGGCCAAGCTGTCTTCCTCATTGCTTATGCCTTTGGATGTGAGCTTTGGGCTCCCTGGTCCGAGGAGTTTGGTCGCTGGCCCATCATGCAGCTCTCACTGTTCTTTGTGAATATCTGGCAAATCCCCTGTGCGCTCGCACCAAACTTCGGCACGATTGTCGTTTGCCGTATCCTGGGCGGTCTTAGCTCGGCAGGTGGCTCGGTCACTCTGGGTATGACTGCTGATATGTGGGAAGCCGATGACCAGGGTTACGCTGTTGCCTACGTCGTGCTCTCGTCCGTGGGTGGATCGACGATCGGTCCATTTTTCGGTGGTATTATCGGGCAATACCTCTCATGGCCCTGGATCTTCTGGATTCAGCTGATCTTCGGTGGAGTCACTCAAGCTCTACACTTCTTCCTTGTCCCGGAGACACGATCTACGATTATGGTCGATAATGAAGCGAAACGCCGCAGAAAGAGTGGCGAAGAAGAAGTCTACGGTCCTAATGAGTTGAAGACTCCTCGTCTGGATGCGAAGGAGGTCTTGAAAATCTGGGCCCGACCTTTTGAGATGTTCCTGCGCGAACCTATCGTCCTGTTCCTGTCTCTCCTCTCCGGTTTCTCTGATGCACTGATCTTCGTCTTCACCGAGTCTTTTACACTGGTCTTCGATCAATGGAACATGAGCACCCTCGCCATCGGCATGACCTTCGGCTCAATTTTACTCGGATACATCATCGCCTATTTTATGTTCCTACCAGATGTGTACCGACAAATCCAAACCCGTCGCAAGCATGGTGCTGCGTCAAGATACGCCGAGCGTCGACTTCTACTCCTCCTCTTCATCGCTCCCCTCGAACCAATCGGCCTTCTCGGCTTCGCTTGGACCTCAATGGGTCCCCCAATCCCGTGGATCGCACCCTTGATCTTCGCCTGCCTTATCGCTATGGCTAATTACGCTATCTACATGGCGACAATTGATTACATGGTTGCGGCATACGGTCCGTACTCTGCCTCCGCTACTGGTGGCAACGGTTTCGCGAGAGACTTCCTCGCTGGTGTCGCTACTATGTATGCGACGCCTATGTATGAGAATATGGGAGGAAAATATCATCTCCAGTGGGCTAGTACATTACTTGGATGTGTTGGTTTCTTGGTTTTGATTCCTATATATGTGTTCTATTGGAAGGGTCCGGAGATTCGGAAGAAGAGCAAGTTCGCTCAGGAGTTAGCTGCTGATCGGGAGAAACATGCGGAACGGCGAGCGAGTCGTGCCACTCCTGGGGCGACACCTGCGGCACACGACCATCAAGCTGCCCAGGAATATTTCCCTTGAGTTTGAGCTGGACAACTCGTTGATTTGGATACCCAATGAAGTTTGCATATATGTATTTATGAGCAATGATATACTCTTTTTTATTTAATCATTTCACTTGGTATTTTGAAGTTTAAAGAACCCGGATAAGTAGATAGGCCCAATGCATACCTACAAAGCCAGGGGAAAGGACCAGAAGTTCTAGCTAGTGTGCCAACAACTTTTGAAGTATACAAGATCTTGGTAGATTTGTATAAGTATGCAAATCACTTCATTCATATAGAAACATTTTGAATCGAGTACAAGGTGAGAACGCCGGATATATCACAATGGCATAAGAATTTTGACTGCCCAAACACTGAGGCCAATCGCTCGAATCTATCATACTCGACACGCTTAGGCCTTGCCTCCACGACTAACCTTAGGGAACTCGACGGGAATACGTAGACGGGCGATGCGACGAGCATTTGCCTCAGCACGTCCACCCTTGATGTTCCATTTGGCGTATTCTGACTCGCGGGGCCGGTCGATGCGGCAACCCAGTTCGCGGAAGTATTGCTGCACAGTATTTGAGTCGAGACGCAGGTCATCACGGAGATCAGCGGGGTCGGTTGCCAGCTCGTTAGCTGCGTTACCGCCGAGAGAGCTGGATCCACCGTCCTTGGCGGGCTGGGGGGGAATGTGCAGGGAAAGGGCACAGATGGAGGTGTGGAGGAGGGTCAGGTCGTGTTTGCTGACCGAGCCACCGCTCGGGGCGAAGCGGCGACGGAGGGCGTCGAGAACAGAGTCCGGGAGGAGCTCTACAGAAGACTCATCAGAGTCGTCGGCCTTGACTCCGGATGTGCTGGAAAGAATCTTGCGGAGCTCGTCACGGGGCGGCAACTTCTTGCTGCCAGGACCAGCGCCAGCAGAACGGCCCGACTTGAGGGAACGAGCGAATTCCAGCAGCAGCTGGATGAATCGGAGAACCTGAAGCTTCTCCTGGTTTCCGGAAAGTACAACTGCCTCGACGCGGCTGGCCACATATCTGGAACCGGTAGTAATAGCCAGGCCGGCTTCCACTTGCTGCTTCCATTCTTCGATGCCGGTCAATTGGCGCAGAGTCGAGCTTCCGCCGGGAACCAATGTTTCGATAGGGTAGAAGTCCAGCGGGTGAGCTGCGGTAAGGTTGGGTGTGGGTAAGGGCTTGGCTGCTTGCACCTCGGCCTGCACATTGAGTGCCTTGGCCTTGCCAGAAGCAACATCCGCAGGCAGAGAGGAAATAAGCGCAGCACCGGCTTCGGTGACGGATCCAGCCGGGGCGTTGGATAGCTGAGCGTTCTCGGCCATGGACTGCACAGCCTTGCGAGACTGCTTTGTACCGAATGTGTTGGTCAAGGCCGTGCGTTGAGCGCGCATAGTGTTCTGTATCAGTTAGTATAAGATACCTCAAAGCAGAGCCGAACAGTCTTATAAAACATACATTCTCCTCCTCGGAGTCTTCATCCTCATCGTTCTTGATAGTGCGGACACCACCACGAAGAGTCACTCGCCGCGCTTCCACAATCTGCCATGTCTTGTTCTCTGGGTCCACGATGGCAACGTAGTGCTTGAGCTGTGAGTCTGTATCATCTCCTGTTCCCTCCCGGCCGACAAAATCCATCTTCTCATGCTCAGATGACTGCAGCAGCAACTCTGAGGAGACAATTCCTGAGTTCCGAGCGAGAGTCGGTCGTTTGCCATCGTGGGCTTTGAGGTATGGGTCGAATTGAATGGCCTTCGGGTCCAGGACGCCAGGTGTCGTAGCTGTTCAGTGATCAGTAACCAGTTCTATATTGCATGTTATCCGAGTGCCCATACCGATCACTGGAGCCAGCTCGCTCTGATCCTCGACAATGCTAGCTGCCAACGGCGGGAGGGCCTGCAGTTCCAGAACAGCCTTTTTGCTGGGACGCTCATGGCGTTCCGAGACGCGCTTGCGCTTTTTCTCTACTTTGTCGGATGGCATTATGATCGCAGAAACCACGGCTAGAAGCACAAAGAATTTCCGAGCGTTTAGCCTCAATGGTTGATCGTCGTATCTTGGTCGAAATAAATGTCGAATGTCGCGGGCAGAAAAAAATCCTTTGCGGAGACGATCCCAAAGGCGGTGAGTGTGGATCCGCACAAACCATTTTGAGCAATTGTTCAGATGCTTATCCAGCATGTATTAATTCATGTATACAATATAGGCAAGCTACAGCTACAAATATTGAAGATCAAAATACTCTTAAAGTGTCATCGATTCATCGGCAAGCATAGCTATCGAAACCAAGGACCTCCGAGCTAATTCCAGTTTTTGATTGTAAACTCTCGGTAAAAACCGCTCCATAGCTCCGGTCCTCGAACGAATTCAGGGATCGTAAATTTTAGAATTGAGCATAGTAGTTGAACAGAAACCCCAGTATCGAGCTCAAGACAGATCCCGAAGAATCAGTCTCCAACCCTCAACTCAACACAATCGCCTCTCCAAGTTTAACATAAAGTGGGTGTCCACTCAACCCATGTCCGGCAACAGAACGAACGACGTTGTAGGAATCCGAGAGAATTGAATAATTGTGGGAATTCGGATTTTGTTTGAACGTGGATTCCGTCGAGCGACTGCGGATTCTTCAATTGGCGGAAGCCGAATCCGGACAGGTAACTTGTTTGTTGAAAGGCGTGACACGAAGAACGGATGTTGTCCATCGGGTCATCAATTGGTGTGTTCAGTGTTCAAACATGAGCCTCGATAAGAGGAACTGAGGAGGAGGGGGCGAGTTGTTTATTTGCTATATGATTTATTAGTACCTAGCTGCATTGAGGGAGCTTGTGAAAGTGATCGCTCGGAGAAACTCACGATCTGGCACGCATCTTTCTTCTCTTGCGCTTGAGACGGCGAACGCGCTTCTTTCTCCACTTAGCTCTCATCTTCGTAGATGTTACTGTGGTTTGGTTAGCTAAACTCAATCTGAAACGGAAATCATCGGGTGGCGACTAACAGTTCTGCGAGGATGAGGAGAGATAGTGAAGAAAGACAAATGCAAAGGCGGCCCGCGGCGCATTTGTGTAGTGGGCAGCTTACTCAGCTAAGCGAGGCCCTAACCGTTTTAGGACATATTGACATCGCCAATACGGGGCACGTGACCATTGGATTGCATCACACAGTGGAAATAGGGTTTCCGCACATCATTGATTCTTTTCCATCGAAACAATAAGAAGACAGATGAATCAGTGGTTAATGTGGATTCAATTCTTTTCGTAATATCAATCATTTTCACACATCAAATAGTGTACCCCCATCACACAAGACCCGAAAATTAAATACTATAGCTTCAACCATTATGTATTATTAGAGCTCCAAAGCTCCAAAGCTCCAACTCGTGAACATCATATATCCTTCGGGAACCCGTCATCTCTAGGTGTGAACCGCGGTATCTCCAACCCTATCATGACAGCGACGTCATACTATCAGTAATTGTACCGATAGCTGGGTGCCAGGTCACCAAGGAACTCCTCTTCTTCCTCGGAAATGGCATTGGGATCCACGACAGCATTATCGCGTTTGCGATTCTCAAACCACACTGCCACGAGGTATACTGTGCAAGAGATGATAGAAAGACAAGCAAACCCGATGCAAATGCTGTATCCCTTGGTATAATACGGGGCATCCGTGCTTAGGAAAGAGAAGGTGGCGATGATACCACCGATGTTGCCAAACCCAACTTGCCATGCAGTGCCAATGCTGCGGCGGTGGTGACCACCGAGATTCATAGCAAACCAACACACAATAACGGGCATGGCACTGTAAGCACCACTTGTTACCAGGAAGAGTGCACCGTACTCGGCAGATTTGTGCTCTTCGCCGTGGATGCTTAGCAGCATGGCAAAACCGGCAATAGATACCAGGATTGGAATCAGTGTGAACACATAGCGGTGCTTCAGACGATCAGAGCAAAACGCGATCACCATGGAAAAGCCAAAGGCTACTGCCCATGGTGGAATGGAGTACAACTGGGTTTTCACCGCTGCCCATCAAGTTAGCAAAGGTCTGAACACACGGTAAGATAAGACATACAGCTATATCCGTAACTCTTGATAATGGAGGGCGCAAAGTATGCATATCCTAGATCACTTGAGTCAGCAATGACGGTACACATTCATCGAAAGTAACTAACCATAAGCTGGAACGATGAGACCGAAGTACATCAAGCCTCCAAGAATGACCTTGTCTATGTATCAATCAGTATCAAAACTGTATCAGTAGTCAAGCCCTCTTGGAAACCTACAGTCCTTGAAGACAGCTACAACCTCACGCCAGCCCATACTGACATGGTGGGCGGACTTGCCAACGTCCTTGGCCAGCTTCGCACGAACGAACTCGCGCTCCTCATCGGTCAACCACTTGACGTCCTCTGGGAAATCAGGCATGCAGAAGAACAAGATGAAAGCTGCCACACAGGTGATACAGCCTTCAATGATGAAAACCCATCGCCAGCCGCTGTAGCCACGGTCTCCGCTCATCTGTGAGATACCGTATGCGAGCGCACCACCGAATGCGCCAGCAAGTGTAGTGGAACTGAAGAAAAAGCTGAAGCGCTTCTGGGCCTCGCTGCGCCTATACCACATACCCAGGAGGTAGAAGCCTACCAATTATTAGAATCACCGAACTGAATAAAGGCCTTCGGTTCGTCACTTACATCCGGGAAACATGCCGGTCTCGAACACTCCCAAAAACCAACGAGTAGCCATCAATCCACCCCAGTTCTGGACCAAACCCTGGCAAACCATCACGAGACCAAAGCCAAACATGCAAAGCGGCACTAAAAAGAGTCAGTCGGCTCTCCACGGAAAATAACCAGTAGTTAAACCGAATGACATACACCAGACATGAGGTTTGAATTTCTTCAGAAGGATGTTCGAAGGAATTTCAAAGATGATGTACGGCACGAAGAAGATCGTCAGGGCGATATTGTACTTCATGCCAGTAGCAATGTTAAGGTCTTCAGTGAGGCCCAAAGTAGCTGCATTACTGATGTTGACCCTATACATCCAATGACCAGTGTCAGCGCTCGTGCCGCAAAACTCGGGGCGCATGCGTGGAACCATACCGATCCAGGAAAGCCAAAAGATAGAGCACGCAGAGACATGGCAGAATATGCCAGTCAATCTTGGCCATTAACTTGCGCTCTGTGGTTGATCGAAGCGGAGGAAGCTCATGATCGAAGGTCGGGCTGTCGACTTGTTCCGGAAAGACCTGGCCTTCGCCAGTCTCTGATTTGAAATCTACCCCGGACGGAGCTTGTCAGCGCCGATTCCGCCTCGAAATAAATCGAGTATTCATGCGCCGGAGACAAATCCAACAGACACGAGAGACTTACCTGTCACAGTCATGGTTGGGAGCGATCGCCCACGCAGCGCGCTTGTTTATCAATGAGTTCGCTAAGAGGAATGTGAGAGGGAAAAAAGGAATTCGACTCCTCAATTGCCGATCGCCCAGGTGCTGATCCTCGGCCTATGGGGCTACAAATAATGTCCGAGCTTCTTGGCTGCGCACAACTAATGCAACCAGGCACAACCGGGACAGTACCAAAAGATTTATGCAGAGGATTGAGAAAAGGGAAAAAGGGGGAGAAATGGAAAACGTAAGAAGAAATAGTCAAGAGCTAAAGGCGAAAAATATGTAACTTGAGTCATCATAGCCAATAGCCCCAGAAAATCCGTACATTACAGGGATCCACTATAGTTTTAGCTGGGCCCGATCTCGGCCTGTGCAAGCTGATCTTAGGCGACCCCCGTGGCCGATACAAGTCCACCGCTTTTTTTTGTGCTATCTGCCATCAGCTATGCATGATGTCTCACATATGGAACACGTAAGAAAGCCATGGTACTGGCACGGAAACGTGGGTTGAAGGAATTGATTTTCCTGCGGTCCACCCCGCAAATACTCAATCTCCGCCTTAAAAAGGGGACTCAAATGACTAATCCTTCCCTTCCCGCCTTTCCGCTGACGCTGTTTCCGTCATCTCAACCATCTCAACTGGAATCTGGATTTACGATCCATATGTCCCATGGTTTCCTGTGTTCGTGGGAGACTCATTATTCAGTAAACGGATGATCTTTCTCCACTTTGGTCGGCCCTTCTGCAGCTTGCTCCACCTTGCTCTTCCCCGGTGAGCACCAATGATGACGGTGGTGTTGTGTGCACTTCGGGTGGTCCGTGAGCTGGTCGCCTTACGATAAGGTTTTGGGGATTACATCCCCTCATGCTGGAATGGCGGGAGAACAAGCACACCCGTTATCTTGGCATAATTTCTGCTGAAGATTATTCGAAAGGAAAAAAAGCTTTTCGTCTTCTGTACATTATACACCGCTGGTTAGCTCTCCTGCATTCTGAGTCAGCGGAGATAACGCTAACTTACTCTATAACTACATACCTACGCGCTCCACTCAACTCCCTTTGTTAGCTCGTAGTCCGAAGCTACGAAATCTACAAATGTCACTAGTCTACTTAGTTCAGTTGTGTTACATATCTTCAGTATTTGACCCAACATTATGGTTTTCCCGGTCTCAATTATAGCCAGATACTGCACCTAAGCTGATATTTAATGATGAGAAGTTAAAACCGCAATAGCAGTGTCATGGATATCTAACTATGGCATCAAAGTCATACCGCAAGTGTAATTCCCTTCAAATCCAGCAGCATTCAGTCTCTTATCTCATGCGGGTCATCATCCAGAAGTACCGTCAGCGGTTTGGTTTTATCAGTGGCAAACACACAGTAATACCTACTCTCGCTGTTCTGGCGTATTCCCATCCCACCAAATTAACAACCGTCCAAGGCCCACGTTGATCAGCTTCTGGAAGTCTCCGGTGTCCACATGCGGTCGGTCAAACGAGTGTGATAGTACCCGGTCTAACACTCCGAGATAAGTCATACAGACTTCAGGGGAAGGTCTGCGTAGAAAAAATGCACAAAATAAAGTCTTGGAAGGTTGATCGACCTTATTAGCATTTTGTTCCAGGCTTTGTCTTTTCCAGGGAGGACGAGTGCGACCACACTGCTTTGTAGCAAGAAGCAGCATAAACCATTGAACACTTTCTCACAATTCACAATCAAAATGTCCAAATGAGGTGTTCTAGAGCGTCACCAAACACTATGCCAATGGCGATTGAAAGCCCATGTAGTAAATTGGTGCGAAGGGCAAACAATGGCCCCACTGATTCCCGCTTGAAAAGTTTATTGGTCCCACGTGTCACGTGGTCCTCAAATTTGCCAATATCAGGCCAACATCTTCTCTCAAAGCACGGTTCATCTAACCAACTTCAAAATGATAATCAACTGTGGGCCTCTGACAGGCTTTACCCAGGCAAGATATGTGATTCACATGTCCACAGGGAAACGGCTGGTGCTGTTTCGCCTGCCGTCGATCGACCCGACCAGCTCAAAACCCAACGAGAAGGAAGGATGGTCCTACTACGCGATGGAGGCGGAATGCCCTCATGCGGGCGGGCCCATGGCAGACTCTCTGATTGATATTGAAGATTCAGCATATGTGGCCAGCTGTCCTTGGCACGCATATGATTTTAACGTGGAGACCGGAGAGTCGAGTGTGGGTATCAAAGCATGCACATACCCTATTGATGTGCGTGGGAACAATGTCATGTTAGAGTTCCCCGCTGAAGATGGTTTAAACGTGGAACTCAGCAAGATTGAGCCCGTGAGCGAGAAAGTCAAATTGAAAAATGCGCGACCATCAGAAACACCAAAAGCCAAGCAAGAGGATTCTGGAATGGCTCAGTACTTGGATGATAATGCGACGTTATGCGACTGGGCGGTTCATATTTTGAACACTGCTCACCCTGAACACAAGATTGAACTGACTACGCACCTTTTCGCTATCTTCACCGAAAGAGAGGCCTCTTCTTCACCCATGGAACTTGGACGAGGCACCGTGACTGCGCCCGACCAGCCGCCCCGTGAGAAGATGCTCACCGTCAACCCGGGCGCTATGCCGAGGACGGGGCGAGGAGGCACATTGAAGAGCCGGATTGCCATGCTCCACGCGCTAGCCAATATTGAGCTATGGGCGATTGACCTGGCCATCGATATTTGTGTGCGGTTCGCTACATTTCAGACTGAGAAAAGCTCAGAGCAGCTACCAAGGGCTTATTTTCATGACTGGCTCAAAGTCGCGAGCGATGAGGCGAAACACTTCTCTCTTCTGCGCACCCGGCTTGAAGAGATGGGATCGCACTTTGGCGCTCTCCCTGTTCATCACAGTCTGTGGCTATCCGCTCAGGAAACAGCGTACGATCTTCGCGCCCGTATAAGTATCATTGCTCTGGTTCACGAGGCTAGGGGTCTGGATGTCAACCCGATGACTATCCAGAAGTTTCGTCTCTCCGGTGACACTGAGAGCGTCGAAGCGCTCGAGGTCATCCACCACGACGAAATTACACATGTGACTACGGGCCACCGATGGCTGACCTGGATCTGTAATCAAGAAGGAACCGACCCGGTGCAGGTCTTCCGCTCCAACGTCCAGAAACATTTCCGTGGGCCCCTCCGTGGACCATTTAACGAAGAAGCTCGCTTGGAGGCTGGTATGGACAAACGATACTACGAGGAGATGCCGAATGTCGTTGCGGCGTCATAAGGATTACCCGTTTTCATGATAGATGATAAAAAAGCAATGATACAATGATTTAATTCACGAATTGGTGTTGCATAACTTTCACGTAAGGTTTCAAACCCCGTCGTCATCTATTAGCATTATTTATACCGTAGTCTTCATCAATCTTCTTCCGGCTTCTTAGTAAACGGGCTTCAAGGTGACCTTGCTGCAGCTTGAAGGAATAACGGGGTCATAGTATGAGATGAGGCCGAACAATTGCGGCGCATTATGGTACCAGGGGCAGACTGGAACAAGGTTAGTTCGAACTCAAAAAATGATGGCTAACAGATTACAACTTACCGAGCCAGCCGGCAAAGCCTTCATCTGTGGACCAAACGAGATTGCCATTACTGATCGCAAATCCTGTTTCGCCGCCTCCTGCATTGATGGTAACAGGCTCCCAGGCTAAACAGACAATTAGAAAAGAACTCAACGACGATGAAGTTTCGTATAAGCACATACCAGCATAGTTAGTATCACCAGCGACCGTCATGCCCCAAGGGTAGTCGGTTCCCAGATCAGCATAGGCAGTGGTGCCATTCAGCCAGAACTTAGGTGCCACGGTAGCATTACTGTCCAACACTCCGTCGCTCAGACCGGCGCCAGTGTGGTAGGAGTAGAGGTAAAGGTCGTTAAATTCTGGTTTCGCCGAGCCCGTAGTTTTGAGCTTGAATTCCGTGGACTGACGAGGACTCAAGGGGCTGGCCAGGGCAGTGGCAGCCAGGAGAGCGAGAGAGGCGAGGAACTTCATCATGTAGTAAATCGTTTTATTGTAAAGGACTTCGAGAGTGTTTTACTGGGTGGTTTGATAGTGTGCAGTGAATGGAAATCTGTTGATGGAAGCAGAAACGCGCCCGCTTTATAGGAGAGCCAAGCACCCAGTGACGTTTTATTGAAAACAAACTTCTTGGCGATGGAGTCGGCCACAAGGTTTCCGTCTCCACGGGTGAATCGGATGTTGCTTTTCTTAGGCCGTCCAATGCTTGGGTACGCTAGTTCGCCGGCGACCTTGGATGCGATTTTTAGATTAGGTAGCTGCACGAGACGTGGTGGAAAGACGAAATACCTCATGGAAGCCCGGAAATCAGGGCAGCTCGTAAGACAATGATTGACATAAGCAATGCTTCTTGCAGATGAGGATATTCATGCGAGCCACTCATGTCTCCGCAATTACGCCGATCATCCCACTTTTACCCCACTTAGCTAAGGGATGTGCTCTGAGGTGATCAAGCTCGGCAAACCAAGTGGGGATGTGAGACATTTGCGCTGGACGACCCAATCGTGCAGACTGAGCTTTCGGGGTCTGAATCCTTTCGTTATTCACATGATTCTCTCATCGTCGGAGATAGGAGATTCGGGATAAAGATTTAGGCTGCCAAAGAGTATGTCTGAGACAAAAAACCGTCGGGATGAGGTCAGACGAAGCTAGCTTGGAAAGGATTGAGTAAACAAAGATTTCAGATCATGGAATTTGAGAAAAGTAATTCCAGTGGAAATCGGGGATAACTGGATAGACCGCATTACTCAACACAATAACTAAACAAATGAGTTCGTAGATCGAAAATGTAACGGATTGGAGTGGCGGATTAAATGGAAAGGGATATACTGCGGAAAGAAAACCCAATTGAAGCCACACGTGGACATGATGGATCTAAATTGTAAATGATAGGAAATATCTATATGCGAAGTGTAACCCATCGTCTCAGTTCACCGCTCCATGATCAGAAAGTCTTCTAGACTCAAGCTTTTGTCTCAACGCGAAAGCTTCCATGCAATCGCAAATCCCGCGAGCTGGCTCCGACATACACCGTGTATGTCCCCGGTGCAACAGCCCATTTCTGGGCCGCCACATCCCAGTGAGAGATATCGCGGCGGCGCAAACCGAACTCCACTTGCGTCTGCTTACCCGCAGCAATTTTCACATTCTCGAACCCACGCAGCTGGCGAAGAGGCTGCTTTGCGGATGTGGGATATTGAATGTAGAGCTGAGGCACCTCTGCACCACTAATAGTACCGGCATTCTTGATCACAGCAGTCACTTTTGCAACAATGTCCCAGAGATCCTCGTAGCCACCGACAGCAAGCTTGCCGGTGGGATAAAGCGAGAGCGGCGAAGGTGAGTCAATTTTCAGAGAGGAGTACGTGAAGTTGGTGTAAGAAAGACCGTAGCCAAACTCATAGCGGGGTGTCACATTGTAGGCATCGAAGTATCGGTAGTCGATGTAGTTGCCTTCGGTGAAGTTGCAGTTCGCAGTGTAGCAGATCCCCACGTTGTAGTCCGATTCGTTCTTAGCGATTGTGTAGATCAATCGTCCGCTAGGGTTGACATCTCCGTACAGGACATCAACAATAGAGTTACCAGATTCTTCACCAAGAAGGCTGCCATACAGCACTGCAGTGACATTTTCGTTCTCGATCCACTCGTCAACGAGGCGGGCTCCGACGGTGTTGATGACCACAACAGTGTTTGCGCAGTTCTCGGCGACCTCCTTAACAAGACTGTCTTGGTCGGCGTTGGTAAGCTCAGTGCGGTCAGCACCTTCTCCGGCCAGTGCGTTGAGAAAAACGAGACAGACATCCATGTTCTCTGCATAATTGCTAATCGAAGGAGTGACAGAGGTAGTACTGGATCCCTTCATGACCAGTCCAGAGCTACTCGACGAGGAATATGTGTCATTTGCAACCCAGCGAAGCATGGTCCCGTCTTGGCTAGCCTTCATTGTCAAGGCAATCTCAGGAGTGATAAGGTACGGTAAAGATCCCTGACCAGATCCGGAGCCTGTTGCAAGATGCCCATCGTAGGTTGGCCCAGATCCTTCAACACTGAATTCCATGTTAGGGCCGGCAATTGAAGCTCGTGCATGGGCTCCAAATATGGCCATCGTGCGAGGTTTCTTGAGCGGGAGCGCGTTGTCTGTGTTCTTCAGGAGAACCATAGACTTGGCGCCTTGGGCGCGAATCAGCTTAGAGTGGTTGGCACGAACATCGACATAGGCATCGTCCTCTACAGTGGATACCTGTTTTCCATTGTCGAGGCCAGCATGGTAGTATCCCATCAAGTTGCGAACTGCCATGTCGTTCAAACGAGCTTCAGACATAGTCTTGTTCTCAAGGAAGCCTTCGATGTTGGAGCTAGACCAAAGCGAAGATGAACCGTAGTCGAGTCCACTGACAGCCGAAGCGAGAGCGTGCTCCTGGCCATTGGTGTCTGGGAAGACAAGGCCTGGGAAGCCGAGCTCAGTCTTGAGAGTCTCAAGAAGAAGCGAGGATGACTCGCACGAAAGGGTTCCATTGACCTTGGTCATTGCGCACATTACACCACCAAGGCCAGAGTGAACACCATCGTAGAAAGACCAGAGGTACGTCTCATGAAAGGTCTTGGAATCTACATTGGAGGAATAGGGAGCTCCAGAGCTAGAGCTGTCTTGGCTCGATCTGCGTTGGAGCATTGAGAAAGAACTGTTTCCGCCTGGACCTCCTCCGCCGCCGCCCCCTCCACCACTCATTGAGGTGGTACGGTTTGTCTCTTGCTCATTCAAGATGAAATGCTGCACGAAATTAGCTTTATGCCAAGTCAAAAGTGTCACGACCAGCCGCCCTGGGCAGAGCATACCTTTACAGCACCAATGATTCCCACATCTGTATATCCTTTGGCAGTCAGGCCTGTTGCAATACCATTCAGGTACGGATCAGACCCATAAGTCTCGACCAAGCGCCCACACCAAGGTGTCCGGCCTAAGGGCTGAGATGTTGGACCATCGATGACTTGGATACCCTTGTTGTAGAACTCAGTTCCGACAGCTTTGGCATGTTCGTAGATGGCATCTTTATCCCACGTCATACTAATTGCAGACGCCAGACTGAAGGCAGAGACATAGAAATAGTCCTGTAGACCCATATCTCCGTCCGTAAATTCGAGGGCAGTGAAAGACGAGCCATCCGTGGCTGCGGCGCCACTTCCCGTGATCAATTTGATTTTCTCCGTGGTATTCAACTTAGACACAAATTCCACAGCCTTTTTGTAAGCCGGTTGCCAATCGCCGAGAGAGACTAGAATGATTGAAACTTGTTAATAGGGTCGAATCCAATGAATAAATGGTTGTAGGAACATACCATCGCCAGTGGATAGCAGACCGGTGCTCGAGTTGTCCCTAAGGGCAACTGCAGAGCTTATACAAAGCGAAAGAAAGGTGATTGAGTGGATCTTCATGCTGCAAAGATCCCGTCTTCAGGGTAAAGCAGGAAAGGAAAGGAAATGATGAAAACACATGCAAAACAAAACGGGAAACACGCAGTCTATACTATAAATAATGGCAATAGACCCGATCGTCATAGGCGTATCTGAGTAGCCTAGCCCAAGCCTCTCTAATGAGATCGAAACCCTCAAATCCTGGCAAGTGGAATATGCCAAGAGTACTTATGCGGCCATGCCCCACAGGACCATCTACATACAAGAACCGTTGAAGATTGACTAGGAAAGCATACGGGTAAACCTCGGTAAGTTTTTAGCTTTATACCTATAGTGGCATTTTCTTGCACAGCCCGGGTCAAAACAAATTATAACTATGCTGATGGCAATTTCCTTCTCAGTCAACATTATCAGTGAATATGACTTGGTAAAGAGAAGATCCGGAAAAGCCGAGAATGAGCATCAGGGGACGAGTTACGCGGCAGTGGAGCATTCGGGTTCTCTGCCCAGTTGAGAACCATCCGTGTATTAGACTTGTGGGTTTATCAAACATAAAGTGCCGCAAGTGCCGAGGAACGCTGATCTCTACTAACTTAAGGTTGCAGGAGTACAAACAACCAGATTTTCATAATTGTGAAGATGACGTACGTTTCATACTTATCACAGATTTGACCGATAAATCTCGCAGACTGAAACGTAGTTGAATTTGATTTCCAGATGTGGGTCTGACGGTCTACCATTAAGGCATCGAGATATCAGTTTCATATCAGGGATTCCTTGGCCCCCCACTTTCGCCTTACGCCTTCTGAAGCCACAATTGGTTGACTTCCACCTTGCTCAAGCATTGGCAGCTTGACAATATTACAGATCGATATCGGAGCTGAAAATCTGTGTCCCATCATGGTTTTCCGAGGGAAACGAAGCACGGCTTGCTCACTCTGTCGTGAAAGAAGAATCAAAGTAAGCCTCGGCCACAATTCTTGGTTCGGCGGGTCTCCTAATCCAGGATCAGTGCGATCGTCGTCGCCCTGCGTGTTCACAATGTATCAATGTAAGCGCAGCATGCACTGGCTACAGAAAGGAGATAGACCTCATGTTCTATGATGAGACTGGCACTGTGACACAAAAAGCCAAGTCGCGCGTCAGTAAATCAATTTCAGGGGGCAGCACTCTCCGGCAGTTAACACCCCCACCACGAATGCAGTTACTTGTGGATCCTCCTTGTGTTCGTGCGATTAACCTGTTCACAACTGCTTATGCTGGCGGGACTTATCTCGATTGGCTACCCACTCTTTATTTGCCTCATGGACGACCTGCTTCACTGGAGGCTAGCTTCGAAGCCGTTGCTCTTGGGTATATGGCAAATGAGCAGCATCGAGGAGATTTGCGAGTTTTAGCCCAAGAAAAATATGGGATTGGGTTGCAGCACACGATGAATGCTCTTCAAGGGTCACAATCTGCAACTCCGGAGACCGTGGCTTCGGTTTTATTATTGGCGTTATTTGCCGTCCTTTCGTCAGAGTCGTACCATGACGCACAAAATGTTTGGTCCAAGCATATTCATGGGATCTTGGCAATACTAGAATCATGCTCACTTTCCACAATGTTTCAAAATCATGCTGGTCAGAGACTTCTCCATCATATCATTTCTGTGGTTCAGATAGACTGCTTACAGCGCCGTCTGCCTCTACCTCCTCAGCTTCAATTTTTGTATTCAGTCTCTTGGATAAATGAGAGTGTTCAGACGGCAAATTTCTGGGAGGTCCTTGGTCGAGTTGCCCTGCTGAATACGCAGTTCGAAGAGTCTGCAGTCTCACTTCTCTACATTGCGCAGCTACAAGAAGTGGATAAGAATGTTCACTCTCTATTGGAACTGATGCCCCAATTATTTCCCGATGAATTTGCTTACTGTGATATCACGGAAAGCCAGAATATTGATGGCAGTCAAAGTGACTATCGCCCTCCGGTCCACAGCTTCAGCAGCTTTCGAGTTGCTCAAACTTGGAACACGCTGCGAATGACACGGCTGTTTAATGCCAACTTACTTGAGTCGAGCATTATTGCCTACCTATCTCATGGCTTTGGGGTAGCAGAATATGACGAGGAGACGTTACTTGGATCACTCAGTGAAACATCTACTATTGCCCGGCAAACAGCAGTTGCAATCTGCGCCAGTGTGCCGGAATTCATGAGGCCGGATGCCTGGGTCAATGACCCAAGCAAATCTTTTCTGTTTTCTGGATGGGCAAGCTCTCTCATATGGCCACTGAGCCTAGCCAGAGCTTCTTCACATGGCTCAGAGGAACTGCAGAATTATATAGACAGGCAGATGTGCGTCTTGAGGACTATCACCGGGATGAACGCCATGCGCCAAGAACGTCTTTCGCCAGACCACGACAAAAACTGGTAAGAAGTGTTATAGCGATCCTACTTGGTTTTTTTGTGCTAATTGAAAACAAATAGGATGCATTTGATCTTCTTGTGCTAGTTTGTTAGAAAAAAAACCAAGGTTGTCTCAATGATTGCAGTTCTAGATAATACATGAATTCCCCCCTCCTCTGCCTTAGCTGAGTATATATGGCTCATGTCGTCTCCTCAGCTCTCTATAGTATCAACCTTCTTTCATGCTCTTGACCTTTCTGTCCTGTCGTACACCTTGCAGAGAGCCTCAATTTCGACGCAGATCGACCTTGAATGCCGAAAGTGCCACGGATTCCACCGTGGATCTGTGGTTGCTAGAGTTCCTCCAGAACACAATCTCGTTTAGAGGAATCGTTCCATAGGAAAAAGGGTCGATATTAGCCACGCAATAGTCATTCCAGACTGTTGTGGAGTTTGTAGGGTCGTCATAATCATCAATCACATTGATAAGCCGCCACACTTCACCAACTCGACCGTCATGCGCGCGCCTTGCTTGAAAGGTAGGGAGGAGCTGGAAGTAAATCTCGCCATTCGTACCAGCTGTGGAGGACACGAAGGGGATCAGGTTTGCCAAAACGTCCGTGGAATTCGAGATCCAGGAGGAAATGTACAGAGACCGCGACTCGGTCTGAGTGAGAGTAATCGAAGAATTCAAGCTTGGATCTGTAGAGGTATAGACTCCTCTGTATGATATACTCAACTGGGATTGTGCTTCAGACTCTGCTGCGATGACGAGTGGGTTCAGAACATCCGTGAATATCGTGTTAAGTGCAGACAAGTCTCCGGCCACGCCCATGAAAACCACAAGGTCATACTGTGGGATGATAAAACTGTAAGTATAGTAGTCTGTGAGACCCCCACCCTTTGTGTAGAATGTCACGGGACGTTTCGTGTTTGGAAGGATCGAGGTAGTCCGGAAGATCTCCCACGGATATCCAAGAAGCGAGTGAGATCCAGAATTCCAAGCTGCAGGCTGGAACCAGTTGATTGATGGAGTGACTTTTTCATAGTTCTTGAGGACCCAGCGAAGGAATTTGATCATATCCGAAGAGGAGCTGTAGATCCCGGCACTCCTGTACAGATGGTTAAAACCTGAAGTAATCGTAGGGAAAGAAGCGGACTCACGGATTATCGGCGCCTTCGTCCACACCCCAGTCAGAGCCAGATCCAGCGCTAGCGGCGACTGAAGCTGCAGGGACGGTGAAAGACGTTTCGTGCATGCCAAGGGGTCTGAAAATTGCCTCTTTGATATAGTCTTCATACTTCATATTGGTCACCTTCGCCAAAACTTGACCAAGGAGGTCAAATCCAATATTGCTGTAAGATGTTTCCTTCTGGGAAGGGAACACCGAATTCACGTTGTGAAGATTTTCATCGAGAGCTAGACATGGTTTGTCAGTTTGCGGATAAGCAACGATATGAGGTCTTCTACATACCTGCGTTCGTACATGCAATAGTCCATCCGCTATAAGCACCACATTTTGGCAGATTGTTTCGTTCGTCTATGTCCAATGGAGGAAGCCCGATTACGGATGGATCAGAGAGCATAAGGACCAAATCTTCATCGCCATAGTTGTTCGGAAGGCCACTCAGGTGGGCCAACAAGGATCGAATAGTGATTCCTTTCCAGGTGATTTTGCTTGTATCGTTGAGAAGCCCCGGAATATACTTTGTCACCTCGTCGTCAAGCCCAAGTTTTCCCGCTGCCTCTTGTTTCAAGATACCCAACGCAGTAAACAGTTTTGTGTTGCTGGCAATCCGATACGCTGAGGAACCGTTGATCGGACTTCCTCCCAGAGACTTGTCGAAGTGGTATTTGGTATATAGAGTCCGGCTCGGAGAGGAAATCTCCAATGAGAAGGAACTTCCATCATAGGCACCAGCTTCGATCAGCTTATTGAGGCTGCTGTTGATCTCTTGGAATGTACTCTTCAGAGTATTCAAACTGTATACAGGAGCTGGATAAGAGATTTCTGGCTCACAAGACGAATACGCTCTATGAGACGAAACGAGGACCAAAATGAAGGTGAAAACACCTTTGGGTGCCAACATTGTGGTGAATCGATGTCAGAGGAAGGAGTATGGTTCCATGAATTTGGCTTTCTATCTCGGGCTTTATATAGCCAACTTTTGGGCGGTTTACTTACCCACGTATCCCAAAAGGGCAGGGAGCGCGTTAGTGTCGCTCTGCTAGTCTCCCATGTTTCGCAATTCTATGGCTTTCAAGGCCCAGACAGTTCTTAAATTGCATCTGTGTACTATTTGTAGAGAGTAGATAATGTTCGTCTTCAAAAATAAGCAGACAAGAGCCCCTTTTGTTGCAGCGAGAAGTCAAGGGCCAATGAAAATGCTTGGCATGGAGTAGGCGAGCTAGATACCCTTTTAGGACTAGGGTCTTCTCTCTAAGCCACTGCCTTCCCAGCGAGTCTTAATATATCTGCATAGGCACATATATCACTGGATAAGAACTCAATACCCGGATTAGTCGGGTCAAGAAAGACCGAACAGAAAATATTAGTCAAGATCGTCACTCCCCCTCATCGTATCCCTTTCCACGCTTAGGCCTTGTGCCCCGAGCCAATCCCTGACAAAGCAAAGAGGTTCCTCATTGGTTGGTATACAGTGCGTAGAGAACGAAAAGTGGGCATGTACCTGGAGAAATGTAACCTTTCCAATGTCGTGGGGTATATTGTGGGGGTTTCATCGGTGCTCAATGATCAAGTAATTTCCTTCAAGTCTCCCCGATGTACCTAGACAACATCTAATCTGAGATTAAGTGACCAAACGAGCACGCGTGGCTTCATTCATTATGCGATTGTGGTCTTTTCTCGGCACGGCCAGCGCGCTGGCCACTCTGGGAGCTACATATGTTGTCCATGAAGAAGGGAACATCTGTCGTCTTTATCCTGAGTCGCTCAAGTATAATGGATCACCCGTTGACGATACGCCCTACATTCATAAAGCTTTCGAGACTTGTGGATCTAATGGTCATATTGTCTTCTCCAACTATACATTTAACATCAACTCGGTTCTCAATACAACAAACTTGGTAAATTGCGATGTGTCGCTACAAGGCGAGCTGCTCTTTTCCGATGATATTCCATACTGGCTCAACCACTCTTATTCTGTGGTGTTCCAGAACCAATCCACCGCCTGGTTATTTGGCGGAACCAACGTCACTTTACGCGGCGAGGGTGGCTGGTATAATGGAAATGGCCAGGCGTGGTACACAGAGAACCGCAATCAAAGCAATCAGCCAGGGCGGCCTATCAGCATGACATTCATCAACTCTCAAAATCTGCTTGTGGAAGGTCTACGCATCATTCAGCCACAATTTTGGGCTACATTCGTGTCATACAGCAAAAACGTTTCAATCACGAATCTTTATGTGAATGCCACGAGTAATGATGAATGGGGCACTGTCAACACCGATGGCTACGATTCTTGGAATAGTGACACATTACTCGTCGAAAATGCCGTCATCACCAATCAAGATGATTGTGTGGCCGCTAAGGGGAATACCACGAATTTGTTGGTCCGAAACGTCACTTGTTATGGGAACTACGGCATGACCATTGGATCTGTGGGGCAATACCCTACAATGCCCGATTATGTCCAGAACGTCACCTTTGAAGACATCCGATGTGTGAACTGTATGGAGGGGGCCTTTATCAAGACATGGCAAGGTGAATCCGATGATTGTAGTTCCAATGGTGATAGTGGAGGTGGCGGCAGTGGTCTCATCAAGAACGTCACCTACCGGAACTTTGAGTTGACCAACGTTGCTTTGCCTATTCAAATCTCTCAGTGCATTTACTCTGAGAGCGGGCAAAGCTGTAATACATCCAAGATGGCTATTGAAGATATCACATGGTCCAATATTAAGGGAACGTCTCGGTACAATATTGCAGCGTCGATCTATTGCTCCGATGTACACCCTTGTCCGGGAATCAAGTTTGAGGGCATCAATCTTCAATCTATGAACAGTACTTTGGGATTGCCGCTTTATGACACAGATATCCAGCATGAGGTCTATCAGTGTACAAACATCATCGATGTGGATGACTCTGGGGTCCCTTGCAATCATATTGCCCCGGACAATTATGGCCAGACGGTAACTTCCAATGTGAAAAACGACTAGCGAAAACAAGAAACTCGGTGGACACGTCGGTACCTATGGCTTAGTGCAAAGACTAGAGAGTTAGCTACATGTCTATCGAGAGCTTTTTTGAACATAAATCTGCACACCCGTAAAAATTATCTCGTTTGGTAGAGCAATCAGGAAAAGCGACAATCACTCTATCCTCGTTCTGTCGAAGAACGACTTTGTGTCCACTAAGCCTTGGCCAGTAATTGTAGGCTAGGAGCACTTGTAATTGATTCTGTTTGGTGCCCGAGTGCTTCGTTCTAGGATTTTCATGGATGTCCTGCCCGGTCAACTCTATACCAAGACGTCACAGAAGAGCGACGCTGTAGAAATGAAGTGGAGAATAAAGACCCCATATTAGACAAGGTACGATCTTTAGCAAAATAGGATCAAGCCGTTTGTATATCGATCCAAAATTATGCATAGATGACAATGGAAAGGTATGGCTAGACGAGTCTTACCAATTCATAACGGAGCGCGATAATTGAACACCAGAAAATTAGGTAAACACTCTCACTAACCGCATTTCAAGCAGCGCGATAATTGTGATTGAGAAAAAATGACATTTCAATTATTGAAGAACATCGCATCACCTCGTTTGGTTCGCGTCAATATACGAGATAACGCCCTATTAGAGCCATGATACAAGTAAGGAAAGGTGGCCCAGTGAGTATCGCTCTATGATCACCTTGATATCCCGGCGTAGTCTACCGAATTGCGCGAGAATGTTGGTTCCTGAGTATGTACTTCATGACATTACTCCCTGAGTCTTGAATACTGCGCTACTTTCAATGCGGTTAGTGAGAGTGTTCAACTGATTTTGTGGTGTTAAAGTGAGAAGCTCCTTTATTTTCCTCTGACTCATCCAATCCCGCTGTTTTGTATTAAACCACTGTAAATTCCCAATCATCTGTCCCATTTACATACACTTCAATATCCTCAACATGTCACCTCTAGACCTGAGTCTTCCCACGGCTCTCATTCTTATCGACAATCAAATCGGCTTCTGCGCTCCAGAAACAATTTCTCACTGGGGAACCACCCGCTCCAACCCACGATATGAAACCAATCTCCAGACTCTCTTATCTACATTTCGGACTGCACGATCTTCATCATCTACTCTACTGGAAGTGATCCATATCTACCATTCTTCCGTGATGCCTGGCAGTCCGCTGCACCCTTCTAATAATGGAATCCGTCCGTTGGACTTTGCTACCCCGGCCTCTGACGGCTCGGAGCCTGTTTTCTGGAAATCCGTCAACTCTTCCTTCATAGGAACCAATCTTGAAGCGCACCTGCGAGAGAAGGGTTTCAGGCAGCTTATTGTTGCTGGGTTGACGACTGATCACTGCGTCTCTACCACTGTACGCATGGCGGCTAATTTGGGTGTTGTGGATCGCTTGCTTGATGGGGAACCTGTTCAAATTAAGTCGGACGGTACACATGTGAAGGATGTGCCTGTCGATAAGGGACGGATTGTTCTTGTGTCAGATGCAACTGCAACTTTTGGTAAGGGTGGATTTGATTCTGAAACTATTCATAAGGTTTCTGCTGCTAGTCTTGATGGGGAGTTTTGTGACGTTGTTGGAACAGAGGATGTTGTCGAAGCCTTGAGGAAGGTTTGAAACGCGGGTCACTTGGGATGATCTCGAAGCATACTTGTCCAGAGCCGATCATAATAAAGCTTATTTCATTGTTATGATGGTTTACTGTATTCATACATAGTGGTCTCCCGGTGGTTACTGCCCCGTTGCCGAGTTGGTTGTAATTAAGTAGATGCTAGGAACACGCTCAGACAAGAGGCTGATATCGCGAAATCATCACAACAATGAAATAGATGGTTGGGCTTAGGGCCACTGAATTGGCCTAGTTTGGAACCCGCCGGGATTGATCAAGAGGGAAAATGCAGTTAAATACCAATTACAAATGCACAGTCATAAGTAAAAAGTACAAGAAACTAATTACTCTTCAAGGGTCTCTAACACACAAAGGAGAAAAGAATACAGTCGCGGCATGGTATACACCGCCAAATGCCATCATAGATGGATATACCTCAGATTCCCAGCCTTCTCAACCAGGACACCAAAGAGCATTACACGTCACAAGTATGGACCCATTTAGACGAGGTCGCGCTTGACGAACTCAGCAAGCAGAGCCTTTCCAAGGGAGGCAGGGCTGCGCTCGACGATGACACCAGCATCCTCGAGAGCGGAGATCTTGGAGTCGGCACCACCCTTACCACCGCTGACGATGGCACCGGCGTGACCCATGCGGCGGCCGGGGGGAGCGGAAATACCGGCGATGAAGGAAACAGCGGGCTTGTTGTGGATGTTGTTGGCCTTGAAGAACTCGGCGGCGTCCTCCTCGGCGGAACCACCAATCTCACCGATCATGATGATACCGTCGGTCTCGGGGTCCTCAAGGAAGATCTTCAAGCAGTCGATGAAGTTGGTACCGGAGAAGGGGTCACCACCGATACCGACAACGAGAGACTGACCAAGGCCGGCCTGGGTGGTCTGGTTGACAGCCTCGTAGGTGAGGGTACCGGAACGGGAGACGATACCGACACGGCCGCGCTTGTGGATGAAGCCGGGCATGATACCGATCTTGCATTGTCCCTAAAAGCAATATGAATATCAAATGTGACGTCGGAAGGGGCGGAAAGGCCACACTTACGGGAGCGATGATACCGGGACAGTTGGGGCCGACCAGACGGGTCTTGTTCTGGGTCTTCAGGATATCGGTAATGCGGACCATGTCTGTAGAGCAATAAGTCAGTGGATGCTGGATGCTGGATACCAGAGTAATTCGTACCGTGCTGGGGAATACCCTCAGTAATGCTATCAGGAGCGAACTGTCAGTAAAAAAAAAAAAGTTTCAGGAGCTCTAAAATTCCAGACACGTACCAGACAGCGAGGGGGATCTCGGCAGCGATGGCCTCCTCAATACCGGCGGCGGCCAGAGGAGGGCTATAAATTGTCAGTTCATTGTTCTGTCGGTCTATGATTGATGAATTCATACGGGACGAAAATGGCGGTAGCGGTAGCGCCGGTCTCCTTCACGGCATCGGAGACATTGGCGAAGACGGGAAGGTCAAGGTGAAGAGATCCGGCCTTCTTGGGGTTGGTACCACCAACGACGTTGGTGCCTATGAGGTGTGAGTTTGTGTCCTTTTTTTGCGATCGCGACGCGAGGGAGAAATACCGTAGGCGATGGCCTGCTCGGCGTGGAAGCTGTTCAACAAAGCACACGTCAGTATCGCGAAATCAGGGGAATACCAGGAAAGAAACACTCACGTTCCCTGCTTTCCGGTGAAACCCTGGAAGAGGACTCGGGTGTCCTTGTTGATCTTCAGGTTGTTCACGGTGCTGGCATAGGCAGAGCTGGCGTTGGCATACGACCGGCGCTGCTGGCCAGCGACGCTGCGAGCAGCCGAGATGGTGTTACGGCAGAAGGCCTGCATGACTGCAATGTGATGGAGGAGAAGGATAGGAGAGGAGAGGGTTAAGGGGGAAAAAGAGAGGTTGACTCGGGAGGTGAGTTAGAGCAAGGAATCGGGATGCGCGCCCGGGAGTTTTCGTTCGGGACAAACCTTTACTTAAGCGGACCCGGCATGACAGTTTCGGAGCGCTGCCTCGGCCACCAACTTTTTTCTATCTAATCGTCCCCCCACCACCACCAACTACCTTGGTTTCCACACCTTCAGTCTCGTGTCATTCCCACATAAATTGATCATCGCTGCCGGTGAACGTCTTTCACCATGGCCACCATGACGGTGACGATGCCGCAGGCGTCGAAGAACACGGCAAGAAAGAACGCCAAGCTAGTTCCAGAGAATGAGCGATATATGCGAGCATGCTCTGATATTGCCAATGCGCTCATTCAGGAATATGAGTCGTCGAGGGACTCTTCGACGCCGAAGAAAGACATCAACCTGAACAAGTTGCGAGGCCAGGTTTCGAAGAAGCACCACCTAGCGACTCAGCCGCCACTCACGGCCATCATTGCGGCCGTGCCAGAACACTACAAGAAATACATTTTGCCGAAGTTGATTGCGAAGCCAATTCGTATGTGAATCAGTGCCGGGGAGGGTATATTCAAAACTGACTCTTTTCTCCAGGTACTTCGTCTGGTATCGCCGTCGTTGCTGTGATGTGCAAACCCCACCGATGCCCCCATATCGCTTACACCGGTAACATCTGTGTCTACTGCCCCGGTGGTCCCGACTCCGATTTCGAATACTCTACACAATCTTACACTGGATATGAGCCGACATCCATGCGCGCGATTCGCGCTCGATATGATCCCTTTGAGCAGGCCCGAGGACGAGTCGATCAGATCAAGGCTCTGGGACACAGTGTGGACAAGGTGGAATACATCATTATGGGTGGAACTTTCATGTCCCTGCCCGTCGATTACCGCGATTCGTTCATTTCCCAACTTCACAATGCACTGAGTGGGTACCAAACCGACAATGTTGATGAGGCCGTGCAGGCGGGCGAAATGAGCAACATCAAGTGTGTGGGTATCACAATCGAGACTCGGCCCGATTACTGTCTGGATACCCACTTGAGCAGCATGCTTCAATACGGATGCACGCGTCTGGAGATTGGTGTGCAGAGTCTGTATGAGGACGTTGCCCGCGATACCAACCGTGGCCATACCGTTGCGGCCGTCGCTGAGACGTTTAAGCTTTCCAAGGATGCCGGCTTCAAGGTTGTCAGCCACATGATGCCCGACTTGCCGAACGTGGGTATGGAGCGCGATCTGTTCCAGTTCCAGGAATATTTCGAAAACCCTGACTTCCGTACCGATGGCCTGAAGATCTACCCCACCCTCGTCATTCGGGGCACCGGTCTTTATGAGCTGTGGCGGACGGGTCGGTATAAGAACTACACGCCTAACGCCCTGATTGATCTGGTGGCTCGCATTATGGCGCTGGTGCCCCCATGGACCCGTATCTACCGTGTCCAACGTGATATTCCCATGCCTCTCGTCACTTCCGGTGTCGAGAACGGCAACCTGCGCGAATTGGCGCTGGCGCGAATGAAGGACTTTGGAACGACCTGCCGTGATGTTCGGACTCGTGAGGTCGGTATCAATGAAGTTAAGAACAAGATCCGCCCCTCGCAGATCGAGCTGATTCGTCGCGATTATGCTGCCAATGGTGGCTGGGAAACATTTTTGGCCTATGAAGATCCCAAGCAGGACATCCTTATTGGTCTCCTTCGTCTGCGCAAGTGCAGTGATACCCATACATTCCGCCCAGAGTTCACTGGCCAGCAGACTAGTATTGTTCGGGAACTCCACGTGTACGGATCTGCAGTCCCACTTCATGGACGTGACGCCCGCAAATTCCAGCACCGCGGCTTTGGTACACTGCTAATGGAAGAGGCGGAGCGGATTGCACGCGAGGAGCATGGAAGCCGCAAGATCAGTGTTATCTCGGGTGTGGGTGTCCGCAGCTATTATGCCCGCCTTGGCTACACTCTGGATGGTCCATACATGTCCAAGATGCTGGATCCTTGGGAGGATGAGGAGTAAATTAGCCGCTGATTAGTGGGGTCTAAGTTTGCATATTACTGGCGTCGGGGTTATACTCCAAAAGTGGTTCTTGTCAATAATTATGAGCAATGAGTGAAATGTCTATGATCGCCAATAGCGCGATAGTCAATGGAGTCAAGAGACAGGTAGTAATTCCGAATGATCTATGTACAAACACGCCTCGCACCAAAAAGCCATCCGTATACTATCTCCAAGGAGTCCGGGAGACCAGCCCAGCAAATAGACTCCTTGGGAAAGCTCGATTGCAATTCGCTTCCTAGCACAGATTGTGCGTGCGGACTCCGTCGGGCCAACTGGTGATAGCCCAGACAGATGAAGCCGCTGATCCGTTTCAGATCTTTCCCGCCCCTCCAACCTAAGCATGTATTCCCAAGAAAGACCGAAATATGTAACCCAAATGCATACCAATCAGAGACACCAAACAAGAGATATTGTGGAGAGATTTTGTGGTTTAAAGTGATATGGCGCCGCCGCGGCTTACGCGCATATGAAGGTAGGCCTGGAAACCGCAGAAAACAAAGAAACCCTGTGGAACACCGAAACATTAGTTCAGAAGTTCAAAAACCGATGTCGCTTAAAAATGCGTTTGCTGCAGAGGGGTGACGTACGGCGTAGACAAGCACAGCGATGTAAATGGAGGCAGCGACTGCAGGACCATCTTCAGGCTCTCCCTCAGATCCGGTGAAGGCGTGGTTGTTGCTCTATAGCAGTATTCATCATGTCAGTAACCTCGTCTCAATCGACATTGATAAATGCTCTGGCACATTGCGCCAGCGGGAACGCAACATGACGCAAAGTTCTGGTTCGCAATGCGGAGGGTCAAGTCGAACGTACGCCGTATAGGGATCCCAGAACGGAGAGAATAACGATAGCAAAAACGGAGATCACGACACTATTGAGCCAAGCATTGTTAGATTCTAGATAGAGACCGAGGCTTAAAAGGCATGTTCAAAAGATGGAGGACCTTACCAGGACCAGGCGTTCAGCGCCGACACGACGGGCTTCATCTTGAGTTGTGTAGAATTATATCGAAGAAAAGTTGCAACAAGCCGCTGAATGCGGGACGTAGGCGCCTGGTGTAATGGGTGGACAGTGGGGATATCGAAGGGAGTGGATGGGGGATGGAAGAGTCGAAGATCACGGAGGTTGGCGGGCGGAGCTGCCTGAGCCCCTAAGCCGCTTCCGGAAAGGGTACTGCACTCATCTATAGAGAGTGAACTACATCACATTCAATTGTTCCTTTGATATGTGGAACGGATCTTTTCTCTAATTTCTAAGTCAATGTTCAAGATGTATTCGGTCTTTATTGTCAATACGTCTTGTTCCAGTCAACTTCACAGTCAACCTCACACTAGAGTCGCCAATCAAACTATCCACCCTTTCCTTGCTATTAACAAAGTCATTTGCTGAATCCTGAATCGAGTGCATCGCAAAATTGAGTGACGAGCTCACATACCACTTGGCTGGTTTCAATGCCAGCTTTTCGATGCCCATGAGCGTCTTCTACGTCAGCGCGGACCAAGCATTCGGAACCATGAAACAAAACGGCTCTAGGAGTACAATAGATCTTTTGAATCAACATGAAATTTTTGCTTGAAGAATATTCCCGTGTCCTTCAACTGGGCATCTAGAAGTTTTGGTATCTATTGATATACCTAGGTAACTACGAGAATTGTATTGTACTCCTCGTAAGTATAATCATATACATACTAGCTTGATCAGCCCGCAGGCTGAATATATATGTAGTTTGGTCCTTGGGATAGTTTAGGGGAAAACCATTAATATCCATACAGCCCAGTATGTGTTTAAATCTGCCCAGATAAAGCCTGATGTAGGAACTGTATTGACTATAGCATTGCCCCCCCCCCCCAAAAAAAAAAAAAAAACCTACACAGACAAGAGGCGGCAATTTCATCTTGCAACTTGGATCGCGAGGGGCTTATCGATATCACCCTATCACACGTGACCCGCAGCTTGGTCCGCCAAAAAAAAAACTTCGACTTTGGGGAAATTGACAACGTTCCATTTACCCCATTAAAAATTAAAATCATGCCTTCAACGACCGGAAAACGCAAGCGAGATACCGCTGTTGTGTCGCGATCCACGAAAACTAAAGAGGCAAGCCCACCGCCGGTAGATAACGCGCAAGATATCTTCCGCAAATATTTCGAGGCGCAATTCGAGCCTATTGAGCCTCCCAAGCCAGACGCCGATTCCGTGGAAGACGAAGCCGAAATTGGCGAAGAAGAATTATCAGATGCTGAAGGCTCGGACTGGGACGGAATCTCTGGAGAAGAGGAGGAGGACAGTGACGAGGAGAGCTACGAAGTGGAGATTGTCGAGCACAAGGATGCTAAAAGAGATGACTTGATGGATAAGAAAGCTCGCAAAGCGTTTATGGTACGTGCTATAGTGGTATTGATTCACGGTGACATTGTTAACATTACGTCAGAATTCGAGACCACCGTCATTGGGAGACGTGCCAACGAAGACAGCAGAACCGGTTACAAAGGAAGAAGAAGAAGAAGACAAGGACAACTTCAAGCACGATCTCGCATTACAACGACTGCTTCGGGAATCTCATCTCCTTGAGGATGCATCGGATCTCGCACCCACCGGCAAGAACCGTCTCAAGGCTCTCGATCTGCGCATGCAATCTCTTGGTGCAAAGACGTCTCTCTACGATCAAAAAATGCCTGATGCGCATCGCAGGGGTATTAAATCCAAAGCCGCTTCGAAGGACGCTAAGCGACGACTGGAGGCCAAAGAGAACGGTATTATTCTCGAGAAGCCTTCCAAAATTACCAAGTCGAATTCAGCACGAAGAGAACGGGGTATTGGAGGGTCTTCTATTGGAAAGTTCTCTGGGGGTACCTTGAACTTGAGCAAACAAGACTTGCATACTGTGCAAAGTATCAGGAGCCGGCATGACCGAGGCCGAGGAGGCCGAGGAGGCAGAGGCGGACGTGGTGGACGAGGTGGACGCGGCAGAGGAAGGGGAGGCGGCAGGGGACGGGACTGAGAACCAAAGCTCACCTGGAGCCTGTCTTCATTATGATTGGAAAGTACATAGACCCCTTTGCATCATTCGCAAATTGATACCCATCCTGGGCCCTTACGGGGCGTGGGCCACAACTTCCATTTCCTGTTTACCATCCCGAGCGAGTCTGGAAACTCCGACCCGAGTCTACATGGACGTTCAACCAGTTCAACGACATTGGAAGGAGAACGTAGATTGCTGGCGGTCCACCACGTTCCCGAGCGGCTCAATATGCGGCATTTCCCATAAACTTTCGCACTTTCAAGGTAAAATACCGTTCCACGTTTCTCCCAGGGTTACACTGCATATGAGGAGTTGGAATTGGCGAAAAGCATGTCGGCACATGGAACCAATTGAGGCTGCAGTATGGCCATGTGTATCTGACAGTAAACATTTACCCTGCCATTAACATGGATCATGTTCTCAAAATATAGAGATAACCGTATGAAATACGGCCCTTTAATGCGATATATGTTGCCATGTTAAGTCGATTATATGGTTTTCACTTTCCAAGGTTCGGTGTTGATCGCCATATTTTCTTTTGCGTGTATCCAGGCACAAGAAGATGTAGGCAGACATCTTTTTGTAACATCCATAATTTGAATGGATGCAATGGATTTGCATCGCGACCACAAGTCCGGGTGAACTCTCTCAGGCCAAGGGCAGGCCAAGACGGCCAATCGATTACCCATGCGACTCTTATATCATCTGTTTACTAGGACCCTGTTGCCAAGAGCGGCAAATCAGAAACCTCTCGGGCAACAATGGTCAAGGGGAGAAGATGCCAAGGACTACACATCAATCGTAATTCCGCCTAGTCCCGGCTTGCACAGACATAGAAAGACGCAAGTTCGAGACCAAGTGCTTGGCATTGTTATCAGGGGCCGAACCTTCAGAGCTCACCAGAGCTCATCAAAGCTCGCCATAGCTCTGTTGCCACCAATATCACGTCAAATATTTGAAACATTACTTTGTACGGTAAGATCTACTGTGGCATCCGTGGTTGAAGAAGATCAGGACCCAAAGCCTTGTAGGGTCCTTGAGCATGTGCGGGTCGGATGAGATTCCGCGATCCACTGTTCGGAGAGAACCGTTTCCTCTGCCAAGAGACCTTTCCAAAAAAGAGGTCTTGATAAGACTACCAAGGAATCTGAAAATCATGCGTATTACATGTAGTACCATCCGTCTATCACGCTCTATTCCGCACACCGCTGTCTCGGGGGTGGGGGGACTAGGCTAAAGACTGGGGACTGGAGATCCGGGGCCAACTGAATCTTTGGCTCGTTACGGGGATTGCGTGTCAACCGACGGCAACCCAGGGTATTTGGTCCTTCTATTGAATAAACATCCCCTAGTGCCTCTCATAAAGGGGACCCAGGTACCCACAAAAGCCCAGGGGCTCCAAGATCTCCGCAACTCCTGGTCCATGCGTCGGGTTGAAACCCGCGACTGTGTATCAGCCATTGCTTCTTCGTAGTTTCTAGGCAACACTAATTTTGATGCCGATCGGTTACTGGTCACAAATTCGAAGCCACAGATCACGTTCCCCTAATGGCCCAATGGCGTCATGGGAATGGATAAGGGGATAAGGAGGTCTGGGGCTGTGTTAAGTAGATAGTGGACCGACTGCACACTATTGTTTCATACTGCAGGGCTTTGACGTTGAAGTACTTCAGCTCTCCACCAACTACCGACATGGGTATACTATGCAGCCTCGACTCCGCAGATCGTTCAAAGCAAATGACAAAGGAAAAGTCCGAAACCAAGCAACTCGGCACCGAGACAATGGTGTGAAGAAACATGAGAAGTTTCTATTTTGATAACTAATTCATGCCAAGAAATATTGGGTAGCAACGTGCATAGAAATTCATCTATAAGAGGATGCCGAGGTTGACGCCGGAAAGACCGAAGGACGAGAACATAGTGGAGACGATTCGAGAAGACCCAGACTTTTTTCCTGATGGAGCCATGGGACATCAATGATTGGGCTATGATCTACATCAAACTAAATATTGTTGCAACCCAAGATGAGTTCAGAAGCTAGAGTATTGGGTACTGACAATGGTACTGTACGCTATCATGCATGCAGTCGGCTAGCCGACTCGGGATTCCATCGGGGCCGCGACTCTCGGAACTGATAGAACTCCGAAGGTGTAAGATCGAATCCTTGTCATTTCTTGGCTCTCATCGCGACTTTTTTATCTTGAAAAGTTTATGTTGCTGATAAGATGAGTTGCAGCCTTGCTCACATGTAATCTTGCATCAGCCCTGTTCTTAGGTTCAGCCCGAAATGCAAAAACTCCCCGATCACATTGACCAGATGGTTGCAATGCTCCGCCGTGGCGCAGGGAGCAGAAGATGCCAATTCTTGGCTCTGCTCCGCTCTGGGCCTTGGGCGCGTAAACCGAATCTCTAGTCTCCGAACCTTGGTTCCACCTACATTTCTAGCGCCCAAATTTCATATACTCATGCATAAACGGAGCAAAATGGAGTTTCTAATGCACCGACGGTCACAAACCGCCCCTGTCGTCAGCAGTGCCAAGGGGGGGTGAGGATGGGTGGGGCTGATCGACGGCTGAGGATTGGTACCATTGCGCACTGGCGTCCTAAAGGCCGTTCGATTGTCGATCATACCCGCCTAGCGTGAACCTTGTCCCTGAGAGGTTGAAGGCGCATTCTTGTCCCTTGACGCTCCACTTTGATGATGTTTGGGCTTAATGAATTGCAGCTGCATTGGTCGCATTAGCGTACTGATTTTCTTTCGCTTATCTGTGATGGTGTCATAGATGTTTGTCCCCCTTTCCCAACTCCGATTGGATCTTTCATCTACTTACCCAGCAAGGAGTAGTCCTATCCCTTATACATATCAACACCTTTGACCCAATTCAGGAGAACTACGTGTTCAGCTGGCGTGTAAATCAAATACTTTTCTCCTGACTCATGAGACGCCTGGGAAATTGATGATGCTTGGCATGTACTTGCCTAGGTGCCTTATGATCGTCATGAAATTGTGATCCTGGACCATCAATGACCAATGATCGGAACACCATGTGGACAATGTCGGACTTCCAAGTTTGCCAAGATTGGACTTTTCCCTGCTTATTGGGTCTTTGCTCTATCTTTCCTTATCATGCATCCTCAAGCTGCAGAACCGCGGGACCTAGAAAAGTCAATGGTGATGAATAATGTATTCTTGTAGAATGCAAATGTTTCTTTCAAGTAATGAGAATGAAGTCTTAATTTGATTTGATTGCGTACTATCAGTTGCCATGCAGATCATGCCGTTTCCTATAGGACGCGTGGAAAACCCTTGAAAGGAATTCCTTATGACGAGCTTCGTAATGGTCTTGAATTTTGTCTCACGAGTTTGAATTCCTATCATGGAAACATTTGTGTTCCTCGGAGCCACGCCAGCGATCGGGGCTTAGACTGGGAATAGTATGCATTCCAGAAACTAGTCATCAATATAAGCCAAGGTTCTTTTGGTCGTGCAACACACGGAGATATCCACAGCTACCGCTGATCATGATCCATCCATCATGAGGTGAGCAGCATCCGTCTTGCCCTATCCGTCTGCTCGACGCCACTGACTGCCAAGGGTGACGGGGGGTACAAAAGTCTCTTGGGTCATATCCACAGTGGAGCACATGGTCTTGATTTCCCTCAAGCGCATGGACCTGATATTTTCGATTTTGGCTTTAGGGGGCTTGAAGGCTTGGACCTGACATTTGGATACAAAAGGCTCCATGCCCTACCATTTTTGAGCTTGAAACAAGCCTATCCGAGTTAACAAACTAATTCCCTTGCTTCTCTCTGTCTATATTTACTATATTATTTGACTTATGCACTCATAAATTGTTCAGACTTGTTCTCTCCATAATGTCTTTGAATCCAGAGGAGCTCAAAAAGAACGCCATCATCACAGAGCGTTCTATCCATTCCAGCAGCAGTTCCAGCAGCCCTACTTTGTCCCCTAATATATACGCCCAAGATGATAAGAATCTTCCATCGCCTACATCCTCGACCTCTTCAAGCTCTTTTAATCTCGAAAAACAAGACCCTCCGCCACCACCATACCATGTCTTCACTCGCTCTCGCAAATTGCAGATGGTCTGCATCGTCTCTTTAGCTGCCATCTTCTCCCCGCTCTCATCCAACATCTACTTTCCCGCTCTTGGAACTATATCAAAGGTCAGTTCTTGGTTATAGACTTGCAGGGATCTTCGGAGAAAAGTTAACAATAAACAGGAGCTGGATGTTTCAATGTCTCTGACTACATTGACTGTTACTGTTTACATGATTGTTCAAGGACTCGCCCCCAGCTTTTGGGGTTCCTTTTCTGATGCCATTGGTCGACGAGGAATCTTCATTGGAACATTCATTGTCTATATGATTGCGAACATTGCATTGGCAGTGTCCACAAATTATGGAGAGTTGATGGCTTTCCGAGCACTACAGGCTGCGGGTAGCGCAGCAACAATCTCAATTGGTGCAGGTGTGATTGGAGATATCACTACATCGGCCGAGAGAGGAAGTCTTGTCGGAATTTTCGGCGGAGGTAAGTGACGCCTATATCTTTCCATTGAACTTATCATCTGACTAGATCTCAGTGCGAATGCTTGGCCAAGGTGTCGGTCCTGTCTTCGGCGGAGTCTTGTCCCAGTACTTGGGCTATAGATCCATTTTCTGGTTTCTCACTATCATGGCCGCTATCAGCCTATTCTCGATTATGTGCATCCTGCCCGAGACTCTCCGTTCCATTGCTGGCAATGGCACTGTCCCCCTTTACGGTCTTCACAAGCCATACATTTACTACGTCACCGGCCAGCCTGATGTTCAAGAAGACGCAAAGCCTATCGGGGAGAAGAAGAAGGTTACCTGGAAAACGGTCTTGGCTCCTCTTACTTTCCTCGGTGAGAAGGATGTCTTCATCACTCTCTTCTTCGGTGCGATCGTCTACACCGTCTGGTCGATGGTCACTTCCTCCACTTCCCAACTGTTCGAAGATACCTATGGTCTGAACACCTTGGAGGTCGGCTTGACCTTCCTGGGTAACGGTTTCGGCTGCATGACCGGTTCTTACACTATCGGCTACCTGATGGATTACAACCACAAGCGCACTGAGCGTGATTACTGTCGACAGAACAACCTGCCTCTCGATACTCGCATCACAACCAAGACACACCCAGACTTTCCTATCGAGTATGCTCGTATGCGTAACACTTGGTGGATCACTGCCTTGTTTGTTGTGTGTACGGCTGTCTATGGTGTTTCCCTTCGTACACACCTCGCTGTCCCAATTATTCTGCAGTATATTATCGCCTACTGCGCTACTGCCATCTTCACTATCAACAGTGCTCTGATCATTGATCTCTACCCTGGAGCCAGTGCTAGTGCAACTGCAGTCAATAATCTGATGCGGTGTTTGATCGGTGCCGGCGGTGTTGCTCTCGTTACGCCTATTATTGATGCCATTGGCTCGCTGTTTTGTTTTGTTTTGCTGGCTGGTGTTACATTGGCCATGGTTCCGTTGCTGATGGTTGAGATGAGATGGGGTGCTGGGTGGCGCATGAAGCGCAACGAGCGTCTCAAGGCGAAGGCCGCTAAGGCGATTCAGGAGGCTTAAGCCCACTCACTTGAGATGGAAGATGTATTGCGTCTTCAAAGACCACTGGTAGGAAATGTGTCCTCTTCAACAAGGCGAGGATCCAAAAAGAGGGCGGGATAGACGAAAAACTTGATGATTTATGACTTGGATTTTTGGCGTTGACAGGGTACATACATTTGCGATCTTGACTTCTAGATACTTTACATTCGGTGATTAATTTTGACTGCATTTTTGTATATAGAACATACCCGGCTAATCATTGAGCTCGGATTTTGAATTTGGACTCTACTTTCTTCTCAACTATTCATCATATTGCAAAAGGGGATAATTCATCATCATTGTAAAATTGACTCAAGATTGATTGTAGACATCAAATCAACGCTTTCTTTGTATGTAATTTGTACTTAATTGCCAGTGACCTCATTTTGCAGCTCCTTCAAACGAGTCCAGCCCTCCGAATCCTCCCAGAAGTCCTTGCCCTTGCCCAAGATACCACGTACAGCACTTCTGGCCTTGAAACGCCAGTCGCTGGCAACCATCTCTGGCTCGGCATCACCTTCCACCTTCTGGTCTTCACGTTCCATGGGACCGTACTTGGCATAACCCTCATGGACAAGTTTCTCAGTAGCACGAACAATCTGGAGCCAAGGCTTTTCGTCACCCATCTGGAAGGCACCTTGGGCAGAAGCGGCAACGGTAGCACGCCATGCTTTCTCGTGAGCTTCCAAGGCACGGCTAGGGCGGCTGCGGAACATTTCAACTCGGGCAACGATCAACCATAATGTAGAAGAGTGGGTAATAAGTGGAACGACGTGATCATCGATGAGGGAAAGGATCTGGCCCGGGATGGTGCCGGAACGGAAAACAGGACCGGAGTCCGATTCGATTAGGAAGTCCTTGTATTCAAAGGCTGTTGTGAGGAAATCGACGAGCATGGCAAGAATTGGAATATCAATGCATTTCTCGCCCTTCTTCGTGCCGAGCAGCTCAATGATTCGCCTTTGGGCTGTGACGACCTCGCGGAATGGTGTGGCGGGGGCCGGGATAGATGCAGCCACTGTCAGCACGTTATCCCAAACCCGGGCATCGGTGTGCTTCAGGGAAGCGGCACGTTGCAGAGCAGACAAGGCTTCCCGTTTGCGTTTATAGGGGTCGTTTTCGATTGCGGCCTTTTCTTCGGCACTGTCATTGGTCGCGACATCAGGTCCTTCCTCAGGAGCTGATGACCGCAAAATGGACGCTCCCAGGTTACTCCATGCCTCTCCGTCGGTATCATCTAGCTGCACGGTACGGGTGAATGATTCGGTGGCGTCGCCCCAGCGTTCAAGCTCAAGCTGGACGCACCCAAGTGCAAACCACGCACTGCCGTTGAGACGATTGATGTGCAAACTCTTCCGGTAAGCAGCCTCAGCCTTCTCCAACTCGGGCGGTGTAAGACTCAAGTAATGACGTGCCAGAGATCGTTGAGCGCGAGCGTATCGCTGGCCCGAGACCTCCCAAGCACGCTCGTACATCGTTTCGTCTTTATCAATGTCTCCCAGAATACAGAACAGACGCGGTGCATCTGCAGGCAAAATTGCGCGCTCTGGGCCTTCAAACAGCTCATTTTCGTCATCCTCATCATCGCCCTTAGGTTCGTAGAGTTCGCGTCGCACCATGCTCCTGGCCTTGGCCTCGCGATCGGTGGCGGCGTAACAGAGCGCTGCCTCGGCCCACATGTGAAGTCTCTCGTAGATTTCCAACGCGGTCCGGAGACCACCCAAGTCGACCCAGCGTTTAGCCAGCTCGGCCTCAAGGTCCCAACGGGTGGAAAAGTTCATGATCCAAATGTATTCCAAACGGTCAGAGGCAGAGGCTGACTCGTCTTTCTCTGGCCGGGGCAAGAAGGTTGTGGGTTCCGATGAGGGCTGTTGGGCTGCCGAGTCATCGGTTGCCGTGTCGGCAATGACCTGATCAACAAGAGCTTGCATCTGTAACACAGACCGCTCAACTGTACGTGAACGGAAGCCCTCAACACGACTGCGAACCAGCAATGCTTGGGTATAAATCTGCCAGTTGGAACTGCCACCTTCCAAAACACGAGTGGCGTATGGTTGCGTCTCCTCACGGGTAAGACCGTTCTCCGGAGCGGTATTGGTGATGGCAGACGCCAAAGCGAGCAAGATAGCCGAGTCGACAGGGTTAAGAATGGGTTGATCATTAGCATCAATAGACTGCAGAACTGGAGAGAGCTCTTCAGACACGGTTGAGGATTTCTTATCGGCAAAGGCGATGGCTTCGAGGAGGGTATCATCATTCAAATCAAGGTTTTTAGGACCAGAAGCGGGTGTCTGTGTAGTCTTGGATTTCTCATCTGCGCTTTTTGCAAGAACCACAAGCTGAGTGATATCCCGGTCTTGCCATTTTGTCCGCTTTCCCAACTGTCCTGTCAGGGCGAACTCGAAGTTCCGCACCTGGGCTGCCTGGTCAAGATCAGCACGGGCTTTGGCATCAAAGCCGTGATGTGTGTTGATAATAGCACGCTCTAGCAGGAATCCGCCCTGTTCGTTTGAGTTGAGATCCGCCTTGGCCAATTCTTCGAGGTCTTTGTATATCACATCTTGTAAGGTGCTGGTCACCTCCGAAAGCATCTTCTGGTGGAGGAAGTTTACGCGCATCCGTGCAGTCTTCGCAACCACTGAGCCCTCGTTCTGTGCATCCACAAGCAGTGCCTTGGCAACCGAGAACAACTCCGCATTGGGGGTCAGCTTATAAGCCGCTTCTCCATCGACAGAAAGATCCCGGATGATCTTGGCGCGAACAGCTCGGAGGGTTGGCACATCGCCTCTCAGGGTAGCGGGTAGGGTTATTTCAGCTGAATTGAATTCCAAAGGTGGACCGGTAACGTTTGACTGTAGGAAGCTGAAAAGAGCTGCCAAACCAATGTGCAGGAGCTGCGACTGTGTTTGCTCGATAGTAGAGTCATCGTGGGGGTTCTGAAGGGCGGCGCGGGCTTGGTCGGCGACAAAGGTTGTATAGGAGATCTCAGATTGAGAAACTTTGGCTAGTGATTCGCTGTTGGAAGCATCGTGGCCCAGAACCTTCTTTGCCAGGGGCAACCCGAGAACAGGAAGGATGTTGTTTGATACCAAGCGAACCGGGTCGTATTGGTCTTTGAGGGGTGCTGTGAAGGCGCTGTTCAGCGTAGCGGGAAGAGAAGAGTCGGCCATTCTGACGGCGATGGCCAATTTGTTTAATCCAAAGCACCAAGGGCCGCTTCCACAGATCAAATGTCGAAAGTGCGAAACCCCGCGATCTTTTTGATTTTTTCTTATCGATAGCGTGTAGATAACAGATTTACGTGTGGAAGTAGTGGGTTGCGTGATAAAATCCAACTGTGTGTACATCAAATTGCCACGCACTATCCCATGCCCCTCTTTCACCTTACCTAATTCGGTTCTCTAAATGTCTATCATCTTCGAACATTCTCTTACTGACGAGAATGCTCCTTCAAAATATGATTCAGTCCCTCTCGTTGCACACACTGATCAAAGTGGAAACTCCTCGCCAATTCCTCAAGCTCCTTCTCCTCCATCCCCCGGAACAAAGCCGCAAACTCATCCGTAAATGAAGCGGCCAAAAAGGTATACAACACATTGCGCGTGACATGCAGTTCCGTATTCCACGAGGTCGGATAGGTATCCTTGGCTGTCGGACTGACACGATCGATCCAATCAAGGAGTGGCTTCAGCGCTGCTTCGGCCTCGGGGACATGCTGATGACCCCATTTATCGATCCAAATGGCTCGCTTCTTTTCAAGGAAGGGCCCGATCGTCTTATTCCATTTACCCTGTGGGTTTGTGTAGATCATACCTTGTAGTCCAATATCTTTGTATAGCCAGATTGACCAGTGAATAGAGTATTTGTCATAGATGCTGAGCTGCTCTCCCAGCAGGTTGTATCGCTCCTGATTGATTGTTGCTGCATCAACATCCAATGTAGGATTGGAGTAGACGGGACCGAACTCTCCATTCCACACAGGAGTGCCATTCTTAGTCATGAACTCTGCCTTACGAAGGTATGAGCGTTCGAGATGTTGCTTTTGCTCTGGTGTGCCTTGGTATCGATCACCAGTCGGGAATCCCATAGACTAGAATAGCGGGTCAACCATTGCCAATAGTAATGTTCTCTCCTCTGAAAGCATACCGCATAGTCATGCATTGCATACACACAGTTAGGCAGCACGGTATCGAATCCCTTCCACTCCATGGCAAACGTGTTCCCATCCAGCCACAGGATATGATCCGGATCAATGGCGCGAATGGCTTTCTCTACGCGCGCATAGAAAGCAGGGAGTCGGACATGCTGCGGGTCACAGGGCTCATTTAGAGGGTTGTACCCGGCAACCCAAGGGTTCGTCTTATACCGGGAAGCGATCTGCTCCCACAACCACACAGTGCGATCTTGATGATCTTTATAGTCCCAGAAAGCAGCATAGCTGGTGGGATTATCAGAGTGCCAATCTGGGTTCTGACCACCAGGCACGGCGTGCATATCCAAGATTGTGTATATACCATGCGCCGCACACTGTTGACTGTACCATCAGCTTCTGGGTATAGATGAGTTGATAGGATACTAAACTGACCAGATCAACCACTCGGTCTAGATGCTTGAAGCCTGACTCTTTCAGCACCCGGGGGTTCATATCATCCTCAAAGTGGCGATAGTTGAATGGCAAACGAAGACAGTTCAGGCCTACTTCGGCGAAGAATTTGGCATCTGCATCAGTGAAGAAATATTCCAACCACTTGTCAAAGAAGAACTCGTATTTCTGAGGCCCGAGGACTTTGAGCATGGCGGCTCGGTGTTGGGATTCATGGCCGGGGAAACCTGTGATGAAATTCTCCATACTAGCTACGGTCAGCGATGTTTAATGGTCATTTCTCCAACTCGGTTTGGTCCACCTACTTCATCCATCCTCCCAGTGCTGCTCCCCGAAGAACCACACTCTCATCATTTTCATCAACGACAAGATTGCCTTTCACCTTTAAGATTCCTGAAGCCATCTTGAACTAGGTTGGGTTCAGATAGAATGTGCGGAATTAGAATTCAGAAGAGTGAGCAGGGGGGTATAAATACTGAATGTCCCCGAGATTTACCCGTGGAACACCCATAAAGAGCTCCCCAGACTGCGGGGAAGACTAGTCCATTTTACAATGGCTGAGACTGGGCCTGTCGAACTACCGGCTAATCTCACCCCGGACTTGTATTTAGGCTGTACATGGGAACCCCCACGTGAAATTATTTAATGAATATCTTCATTGAAAACATTAAACTAAATTGAGCACATGATCAATCATGCGGGCCACCGGGTATTTGTATCGCAATCAAATGCCGCGCATCAACGCCTTATAAAACCATCCAAAAATAAATGCTCATGGTAATCATCTACCAGTCCTGGCCGCGATCCCGCATTAGAATCTCAATAGCCTCATCCTCAGGGACAGGGTTATCATTCAGTTCCTTGACACATTGAGTCAATCCATCTGCTGCGTCGTCCACTTGCTCAGCAGTCCAGCTTGTGCATGCCATCACCATGCGTCGATAATTTTGACCGAGAATCGCATTCTTGGCTTTGAGATTTTCAACCTCATCTGTTACTTCAGCAAGAAACTCCTGGTAGAGATCAAGTCGGCGCTTCAAAACATCTGGTGCAGGCAATGCAGCCAGGAAGGCCAGTTGCTGCTCGGAGAATCCAGACGATGGATCGAATGTCTCTGTGAATAAAGCATCAAATGCTTCGACATCCACGCCCGAATCTTTGTCAGCATCACCAACAATGGTGATTGTGGGTAGATCGTTGCCCTCCGTTTCCTTCAATGTAGCAAGCAAGACATCGGAGGACCGATGCAGGTTCTTGATGCGTCGTTCAAGTTCGACCCGCTCAGTGCCCTTCCGTTTCAATTCATCTAGCTCCTTCTGTTCGATCTGACGAGCCTTGGCTGACTCACGGATCTTCCCATGCCAGTGGTCAAACTTTTCTTGCTTTTGAGTCAAGCCTGAGGCTAATTCGCGGTCAATGCCACCCAGAGCGTCTTCGACCATTGTGCTGATTTGACTAATTGTCGCTACAGAAAGAGCGTTAGCTAGAAATAAATGATCGGGGAGGGGGCAGGATTTACCATCCACAATTTCCTTCTTAGATTTCGCCAGCTGGTCAATAAAGGTATCACCTCGACCTCCGGCTTGCTGTGACTGTGCATGACCATCAACCATATCAACACCCACTCCGTAATCCGCTGGTCTAAGACCAGTGTGATTTGGAATATGAGGATCGGCGCCGACCTCCAAAAGCTGTGGTACCAGAACGGAGCGTGCACGTCCAGCAAGGTTCAAGGCGGTATCGCCCTGGTCATCACGTAGATTGACAATCTCTGAAATGAATCGACCCAGGGAAATAACATTAGTCCCTTGTGATCCGTTCTGCATACTATCGCCATTTGTGGAAGATATCCCTCCGTGCCGAACAATGAATTCCAAGAGCGATTCCAAATAATGCTTCGCGGAGACATGTCCCCCGCCACCTGTTGCAGCCATAACGGCAATATGGTGTAAGATTGTTCGGCCCGTATAATCCACCATGTCAATGGTAGGGGCAAGCACTTGGAGAAGACGAGGAAAGCTTCGATAATCAAGGTTGTTTCGTGTTCCCACCGACTTCTGCAGGGCAGTTTCCCCGACATAATTGACACGGCCGATGTTCACTCCTCTAGCCACTAGGGCGTGGACAAGGGGTATGCGTGCAAGCATGGCAGCCCAGTGAAGAGCAGTGTTTCGGTATTCGTCAAGCGGAATCTCAAGGTCTTCACCAGACAACTGCGTGAGAGCTGGATGGTTGGTGAAATCCTTCGCCCGTTTGTCGAGAAACAGAGTCATCAGCAACTTCATTTTTTGGAACTTCTCTGGTGTAGTGGCCGGACCCAGAGCTTCAACACCACGTTTCTGACCATCTTCCATAGGCGGGGGTGGGAGATCAATGTCTTGATAGAAAGAGTCGTTGGGTTCGGTGGGAGTAGGTTCATGCATAGATAAATTAGATGGCTCTCGATGCAATCCAAATGACGGACCGTGGTGTGAGGTTGAGCGAAGCCGTTTGCGGGGAGGTTCAGCAAAATCGTCAGTATCATCTTGCGCCAGGTAACGATTTTGCAAGCTACTAAATCCGCTGTCAGACATGCCGTACATGCTCTGCTGGCTGCTAAAGGCCATCTGAGATTCCTGACTGCTCATCTGTTGTGATGGCTTGCGAATCACACTGGGGCGTCGGCTGTTGGCACCAGGGGAATCAAAACGAGCTTTGCTGATAGCATTCACAGCTGTGGCGGCAGTGCGTGATATATTTTGAAAGAATGTTCCCTGTTGGGGTTGTGATGAGCCGCGGTTCTCTGCGCCATTGTACAACCGTTTGCGCTGTGCTGCCATGGCTTGTTCTTTCGTTGGTGTATCGAGTGTTCCCTGAGAGGGGCCACCGGAACCATCAGGACTCATATCGTACTCCAGCAGAGGTCGCAGCAGCTCCTCTACATGATACTCCTTGCACAGTTCCACCCCCCTTTTGTAATTAACCCAAGTTCCTTGATACTTTCCATAACCACCCTGGACTTTCTCATGTTCACCCGCTGCGATTTCTTTCTCCAAGGTTTTGGTTCGGCGAGCCTTGACGACACCGGCAACTTTCAGGATCTGAGTCGCATTCAACCATGAATCAGCTCGGCGTTTCATGACTGCAACTCCATTGACTTCCACTTCATACACAGGGACATTCGAGTAAACGGCCTATTTGATATCGTAAGTGTGCAAGCCCTGATTGAGGGTTGAAGTAGGTGAACGAACGCGATAAATCTGTGGCGTGTACTCCTCCTGATACGACATCATAGACCCATTATCATTTTTCCCATCATATCCTCCATAGCTTCCTCGTGAAGCACCGTTGGACATATTGAAAGAGGACATTTGTGAACCTCTGGGCGGCGGCGGCGTTGCTCGAGGTGTGGAGGAGAGGGATTGGGATTTGGTCAAAATATTATAATTCGGTCCATTCATTGACCCAGTACTGCTTTGCGAAAGGGACATTCCCAGGCCTAATGGTCTCAAGGTCTTGGTCAGCGAACAAAAAGTGACCAGGGTAAGGTAAGTGGAGAATTACCGGGACGCGAAAAGGAGTCGCGTGGCTTACCAGCCCGAAAAGGGAAAGCACACCAGGTGTAAAAGTAGAACCATGCACTTCCCCAGCAATCAAATGCACAAGAATGTGTCAAGAACGGGATCGAAGATCGGTAGTAAATGCAAGGCAAGGCCAAGTCGCGGGGTTGGGGAAAGGAAGAGCGAAAAGGGCGCGTCAATCCCGTGACCGTGCCATCCGCCAAGGTTTTTCGCGTTTTCACCTGGTTTAGGGTGAGAACAACTACGACTTTAACACCAGAAATAAGATAATAATGGCAACTCCTCGAATAACTTCCATTCAACTGGAACAATGGCAACATTTACTCCGGGCTACGCTGCGGGAGTGTACCTATCTTCCCGATCCGATTGCTCGAACCTACATGCATGGCTATGTTTTGGACCGATATCGCCGAGCTTTCAAATCTAAGCAGCCGGAAGCCAAGTTGATACACACAGCTAAGAAGGAATTATCTCGTCTTCGAAGAGCAAATGAAGGCTACCCCCGTCCATTGGACCGAGTCATGATGATGTCCTATGGTCGCATTGGAAAACGGAGACACGAGTTACTAGCCGAGTTGATGAGCCCTGATGTCCCGACAGACACCGACGCACTCAGAGAACTAGTCACCAAGGCTCCAAACTTTACGGATGGATGGGAGCCTCCGCAAATCATCTTGTCTCTTATCAAATCTCAGATGAACAACGGAGTGGTCACATCATCTCGCATTCGACCTCAATTAAAAGGCGTCGAACCACCCATACCTGAGAAGAACAGCTGGGGTCGACCTCTGGGAGAATCTCGCAAAGCCAACATCCGGCATAAATGGTACTTTGACACGCTGTTTTGTCTTCTACCACCTTTACCGGATAAAGAACTCAAAGTCCTGGACGGGTTGATAGCCGGGACTGTGCTATGGAAACCCCGGAAACGAAAGCAGGTAGATGAGCCTTCAAAACCCCCAGATAACCTCTTATTGGATCTATTGGCGGATGGTCCTCAGAAGGGTCCTACTTTCCGGCCATATCTTCTTGGCCGGCCGCACAAGATCACCCCCAGGTTCATGCTCCGCCAGTGGCGGCGTATCTCTGCACTTGTGCCGCGGAAGTTTTGGAACGAGAAGTCGGCCAAGACGGTGAAGTGGATTTTCCACTGGGACGACCCCAAAAAAATGCCAACTTTGGCCTTTGACGTGGACCAGGACGCCGATGTCAATGAGATTTTTGGAGAACCATCCGAAGCCAAGAGCTCATCTGAGAGCTCGCCAAAGACTCTAACACCACCTACCCGACCAAAAAATAAGGTGATAGTATAATGTATGATATTCTCGAGGCCTAATTCACATATAAACTCCCCTTCAAAGTCACATCTCACAATGAGACACGTTAAGTTGGATGCAATACCTCGACAATTGTTTCCAGGGTTGAAAGAAGAGAAAAAAGCCTCAATCCAGATAGAAGTGTAGATTTCCAATCCCTGAGATTTCCACATGGTGTCCGATCAAATGTCAGGCAGATGTCAAAAGCAAATCATATATCGCTGCGTTTTTAAAAGAAATAATCCAAATCGCAATACTGGCCCGTAGTATGACGGATACTCACCGACGGGCTTCGGAGACCTAGAGCAACTAATGCTTTGCTATCGTTTCAAAATTAGCATCAAGTCAAGGTATGAGTTTCTATAGCGACTCCGGATATCGGAATGCACTCACCTCGGGGTGATAACCCTGTGGAGGATGCTGGCCCTGTCTGCTGTAGGGTTCACTAGCGTAGTTTGTGGATTGCATGAATACTTTGAGTATCTGCAAGATGGAGATAAAGCTAATATACATGATGATTATACAGTCTTTATATTGATGAAATTGCTGTTTGGTGGATGAGCAGCACCGTTTATATACCTCGCGTCCTCTCAACACGCCTACCTATTGGTTCCACATTTTGCAGGAGCGAACTAGCAATGGGGTGAGGCTATTATTATAGGGAAAGTTTGAGCAGTAGGGCTGTGGCTGAGCAGGTGAACCTGGTTTTGATAGGTCCATGGGCTTGTGCGGAATCATCTTAATCCCCGCACGCGCAATTATTCTGATTCGAAACACGTTATAGGCTGTGGTATCGTAATCTGCGTGAAAGATCGGCGATCAATATGGGCGCTTACAGTGCAATCTTTCTGTGGCGTTACGTTCAAACAAATAACTGCAAAGTGGTGGAATCAAGACAAACAAAACAAACCAAGCAAACAACCCGAAATATATCAAACATCTCCATATTGAGCGCTTCGTGTCAACTGATTCGCTCCTGATCGTACCCCCGACGATGCAACACATGCAAATCATGCAAACAACGGTATGGTCACGGACTTATAGCACCTGAGACCGAAAAGTGTTGGGAGATATGGTTGCATTAAATATACATGAGATTACGGAGTCATAGATTGGAATGAATCTTATCTACCCTAAAAGTACTTGAATTGCCTGTTTCCCCCGTTTCGTACTGTGAATGAACTACCCACTTTTGAAAACATCATGGTTGCAGCACCCGAGATCCACGACCCCGCGAAGTTTGATGACTTTCACGTCCACCATGTAACATATAAAGTTGTCGCTGAGCATTCAATTGACCTGTCGATTCTCGTTCCAAACATTTTAGTTGAGAGTGGCGAGCTGTCAGAGAAAACACCCTTGATCACTGAATTCCATGGCGGCTTTCTGATCGGAGGAAACCGCATCTTTTCCCCTTGGTTCTCAGACTGGTCAGTTTGAATACGAGCAGAGCATAAGTTCTGATTGTAGACGTGCTAAATTTGATTTACAGGCTCATTGAGTTAGCTTTGTCCAGGCGCGCAATTATAGTGACCCCAGATTACCGTCTCCTCCCCGAGGCAAATGGTCATGATATTCTCGCAGACCTGGCCAGCTTTTGGAAATGGCTACCCGACAACTTGGAACACAAGCTCGCGAGTTTTTATCCTCACATTCACATCCGCCCAGATTTCGATCGGATACTAGCTACAGGGAGCAGTGCCGGAGGATGGATGGTCTCCCAGAGCATGCTCTTGCATCCCGAAATTAATATCCAGGCAGCTATTATGGCTTACCCAATGATCAATCTCCGCGATAAATTTTGGACAGAAAAATATGAAAAGCCTATTTTTGGCTTGTCAACTGTAAGCACACCTGCTTTCCGATGGTCTTGGCTTCTTTTTGCTCATGTTTATATTTACAGCTGCCTTATGAGATTGTGGAAAGTCATTTGGAAAGTTTACCTCCGAATGCAGTTTTCACTACGGATGGAGATATAGAGAAGAAAGTGGAACTATTGAGACCGCCACTGGCAATCAGTATCGTCCAACATGGAAAGTATCTCGACTTCTTCGGTCGAGATACCAAGCTTTTCCCCTTCGAAAACTTACCACTCGCGAAAAGGCTTCCTCCTTTCGTTTGGCTGTTTCATGGACGTCAAGATTCTGCGGTGCCTTGCTCAGGAAGCGAGAAATTTATCGCTGAGATCCAGAAGCATAGGCCCGATGTTCTTGTGAGGCTTGATGTAAGAGATGGAGAGCATGGTTTTGATGGCGATGATAATGTCACCATTTCTGAAGGATGGATGAAGGAGGGAGTTACTGAATTATCGTCATATTGGTAATTCGGTGTGATCATGCCTGCGATAGGAAATAATAGAACCAATTATTCCATCCTCTTGTCTACGGGTTATTTGGATCTTGATTGCTCGCTGCTCACATCATTTCAAGAGCAAACCATAGTTGAGATACGCTATAAAGTTCATTGGCTGTCTTGTCCCGGGAGAGAAGCTTTCACGGCAATTCGGTAATTTCTTGGCGTTTTCTCGGTAATTATAGTATATGCATCTATGATACCTAGTGCCGAGAAAACCAAGCCATTGATCTCGGATCTGGTTGTAGTATAGACATTCGGGGTAGATAATCTAGCAGATCAACACCGCGCTTAGCACTACTACTGCCGACCTATCGCTTATGCTTCCTCATTCAGACTCTCGGCCGGGTCGAATCTACTGAATTTCCAGCTGCAGGGTTACACTACTAGTCGCATCCTTTCCCCGCTATTGTTGTCCAGCTGATCCCCAATCTTGCAGACGGCGTCGGCCAACCTCCGAAGACGTACATGAATCCCGAGCTCTCTCAAGCCATATGCCAAGCCTCACCCCCGGCGCGCCGAGTCTCGGAGAAAAGTTTAATTGCCGTAAGATTTTGAAGAGCCTCGTGTTGGAACAGGTCTGCATTCAGCCTATTCTAAAACATGGTTTGGTCGCTGTATGACCGTAGGATTTGGTGTCGTGGGCTTCTCGGTGAGCACGGCAAATAGGCTAAATCGGCAAGTCTCATCAACATGCCGAGGCTGATGGGCCAATGGTAATTTTGGTTGCAATAGAAAGCCGGCTGTCTTTGGGGGCTAGTGGGGCGCGGGGGTCTAAGATATTTGTTTTCTCCAGAAAGCTCCACATCCCATGGTCTGGGCAGATTCCGGAGAAATTCTATCCCGGGTATCTGCGGGGGTCACCCAGGCTGTAGTTCTCGTATTCTAAAAGGTGTTGCAGGGGTATGAACGGAGGTTGTCCGTGAAGTATCATCGGGAGTCAAAAGACAAGGGAGAGAACCTTGCGGGGAAGGGTCGGGAAGGGTCTTGGCTGTGTAGACACAGGGTTGTATTGTATGTTCAAGGAAAGGAAAGAAGGAACTAGTGCAAACCCTTTTAGTGTTTTCATTGTGCGGAGACTTCCTGACGGTGTATCTAACCAATCTTAGCATCAAGATCAATTTGACTCGTTTTGGGGGCTCGGCGGGATCATATGCACGATATCGGAGTTTTTCCCAAGGAAAGCTTTGCCCGTACCTTCCGTGGTCTATTCCGAACAAATCTAGCACTTGCTGACTGTGCACACAGAGCCCATTTCCCCAGTCTGGGGGGCTTACTCCGGGGATCCACTAATTCCCCAGAAAGTACAAGGATCGGCACTCAACCGTGGATTGCGCTCATCATTCGTGCTCCTACCCAGTCCAGGATGCTGACCCATACTCTTCAAGCGAATCGACTGGACATCCCTGCCTCTTAGAGCGCGGGGATAAGGTACACGGGCACATGGTCTCAAGGGCAAGGTCCTAAAAGAGTTCCTGACGTAGATTTGTATTTAAGACCCCCTCATTCCCAATACTTTCCTTTGGTTTTTTTTCCCTCTTTCGGATTCACCCCTGCTCTGACTGGCCCTTTAGCTCCCTTCCCCCTTTCGTTTGTTGCTACGGCCCCCCATTCTCTCGGCTTTCTCAACCTACTTCCGAGGGTCTAGCAGCTATGGCAGTACTCCAGGACGAGGCTCAGCACTCGGGTGCAAGAGCAGAGTCCTCGCCAGATGTCGAGGAGGATATGAGCATTGCTCGATACTTTGCTACGCGTATTCCGACATTGGTTCCGCCTATGAATAAGGCCCCAAACCCCTTCCGGGCCCTTATGCTTCTCAACCGCCAGCAATGGCTATTCTTCTGGGTATGGTGGTCGCAAGGGATACAACGAGTTCGAGATGCATTGTACTAATGAAAGCAATTAGGTCGCATTTTTGGGATGGAGCTGGGATGCCTTCGACTTTTTCACCGTTTCTTTGACCACTACCGAACTAGCTGAGCAATTTGACAAATCAGTCACCGATATCACATGGGGTATTACATTGGTGCTGATGCTTCGATCGGTGGGCGCGATTACCTTTGGTATTGCCGCCGATCGATGGGGTCGCAAGTGGCCGTTCGTGGTCAATCAACTTCTTTTTGTCGTCCTCGAGCTGGGCACCGGTTTTTGTCAAACGTACAAGCAGTTCTTAGCTTGTCGGTCTTTGTTTGGAATTGCCATGGGTGGTCTTTACGGTAACGCCGCTGCGACTGCATTGGAGGACTGCCCGGCTGAAGCGCGTGGTATTGTTTCTGGCCTGCTCCAGCAGGGTTATGCTTTTGGTTACCTTTTGGCAACCGCTTTTGCTCGTGGTTTAGTTGGTACCACCTCGCACGGATGGCGACCACTGTATTGGTTTGGTGCATGCCCGCCAATTCTCATCATTGCTTTCCGTTTGTGCCTACCTGAGACGGAAACCTTCCGTCGTCGACAGGAGACACGGGAAGCACTTAGTGGGGGTGTAGCGAAGTCATTCGTCGCCGAAGGCAAGGTAGCCCTTAAGCGCCACTGGCTGTTGCTGATGTACCTGGTTCTCCTGATGGCTGGGTTCAACTTTATGGTATGTGACATCTTCATCAAAGACCAAGTTATCTATATGCTAACGTAAGCTCTAGTCCCACGGCTCCCAGGATCTCTATCCCACGATGTTGAAGAATCAATTTAATTTTTCTGAGAATGCGGTCACCGTCACTCAGGTTGTCGCGAACTTGGGTGCATTGTCAGGAGGCACAATATGTGGATGGGCCAGCCAGATCTTCGGCCGCCGATTCTCCATTATCGCCATCAGCATTGTGGGCGGCGCGCTGCTGTACCCCTACACCTTCACCACAAGTCACTCTGTCATAGCGGCGGCGTTCTTCGAGCAATTCATGGTGCAAGGGGCCTGGGGTGTGATCCCAATTCACCTGATGGAGTTGTCCCCAGGACCTATTCGAACCTTTGCCGTGGGCACAGCCTATCAGCTTGGTAATTTAGTTTCATCCGCCAGTTCGACTATTGAATCCACCATTGGTGAGCGGTTCCCGCTCCCACCGTCCTCGACCGGTACCAAGCGCTACGAGTACGGGAAGGTGATCTGTATCTTTATGGGATGCGTCTTTGCCTATACTATCCTTATTACCCTGGCTGGTCCAGAGCGTTTGGGCCGAAACTTTGATGCGGAGCACGATGCCGATTTGGCAGCTGTTGCGGCCCACCGTGGTATGGACGGCGATGTCATCGATGAAACCGACCCAGAGAAGGCGGCGACATTGCGAAAGGAGTAGCATGAAAAGCTGATTTTGCACATTTGACCGATGAACGATTTATGGGATTGAGGTTACATGATTCAATGATTCCCCCAGATTTAATGAATAGCTAGTTTTGCAATCGATTACCCTATTTGCTTTCATCCCTTCTGGACGTTCAAATCTAGATGCGAGGGTTTTGTTAGCCGAAGGCTCAGTCTAGCAGTATCGTTCACTTCAGAGCACGGATCTCACGATCTGAATCTGCTTAATTATAATGGGTCATCCCAACAGGCTTGTCGGTCCAAGGGTTGAAAGATCTCTTCATCTCGCTCTGTGCTCCAGGGAAGGGAGAATGAATGCTCACGCTTACAGACCGACATCTCTCAGCACTGGAATCAATCTCAGGTCCCACAGGACCCGCTTGGGTCACGGTGGTCATCATTTCAGAAACACCGTTTACCGAATTCAGAGGGGAGCACCATTTTATAAGGCCCTTTGACCAAACCCCGCACTGCCAGGATTTTAAATGACCAGTGAGAAGAGCCGATATGTTGCCTGATTTGGTCAGCAGCATCTCGGCTTCTGAGAGCACTTTTGAACTAGCGCTAATCTATATCACGTCACGTCATCCGCCCCAGCTATTGGTTATAGGGGCTCACTATGTCCAACTTTTCTGGGATTTGAAAGTGGCTGAACATAATAGTGTCTGGTATTGCCATGTTTTGGTGTGACCTACGCGTCCTGCAGGTACGTGATCAAGCCCTAGCGGATTTATATGGTTGCCTACTCTGAAGAGAAATTTAACCGGCAGTTGAAAAGCTACAACCCGGCATTTCTATTGGGTTGCTGGGCATCAACTCACTAGGATACTTATGCACTGTCATTTCCTACTATTTTCTATCTGTTTTTCATATCGAAATGTTTCAGTAAAGAGGGTCTTACCTCCAGGTTTTACCCACTGCCAAGACTGGCGATACCGTTTCCGTCCATTGATCATTTTTTTAGTGTATGGAGAACGTAGTATGTAGTACCTTAGGGTTCAATGAGAAAAAGTAGTAGAAAAAGATCATCCACTAAAACCACCCTATCTATCTTCTAAGAAATCTCTCCCTTCTTCACTGGAGAGGAAAATAGATACTATAGTAATATAGGAAATCTTTCCGCTGTCAACCGGTTCCTTGTGCCTGTCCCACTGGTACCCTTTTTTCTTTCTCCACATCCCCCGACGACCCTGTGAAGAAAGGGAAGAAGAAGAGAGAGAGAAAAGGGCAAAAAAGAGGGATTTGTTACAGAATCATTAGAGGACTCTGTACATTTTCTTGTTTTTTTTGCATGTCGAGGCCCCAAACGCCAAGTCTAAGCCGGGAACCCCATCTTCCTCGCTCCAACCCCCGAAACTCGTTCTCGGGAAGCACTCGAACCTCTCCCACCCTCCCCGTCCGCATTCCAGCGCCCCTTCCCTCCCTTCTTGAATCTGTTCGCCCAGTGGTCGCGCTCCAGAGTGCCAAGATCGAATCCCCCTGTGCTGGATGAGTCCCGACTCCGCCTCCTCCAATGCACAGACGTTCGTCTGGCTCCCCTGTCGCGGACGACACTGAAGATTCCTCGGCTCGGTCAGACGATCATGGCTCCAATGCCATCGATGCTCCCAACGATAAAACGCGGTCGCAGATAGCTCGTCACGGTACCAGTTTTGATCTTCGCCGAGATAACGGTAGCTCGACTCCGCGCTCGCGGAACTCGAGCCTGTGGCGCACACCTTCGTCTCAACCATCCAACGATACTAAACCCATGCCATTGGGCTCTCCGCGGCTTCCGATGGAGGCACCTTCTCCCGAGGGCCGTCGTGCGCGCCAATCCCGACAGCGCAGTCCATGGTCATCTTCTATCCTCACGGTCTGCACCACCTTCGTCGCCATCGCGTTCTTGCTGTCAATCGTTCGCTCGTTTGTTGGCCGGCATACCGGAGGGGATGGTTGTGGAGTACCGATGATGAGCCCGACATTCATTCGCATGGTGGAATTCGATACAGAGCATACACGGTTCGCGAGCAAGTATAACCTGTTCCTCTATCGGGAGGAGGGTGTGGATCCATATACTCAGGATAACATTGGGGTAAGGCTGTGGTTATCAACGGGGTGAAAAGGCCCAAGCTAATTCCTGTTGCTTCCTAGTTAAACGGTGTACCGGTTCTCTTCCTTCCCGGAAACGCGGGCAGTTACCGACAGGTCCGATCACTAGCCGCAGAGGCGTCGCGGCATTACTACGACGTGGTACGGCACGATGAGGAGCGACATGCGGCCGGTACACGGAGCCTGGATTTCTTCATGGTGGATTTCAATGAGGATATGGCCGCATTTCACGGACAGACCTTATTGGACCAGGCGGAATACGTGAATGAGGCGATTGCATACATCCTCTCTCTCTACCATGACCCGCAACGGACTCGGCGGGACCCCGGATTGCCAGACCCCAGTGCCGTGATCTTGATCGGACACTCGATGGGTGGCATTGTAGCACGCACCGTTTTGACGATGGCCAACTACCAGGCCAACTCAATCAATACGATCATCACCATGTCTGCACCACATGCAAGACCCCCGGTATCATTCGACTCTGATATCGTTCATACCTACAAACAAATCAACGACTACTGGCGCGAGGCCTACTCGCAGACATGGGCCAACAACAATCCGCTATGGCATGTTACTTTGGTTTCCATCGCGGGTGGCTCGCGCGATACCGTAGTCCCGTCTGATTACACCAGTATATCGTCCCTTGTCCCGGAAACGCACGGATTTACCGTGTTCACATCCTCAATTCCCAACGTGTGGATTGGCAATGACCATTTGTCTATCACTTGGTGTGACCAATTCCGCAAGGCAATCATCAAGTCGCTTTTTGAGATCATCGATGCCCGACGTCCGACTCAAACAAAACCCCGAGCAGAGCGCATGCGAGAGCTAAAGCGGTGGTACTTGACAGGCTTGGAGGATGTTTCTGAGAGAACGCTTGCCCAGAAAGAACCCAACACTCTTTTAACCCTCGAAGATAATGCAAACACCATTCTTGCCCTAGGCCAACGACTTATCCTACGTGAAGTGGGCCAACGACATGGGCCCGATGTTCGTCTTCTGCCAATTCCTCCCCAAGGTGTTGCAGGCAAGAAGTTTACCCTTCTCACTGATCAAGTCATTGGTACTCAGGGCAACATCGAAGTGCTCTTTTGCAGCGTGTTCCCCTTGAACAATGGACGTTCGACCGTCTTTTCCATGAACATGGAATACTCCGGTGGAACTGCGGGATCTACTAGGTTGGCTTGCAAGAGTGCACAAGCTGATGTCATTCATTTGCCTGCTTCTACCCCTTCGTCAAAGCACGCTTATGATCATGTTCCACCATTCTCCTACCTCCAGTATGATCTGGAGGGTCTTGCAGAACATCAGTTTGTAGCTGTTGTGGATAAGGCCAGCGTGCCTGCACAAGGGTTCCTAGTCGCAGAGTTTTCAGATAGCTCAGACTCGATGATTCGCGCCAAGGTGGGATTGGGTAGCTTGCTGGGTGCAGGCATCAAGATGCGGCTGCCTGCTAATCGGCCCATGGTCACTGAGATCAAGATACCAGCTTTGTACTCTAGCCTGCTGGACTACCGTCTTAAAATCACACGACATCCTCAAAAAGACGAGCTCTTTGCTCCACTTCTGAGGCAGTCCATCGCGGATCCTCACGAATCTAAATTCTTCGTGAATGTCGACCATGTGAATGTCAATCTTCACGGTGCTGCCCCGTTCATGCCGCCTCCGCTCCGCGACCAAGCAGCCCAGGCCGGCGTGTCGTTCCAACTGTGGACTGACCCAAGCTCTGGATCGACTGTCGACTTCTCTCTTCAGGTTGACATTAAGAGCAGTCTGGGCGAGCTCGTGATGCGATACCGCACCATCTTTGCAGCATTCCCATTACTGGTCGTAGCCCTTGTGCTCCGCAAGCAATTCCAGGTCTACGATGAGACGGGCTATTTTATACCCTTCAACGATGGACTTGATCGAGCTCTGCGGTCGTCTCTTCCCCTCTTGTTGGTAGCGATGTCGCTTTTGGCGTCTTCCCTGGCTACCTCTAAGGCGCTCCCTCAGTCCGATGATCCATTCCATTGGCGGACCAACTCTACGGAAACTCCGGCCGATTTCACCAAAAACGATCTGCTTCTGGGGTCGCAAGATGCCTTCTTTTGGTTCCTTGTTCCGATATTTGGAGTCATCAGCGTCGGTGCTTGTTTATTGGTTAATTACGTGGCTCTCTTCTTGGTCAACATCTTCTCTTTGGCGTATGGGGCTGTGAACAGCAAGTCGGGCTATATCCGACGCGAAGACCGAGGGTGAGTGCTCTCCGCCCTATTCTTCCGGGTCAAACCACTAATCTGTCATAGAACTCTCCCGATCTTCAGCGCCCCTACTCCTCGACGGCGTGTAATCCATACTATAATATTGCTGATCCTCGTCTCCACGATCATTCCCTATCAATTTGCCTATATGGTAGCTTGTATTGTACAGCTTGCGACGTGTGTGCGTGCCCAGTGGCATGTCAAGGAGACCGTATGTTTTTTCTCTAGCCCCCTTGCCAACATAGATCGTTCTAACTTTTTTAGCAGAGATCCGCTTCTCACCTCAATTTCGGCAATTACGCCCACTCTATCCTCATCCTCATGTTGTGGATTTTGCCCATCAATGTTCTGGTTCTTCTGGTCTGGGCCCACAATCTTGTGGTGCACTGGTTCATGCCCTTCTCCTCCCACCACAATGTCCTATCTGTCATGCCATTCCTCCTCCTGGTTGAGACCATGACTAGTGGCGCTATGATTCCACGCATTACTACTCGGTATGTCTATCCTAACCCCGTCCTTCTGCTCTGCTATAACCTAACATTCTCTAGGTTCAAACACGTCACCTCGATTATCTTCTTTGCAATTGCCATGTATTCGGCGGTGTACGGTGTCACCTATGCATACCTCCTCCACCACCTTGCGAACCTCCTCGCAGCCTGGTTTGTCGGTATTTACCTATTCGGCAATAATTTTTCCCCGCGTCGCCTGTGGCGCATCATTGATGGCGACGAGCTTCCCTCCGAATCAGGAAGCCGCCACGTCAAGAAGAAGCCATGAGAAAAAGAAACCCCCAGTTTTAATCATGTTTTAACCTTGTCGATTCTGCTTCGGCGTTCCGCATCTGGGAATGGAGTTTGAGCGTTTTGTTTATTTTTTGTACAGCACAATGCGGGATGGGATGACCATCCTCATCGTCTCATTCCCTTCCCCCTACTTCCCAGGAATGACAATATCAGCAACCCTTGTCACGGGCCTTGCCTGTGTCCTATACGCGGGGAGTATCTGCTGCTATATCACAACCAGGTCGCACTTGTTTCCTCCTAATCTTGAGGATGACATCCCAATCCCTCTGTGTGCATGTTCCTTGATCCAGGGAGCTGTGATCCCACTCGACCAAGTGTCATGGCTTGGACATCGATCTCCAAGAACCAGCGCGGTGGTTTTGTGTATATATCTTGATTGTTTTCTCTTTCCTCTTTGTCTTCTTGATCTGGACATAGAATTCTGGGGTGTTGGTTGGGCAGACTGTGAACTTTTGGACTTTCTTGTATGCGTTTGGGTGGCGGGTGATAGATCCGGTCGAGCATCCCACATACTAATAGTCTTTCATTTTGGCACTGTTCTGTTGACCTGTACTGTGTTTTAGACATGCATAGATCATGAATTATTCTGACGAATTTTATCCGCACTTATCAAGCAAAGGTTGGAGATATGTCTATAGAAGCCCAGGCTCGGGGCAATAGTCCATGTTGGTTTTTTTACTTTACATTCAACTAGGCGGTACCTGATGCATGCTCCGGTGGCTGCGGTCAAGATTGGAGATTTTTATCTATACATGGCCATGTAAAGCACAGGCTTGTTCTCTCGAGGTCAGCTCAAAGTTGAAACGGTATGCTTTTTACCGCGGTATCATTGCTTAAGACAGTCGCGGTCAGACACGGCTGAACAGTCCCCTCGGAAATGAAATTGTGATAGGCTCCCACAAGTCCTGCCCCTTTTTTTTATTAAATCTTGAGATGATAGGCCTGAGCGTCATGGCAGGGGGAAAAGGGGGTGCTAAAAGTACATGTACGATCGTTTGACAGGGGTAGTGAATTGATGAAGAAAGGGGTCCAGGCCTAGGATCAATACAGGTGCGCGGAGATCTGTAGGAAACCCATTCTTGTCCTCTGTGGATCTACCCCAGATTTGATACATCCCATGCGATGTATAGAAAGGGGTGGGGGCGGCCCCATACGCTTTACCCCAGGTCAGGGAAAGGAAGGGGCCAAAGATGTAGAAAAGAGAGGCGCATGGATTCACCCCCAAATCCAACTATAGAACATAAAAGACAATATCTCGTTTCAACGTAAGTACCTACTGGTTTGGTGGCGGAAGGCAAACACCGATCATGCAACAAGGGGGAAAAAAAAAAAAAAAAAAAACCAAATTAAATTTCTTGACAAATCATAACGCGAACTCTCTTTGCTCGCATGCCTCCGGGTCCAGGAGGTACCGTTAGAAGGCCGGAGAAAAGACGGCAGAGTCGGCTAGAGAATGAAGTCACAATTCGGACAATGAGCATTGAAAATCTAAGGTAGAAAGAAAGTTTTTCAAGACCCACTGGCCGAAAGACCCGATCGATTTTCGCCGATTTTCGCGGGGGATAAGAGATGATCCAGATAATTACAGTGGCTTAGGGAAGAAATTGTATTTCCAGTATGTGACCTTTAAACTATTTTACGGATTCGTGGAAATAAGGAAAGACAAAAGATTTAAGGTTACACATCGATAAGCGATAAGAAAAAACTTTGAAGCGGTGAGGGGAGAAGCGGTGATGGACTATGATGAATCCCCCTTAATATAATTGCTCTGTCTAAATGAAGAAAAGAATTAAAATTTTTAAAAAAAAATACCCCTGAGATATTCAATGTTGCCCCGTCGATCTAGGCAGATCATAGAATAATAATAGTTCTTTGCTTTATTCCACGCTTACGGCCCCCTTTGAAGTATGTCTACGTTAACCCATGTTCAGCCGCTGACTGTCAGATTCCAGAACGTACTGTAGTGATTTGAACGGACAAAAACGGGAGAGGATCTGGTTCGTAGCGATGTAAATCTTAAAATATCATATGTACAATACGGATTAGATGAACAATTGGAGTATAAATTGTCTGATTTTTTTCGACGTCGGAACTGTTGATTGGATATACCGAACATAGCCTACGCCACCGAGTCATGAAAGTGGCGAACAACAGAATTTGGCAGCGGCAGCCCTGCGCTATCCACAAGTCCAAATTCCATGCATTAGGAGGGCTTATGAACAGAGAGTAAAGGTTGTTTCACGCCCCGGATTGACCCCCTAGAGTGGACTAGGCTATGGTGCATGTGCAGGCCTCGAGCCTCTGATAGCCGCGGGAAAAATATGATAAAAAGAAATATAATTCAAAGACATGCGAATCATAAAAATAGAATCCGAAAAAGACCCCAAATAAGAGAGACATAGTATATACACGTTACTGTAGTTGCTGTAGTTACTACGAGATAGGGCTATCTAAGAGCAACACCCCTCCTTCCTCAAACCGATTTTTTCATTCCCCAACCGGCAACCAATCAAACAGGAGGGATTCGGGCACACACTAGTTGTTGGCCAATCGGGGTCCATGTACTTTGGAGCTAAACTCAAAACAGGTTTAGTTTCGCTGGGAACAAAAAAAAATTTTCGATTCACACCTTGGGCGGCGAAGGGCCACACGATAAATAATCTTGCCCCCCCTTCAACCCGCCCCTCCTTCTTCCCACTTCCCTCCTCATCTGTTTTTTTGAGGTCTGCCCTCTTTGTTTTCTTTTTTTTTCTCTCTGCATAGACAGATAGAAAATCTCAAGCCGCTCAATCTTTGAACAGAGCGTTGCTGTGTCTTGAACAGTTGACACGGCGTGGGCCATCGATATCGTGATACCCATAGAAAAGTCTTTCTTTTCGTTATCTTAATCTCGCCTTTTTTTTTCCCCCTCCACCGCCAAAATTTCCTCCAAAATGCCTGCCGTCGATGTTTCCAAGGTCCCTGCCGCCTCCGGCAAGGAGGTCGCCCAGTCCGTGGCCGTCCTCGAGGACTTGATCAAGAACCTCAACATTTCCACCTCCGCCGAGGAGGTCAACGCCGCCGCCGGCAACCTCGCCACTCTCTTCAGCGGTCCCATCCCCGAGCAGACTCTGCCCGCCAAGGCCGCCGAGACCTTCGTGAAGCAGCTTGCCAACAAGAAGGATGCCACTGCCCGTGAGCGTGCCCTCGAGGGCATCCGGGCCATTGCCTCCCACGCCACCATCGCTCCCGGTGTCGAGCCCCACCTTGCTGCTCTCCTGGGCCCCGTTCTTGCCGCTGTTGGTGACAAGATGACCCCCGTCAAGGAGGCTGCCCAGAGCACCGCCACCGCTATCGTTCAGGCCATCAACGGTAACGCCGTCAAGGCCATCGTCCCCGCTCTCCTTGAGTCCATCCAGAACGCCCAGAAGTGGCAGGAGAAGATGTGTGCTCTCAACTGCCTCGAGCTCCTCGTTGAGTCTTCCCCCGCTCAGCTCTCCTACCAGGTCCCCCGCCTGATCCCCGTCATCTCCGAGGCCATGTGGGACACCAAGAGTGACATCAAGAAGGCCGCCTACACCACCATGGAGAAGGTCTGTGGTCTCATTGTCAACAAGGATATTGAGCGCTTCATTCCCGAGCTCATTAAGTGTATCTCCAAGCCCGAGAACGTCCCCGAGACCGTTCACTTGCTCGGTGCCACCACTTTCGTTTCCGATGTCACTGGCCCCACCCTCGCTATCATGGTTCCCCTGCTTGACCGTGGTCTTGTCGAGCGTGAGACTGCCATCAAGCGTAAGTCCGCCGTCATTGTCGACAACATGTGTAAGCTTGTCGAGGACCCCCAGATTGTCGCTCCTTTCTTGCCCAAGATGTTGCCCGGCCTGAACAAGAACTTCGAGACCCTCGCCGACCCCGAGGCCCGTGAGAAGACCCGCCAGGCCCTTGACACCCTCACCCGTGTTGGTGAGATCAAGGATGGCAAGATTCCCGAGATCTCCAACGCCGGTGACATCTCCACCGTCTCTGCCATTCTCAAGGAGATCCTCCAGGAGAAGTTCGCTGACCGCATTGCCACCTGCGAGACCATCATCAACTACGTTGCTGCCATCGCTGGTCAGCTCGTCGACGAGAAGGACTCTGATTCCACCATCTGGACCCAGAACGCCCTTCCTTACATCGTTGCCATCACCGGCGAGGAGGACGCCCGTTCCGTCGCCGAGACCCTGCGCAAGCGTGCTTCCCCCGAGGCCGCTGCCGCTGACGAGGTCCCCTCCGATGAGGAGGAGGGTGTCGATCTCTGCAACTGCACTTTCTCCCTGGCCTACGGTGCCAAGATTCTGCTCAACCAGACTCACCTGCGTCTCAAGCGTGGTCAGCGTTACGGTCTCCTCGGTCCCAACGGTTCCGGTAAGACCACTCTCATGCGTGCTATCAACAACGAGCAGCTTGAGGGTTTCCCCAAGAAGTCCGAGGTCAAGACCGTCTACGTCGAGCACGACTTGGATTCCGCCGATACCGAGCAGACTGTCCTTGGCTGGACTCTCAAGAAGCTTGTCGAGGTTGGCCTGGAGCCCGTTGAGGCTGACGTCAAGGACAAGCTGGTCAACGAGTTCGGCTTCCAGGAGTCCCAGCTCGATGGTCTCATTACTGCCCTGTCCGGTGGTTGGAAGATGAAGCTCGCTCTGTGCCGTGCCGTTTTCGAGAACCCCGATATTCTGCTGCTCGATGAGCCTACCAACCACTTGGACGTCAAGAACGTTGAGTGGCTCGAGAACTACCTTAAGAGCTCCCCTTGCACTTCCATCATGGTGTCCCACGACTCCCGCTTCTTGGACCACGTTATTCAACACGTCATCCACTACGAGCGCTTCAAGCTTAAGCGTTACCGCGGTACCCTGAGCGAGTTCGTCAAGCGCGTTCCCTCCGCTCGCTCCTACTACGAGCTGTCCGCCTCCGACATGGAGTTCAAGTTCCCCGAGCCCGGTTTCCTTGAGGGTGTTAAGACCAAGTCCAAGGCCATTGTCCGTGTTTCCAACATGTCCTTCCAGTACCCCAACACTCCCAAGCCCCAGATTCGGGACGTCACTTTCCAGGTCTCCCTGGGTTCCCGTATTGCCGTCATCGGTCCTAACGGTGCCGGAAAGTCCACCTTGGTCAACGTCCTGACTGGTGAGCTGATCCCCACCTCCGGTGATGTCTACCAGCACGAGAACATCCGTATCGCCTACATTAAGCAGCACGCTTTCGCTCACATCGATAACCACCTCGGCTCCACCCCCTCCGAGTACATTCAGTGGCGTTTCCAGACCGGTGAGGACCGTGAGACCATGGACCGCGCCAACAAGATCGTCACCGAGCAGGACGAGAAGGCCATGGACAAGATCTACAAGGTCGAGGGTACCCTCCGTCGTGTCATTGGTATCCACTCTCGTCGCAAGTTCAAGAACACCTACGAGTACGAGATCTCTTGGTCTCTGGGTGACAACATCGGCATGAAGTCCGAGAAGTGGACTCCCTTGATGTCCGCTGACAACACCTGGTTGCCCCGTTCCGAGATCATGGAGTCTCACTCCAAGCAGGTCGCTGAGGTTGATCAAAAGGAGGCCCTCGCCTCCGGTCAGTTCCGTCCCCTTGTCCGTAAGGAGATTGAGCAGCACTGCGCCAACTTCGGTCTCGACAACGAGCTGGTCTCCCACTCCCAGATGCGCGGTCTGTCCGGTGGACAGCGTGTTAAGGTCGTCCTCGCCGCTTGCTCTTGGCAGCGTCCCCACGTCATCGTCCTTGATGAGCCTACTAACTACCTGGACCGTGACTCCCTTGGTGCTTTGTCCAAGGCTATTAAGTCCTTCGAGGGTGGTGTTATCATCATTACTCACTCCCGTGAGTTCACTGAGAACCTGACTGAGGAAGTCTGGGCCGTCAACGACGGTCTCATGCAGCCCTCCGGCCACAACTGGGTTCAGGGTCAGGGTTCCGGTCCCCGTCTCGACGCCAAGGGTGACGATGAGGAGGACAAGTTCGATGCCATGGGTAACAAGATTGTTACTGAGAAGAAGAAGAAGCTTACTGGTAAGTTCTTTGTTTCACTTTATCCTCCTGGACTACATTCACGACAAGATTACTAACATTATTTTCCAGGTTCTGAGCTCCGCAAGAAGAAGAAGGAGCGTGCTGCTCGCCGCAAGCGTGGTGAGGAGGTCTTCTCTGACGAGGATGACATCTAAGTCATTTAAGACGGGATTATACTGTCTTTTTATGGAGTTTATGACTTTGTTTAATGAATTTCATAGTTGTTGATGAGGACAAAAATACATTTCATGCTGTTCAGATTTCTCAATGCTTTCTATTCTTACGATGATTCTGTAATTCTGTAATAAGAGTTCTTGGAACTACCCATGAATGAGTTCCATTTCAAAGTAACATCTATGAGCTAACATTGCCCTTGTTGCACTTAGAATCCAAGGCTGGCCTTCAGCTCGTCAACGAGCTTGATGTATTGCTCCTGGGCATCCTCCTCTGATGTTCCCTCCAGCTCCTTCCATGCGTCCCACTTGTACTTCTCCTAAAAGGCGAACGTTGGTATTAGTGGAACGTCTTAGGAACATGAAAGAGAGTCTTACCTTGAAGGCCATGGCTCCAGGCCGTTCTGTGTTGACGTCACCCACTGTAGCTTGCTTGTAGAGTCCGTAAAGCTGATGACAAGTCAGTACAGTATCGCGCATAAGGGGGGTAGCGGGTATCAGTTTACCTTCAAGAGCTGGTCGTTTGAGGGCTTGGCCTTGAGGTTGTTGACATCCTTGGCGGCCTCTTCGAACTGTTCCTTGAGGGAAGGCATATTGACGGTATTGGTGATAAGTGGGAGTAGGAGACTTCAGGTGTAGAGAGTTGAATAGCGGGGTTCAATTCGCAAGATTTGCTCATATGCTCTACCCCGCTACGTGACCGGTATATATCACGTGTTGTATTACTAAGCTATGTCAGGTACCAACGGTTATGTACCTCGGTTCCGGGACCTGTAGATGCAGAACATAATGGAGTGTCATTTACATTATATTTGTTTATTCCCTTTGAATATCTCGTAAGCCAGCTCAAACAATGTTTTCACAACCACTTCTCCCCGGGGCCTCCAGAATCTACACTCTATGCGTTTTTCATGCTGGCTTTCCTTGTCCACATTCAGTACAAGAAGTTCGCCGACTCTTATGGACATTTTGCAAGCCATTTATGAGGAGCATATCGCGAGTGGAAGAATGATACGCGGGCAACTTGGATTCATGAGACGGCTCGGCAGGTTCGTGAGATGAGATGGATTGAGATGAGTACTCTTCCTTTATCTCGATCATTGTGCTAAGTCTTTAGGAGTAACGGTTTTTCTTTTTTGGACTTCCCAATCCTCTCATTAAATGTGTTCAAGAACAATTACCCTCAATATATTTCATATCGTAGTCATTCATTTACTTTCCTGAACATCGATTAACTTTGGGTACAACATTCCAACGATCATTGAACTTCTCCCAGTATATCTGAAGCTGCTCTCTCGTCCTAACACGGTCCCATTGGCCACCATCAACACCAGTGCTATCTATATGGAGAAGTGCAGCTCGAGTAACAAATGCACAACTTGGAGGCAACGTGTCCAAATCAGGAGCAGAAACCCTATTGTGACTCATTGCGATATCCTGCACCATCTTCGTGATCGAGTCCAGGGCAGTACGCGAGCTTTCCAGCCACTGCTCTGGAGATTTGCGCTTGCAGGCACTCATGTGTGCTACTTGGTGCAAGATTTCACGATGTAAAATGAAAAGAGCCCTATTGGTCTTTAGTCAAGAAGATGCCTCTGGAAGATCAGAGGGGTTTCACCTGATAATCATCGTATTGGCAGCGCAGAATGAACCCCAGGCCCCCTGGTCTTTATCCATGACCACAGCCAAGACGGTAAGGAGAGTATGAGTAAGCCCGTCTAGTTGAGTTAACCTTGCATCTAAGTCTGTTACCTCGATTGCTCTGAAGACCTCATCCAGAAGCCATACTGCTTGTGCCATACATGCAAAGCCGCCTATGGTTCCTGAAGTGGAGTTAAATCCTGCGATGGACTGTAACGTTGGTTCCGTTGGAAGCGGAGCTTCTCTGGGGGGAACCCGTGATGCAAAGGGCTGTCGAGAATCGACTATTTCGCAGTAAATTGTCCTGTACCAATGAGCTTCGTATAGATCAGCTAGATTGGACTGAACTGTTGTCATACCTTTCACAGGCGACTATGCCCCACCATGTGTTCCCTTCCTCTTCTGCTTGGAGATAGGCACAGCGGTCCATTCCTAAGTCTGGGCTTGAAAGATGAAGACGAGATGCATAGCCCATTCTTGCGCAGAGGCCAATAGTAGTAAACGCATCCTGGAATTTGCCAGTCGCATACTCATATGCAGCAATAATCGTACTCGCTTGAATGAGATGTAACGATGGTGAAGAAGATGCCTGCACCTGCGCAAAGAGTGTTTTGGTAGTTATGTATAGAGTTTTTGTGTCAAGAGGATCGAAACCCTGTTGCGGCGGCTCTGATTGATAGGTGATCAGGCACATGCTCAGCAACAAAATCGAGAAGCTGACCGGGGGTGGTGCTCCATATTGGACAAGCTGATCATGGAAACGAGGACGCGAGATGATCGGGATAAATGAATGGATACCACGAAAGTATCTCGCAATGATGTCATCTATAAATCGACCTGTCGCTCGTATAATCTGTAAAGTCTGTAGGTAGATACTTGAGTCGACAGTGGGCGGGTTTGAGGATAGAACATCTGAGAAAGTTGTTGAGAGAAGCAAAGAAGCCCGAATTATGGGACTCGGAGTAGCCAAGAAAGGCCTTGGATGAGCAATCAAGCGTTTGGCATCAATTGATTGGTATGAACACTGTAGCTTTTTTCTTCACGTCCTGTTATTTAGTGTACCAGAGTGGGGCCAGAAGAAGACTGACTGGGTGCAATAACCACACTGTGGCTGCACTTTATCACACTTCTTCTTACGTGATTTGCAGTTCACGCAGGCAGAGCGCAATGGATCGGTGGACACCATTATATTTGTTATGTGGATGAAGTTGAGGGATTTGCCAAGATATAGCGTGGTCATTACAAATCAAGGGTACTGCCGCGCTGACGAGTGGAGACGGGCTTCAAGGGGTGTCCTGAACTCGTGGATTTAAGGATTTCCAAGTAATATATATGAATATATAGACTGTTTAAATGTAAGGCTGCACATTTGAACCTTTGCTGTCGGGTTTCAATTTCTAAAAGCGCAGGTAAGTGAAAGTCCCTGTGGCTCTTGATGTTAGGATCCTCAAACCACCGACGAGACTGGAAGCCCCTCTGCGATTAAGATTCATCGGATATTGATCTTTGTTGTTCAGCCATGCCTGATGAGGGCAGATGGCCTTTTTGGATTCGCCTTTCACACCCATGGTGCCATCTCAGTGATAGATTCGTGCAAATATTTCGGTTTCTCTTTCTGCGAGCTCGACATGGACCACTGGAGCTTTTGGCCTAGGGTCTTGTTTTGGGATAAGTTGGTAGAAACTTCATAGCAAAGGTCTCTTAATTAAATGATTCTTGAAGAGGTGCGCCCGCGATCGGCATTGCGAGCTGTGGCTCGAGTGTAAGCGCTGTCTCCTAGATCTTGGATCGCTTGATGCCGCAGGCTAAGGAGTGGTACGTTGTACTGCGGAGCTGCTAGCTGGTCCTGGTGTGAGGTAAAAGGGATCTCTCGCCAGTATATTTGATGATCAAGTGTAAATTTCCTGCTCCATTGATCAAGAAGACTGCATTTATCGGCCGAATTACCCATACATCATATCGGACACTTTGACTTGCTGACTGCATATGTCACAAAACTTTCGAGGATCATCTCATGTTGGAGATATGGATGTGCCAGTAAAGAAAAGATGCTAATGCCGCGTGCCGCCGCGTTAGGAAGTCTCGAGACTTCGGGCCAGAATGCCGGGAGTTCTAGGTTAGTGTTCCGTAGTTCGAATATATTTGATCGGTCTAAATGGCATGTTTCGAATGCATCTCATGTGGACAGTTGCCTGACCGCAACTCGACCCGGCAGTTTGGAACCGACTTTGTTGGCAAGACCTGTAATTGTTGCGGCCGAGGCGGGTCTTTTGAGGGCGGGGTGTCTCGTATCCTAGACGTGTCTGTTCAGGCCTTGGAAGGAGAGGATTCTAAGTGGAGATTCAATGGAGATCCAAACCGTCGGGATCATTTAGCGCTTGGGGATCGGATATCCCGCGCGAGCACCAGACTTTTTTCTTCTTCTTGTTTTTTTTTTTTTCCTGTGTCCAGGTCAATGCGGTTGCAGCTGAAGTTGATTCAAGTCCATCTGCAACTAGAGCGTTTCTTGGGAACAATAGAAGAAACATGATTTGCCGCGGGCTCGGTAAACATGCAAGATCCCGGAAGTTCTATCTGCAGTTCTTGTGCGACAAAGTTCCGGATCTGCATCGATGATTGGTTGATCCGGTGGTTGGAGATGGAGAACAATAGATTGGGCCTCGTGCAGGCCCTCACCGAACTGGAGAATGTACTGCATACTCATGGACAGGTCACATTCCCCCTCCATTCTCTCGGATTATAAGCTCGGGTTTCGTCACTTCGAGCTCCATTCTCATTTGGAAACCAACCTGCATTGACTATGGAGCCCGCCTCGGCTCCTGATGACCCTCGGCGGCCCGAGGCGCTACTAGACGCCGGCGAAACCACGCTTAATATCGAAGGTCCAGTCGCTGTGGATGATTTCGCAAGCGTATGAACCGATCGTCTTCAACATGGGGACTAGAACTAAGGATCATACAGGATGAAAGCAGTCACTTTGGTAGCAGTGACTCGGATATCACATCTCTGTCATCCAGTATTCTCGATTACGAATACGAAAATGGCCGACGCTATCATAGTAATCGAGCGGTATGTCTTATTTGGTCTACACTGAAACTTACTCTAACTTGACTATAGGGACTTTACATGTACTGCTAATCTGCCTGATGGATATGGACTACAGCTGATTGAAACCTAGGATGCCAAATGATGAAGAGGAACAAGACCGCATGGACTTGGTATAGTTCCCTTTCTCCCATTCTGGAATGTCTCCCGCTCATAGATATAGGCCCATCATATGTCAGCAGACCAATTCCATCCATTTCGATTACTAACCTTGTTCTAGCTGGTTGGTGCTATTAAAGGGAGAGCTGTATAAAGCGCCCGTCAAAAACCCCCAGAAAATCTTGGATCTTGGCACCGGAACTGGCATTTGGGCCATTGATATAGCAGAGTATGTTTCCATCCGCCTCACTTTCGATGCATGGCTAATCAAATTCTAGAAAATTCCCAGAAGCTCAGGTAATCGGGACTGATATCAGTGCTATCCAACCCAGTTGGGTCACTCCCAACTTGGAGTTCCTTGTGGAGGATTTCGAGGCCGAATGGCTCTACAAGGAGAACAGTTTCGACTTCATCCACACACGAATGATATCTGGGTAAGTTTCCTGCCTTGTTCTACCTAGATATCCATGCTGACAACCTTGTTCAGATGCGTAAAAGACTGGCCCCGGTTACTGCAACGGGTCTACGATCATCTCAAGCCCGGAGCTTACTTTGAGATCCAGGAGAGTGCTTTGTGGGCCTGGAGCGATGACGGTACGGTCAAGCTTGACTCCCCCTTCATTCAGTACCTGCAAGCATTGGAAGTCGCCTCGCACAAGGCTGGCAGAGATTTGAACGTCTACTTTAAGCTTCGTGATTGGCTTATTACCGCTGGCTTTGAAGATGTGCAGCAGTTCTCGTATTTCTTACCCTACGCTCCTTGGCCACAAGATCCTTATCTGAAAGACCTGGGGAGATACATGCTTGCCATGACCGAGAAGGCCGTCGAGTCTTATGGTTTGAGATTGTTCACCTCGGTTCTTGGTTGGGGTACTGAACCATCCCAGATCTTGAATGCAGCGGTGAGGCAGCAGATGCGTGACAAGAACATGCACGCGTATTGCAAGGAGTAAGTCGCTACGTTGAAATTGTGATAGATCTCTATTAACGTGATGTCTAGGGTTGTTGTGTACGGGAGAAAACCCTTGAGATAGCACGATTTTCGAGTACATAATCTCCTCCATCCTCTCTTCTATTTATTCTTTTGTGCTATTTCTTCTAATGGTAGCAAGTCTTTCCATAAATCTGATCATCCACCTCTTTCGTCGCAGAAGGGCGCTAGATGAGGGGTTCCATCTACCTCGGCCCAGCCCTCTAGTATCATGAGCACCGGCTTCAATTGGCCACATAAGAATAAACCGTGGGTTGAAACAAAGGTCATGGGACCGTGTGCAGAAAGTAATAATCAATTTACCGTCAGTAGCGCAATATGTAACCTTAGCTCCCCGATATTCGAGAGAAAAGCCTAAGCCGCTTGAACCTCCACTTGAATTACATGTGCCGTGCCTAGTTTTAGTCCAAGCATGTCATTGGATCATCCTTACCCCGGGACATATTCGGGCGAGATTTTAGCCGTAGATGACGCTCAATGCCCAGACATGTCAGTAGGTCGTGAATATGATGAATTCATATCATTTTTTTTATCGTCTTTTCGCGGCTGTCCGCTCCGTATGTTACTCATACGCGTTCCTCTTTTTCTGACTATCATATGGGGCTAACGGCATATATCAAATGCCGAAGATCGTACGTTTCTCCACAGATTTTCCCACATTATTCAAGGCTCTTGAGTGGAGCTCTCTGGAGTCTCCCCACAAATTAAACTAACTTTAAAACCTTGATTTCCCCCTGTGCTCAAGCCCCAGCCCCAGCCCCATCCTTCCTTTCGCCCGTTCATCTTATTCAAGCCACCATTTTGACGGTACATAACTGGCTTAGAGGATTTAACACTGACGTGGCCACCTACAGGGGATCTTCGCTTTGTCACTGACTGCCCTATTGTGTTGACTTGGCCGGGTTGTTTCGTGGCGCTTTTGAGACGCGTCTTGCAGCAGGATGATGACGCACTCTAAGCTAACGCTATACAGGACTCAAAGCTTCGTCGTGATGCTGGTCTCATGGTGGCTCGGCCAATTCATCGGCGAACGGTCTGGGAATGCACTACCATCACCAGTGATGTAGCCATGCTCCTGTTCTCGGATGTTCCTCTATAAATATCAATCCCTCTTCCCCCAAGTCTGTTCTCATAGCAGACATCTGCTTTCACATTTAGTGCTATTCAAATTGTTGCTACACTCTTTCCCATTTCAGTTCACACGCCATGCGTTCTCAGTCCAGCGCGTCAGTCGGGGCTTTCGTCGTGGCTTTCGCTGTAGCTGCGAATGCTACATCTCTGGCTGATATCTGCACGTTGTCCAATCTCAAATCTGTCCTGCCCTCCAACGGTACTCTCCTTGGTATCAATCTGATTCCATCTGCTTCTACTGCTGCCGTGATCTATAATGCTACCGTTGGTGGTGGAATGAGCAGCAGTAGCTCCAGCGAAACCTACGACTACTGCAATGTCACGCTCACATATATTCATCCCGGCAAAACCGACACTCAGATCATTGTCAAATACGCCTTTCCTGAGCCTGCAGACTTCAAAAACCGCTTCTATGTTGCTGGAGGTGGAGGATATTCGCTGAACACTGACTCGACCGGTGGTCTTCCTTATGGTGCCGCTGCTGGGGCCACGTCCGCGGGCTACGACGCGCTTGATGGTATTAGCTACGACGAAGTTGTGCTCCTTGGCAACGGCTCTATTAATTGGGATGCGACCTATATGTTCGCTTATCAGGCCCTCGGCGAAATGACTCAAATTGGAAAGTATGTCACTAAGGGCCTCTATGGTCTTTCAACCAGCTCCAAGCTGTATACATACTACGAAGGCTGTTCTGATGGTGGGCGTGAGGGTATGAGCCAGGTTCAGAGATATGGTGATGAGTACGACGGTGCAATCACAGGTGCTCCTGCTTTTCGGATGGCCCAGCAGCAGGTTAACCATGTGTTCTCTGCCGAGGTTGAAAAGGTCTTGAATTACTTTCCTCCTCCGTGTGAGCTGGCCAAGATCGTGAACGCCACTATCGAAGCCTGCGACCCTCTCGATGGTCGTACCGATGGTGTGATCTCCCGTACCGATTTATGCATGTTGGACTTTGATCTATCTTCTATAATTGGTGAGGAGTACTACTGTGCTGCCTCAAGTACCTCTTCCGGAGGCCCTGGTGGTTCTTCTTCTAGTAGCTACGAGCCCGTCCAAAGCGGTAAGGTCTCGAAGGAAGGCGTTGCTGTTGCGAAGGCTATCTATGGTGGTCTTCATAATAGCGAGGGTCAGCGTGCCTACCTCTCATGGCAGATCGGCTCTGAACTCGGCGATGCTAGCACAGAATGGGATAACAGCACTGATGCTTGGGAACTCTCAATTACATCTACCGGTGGTGAATGGGTCACCAAGTTTGTCGAGCTCCTGGACCTGGATAACCTATCAACCCTTGATGGAGTTACCTACGATACTTTAGTGAGCTGGATGGAGACTGGTTTCGTTCGCTTTCTAGACAGTTTACAAACCACCGTCCCTGACTTGGCCACATTCCAATCCTCTGGCGGGAAATTGCTGCACTTCCATGGCGAATCTGATCCTAGCGTTCCCTCCGCTTCTTCGGTACACTACTGGCAATCAGTCCGCTCAATCATGTACCCTAACACATCTAGTGGGGAGAGTTTGAAGGCGCTCCGAGACTGGTACCAGTTTTATCTAATCCCTGGTGCCGCGCATTGCGGAACCAACACCCTGCAGCCCGGTCCGTACCCTGAAGACAACATGGAAATCATGATTGACTGGGTTGAGAATGGTGTTACACCCACGCGTCTTAATGCCACTGTCTCTTCGGGCGACTACGAGGGTGAGACCCAGATGCTATGTCAGTGGCCTTACCGTATGCTGTGGCGTAGTAACACTACCTTCGATTGCGTCTATGATGAGAAGTCGATCGAGACTTGGACATACGACTTTCCTGCTTTCAAGATGCCTGTGTACTAGAAACAGTCTTGGCACATTCGAACATTTTGCTATCAATCACATGTGCATGATCCTGTATGTATCTATTTGACTTGAATATATGACGTAAGAGTCTCTACTTACAGTCCAGGTTGTGGTGGGGTTTGCCTCCATAGTGCATCCTTAATATCATACAAAACGTGTGGAAGGGGGATAGAGAGCTGGAAGGTCCGCTTTTCATGCTTTAGATGGCATAATCAGCCTTCTAACGGCCCAACCTTGACATTGGTTCTCCGTCGCAACTCGTTCAGCTCATTTTCCTTCCGTTGCAGCTTCCGTTGCTTGACCTCAGCTTGCTTGAACCGTTTCTTACCCCCAAATTTCAGCTTAGTGATAATATCAGTGGCTTGACCCCGTGTCAAATCTCCAATCTTCAAGCTACCGTCTCGGATACGGGCTTTGTTCAGCATTGCGATCTGAGCCGAGGTGGCTGGACTCTGTCGCCAGGGTTGCCGGGATGAGATGTATCGCTTTTCAAATTTGGCACCAGCGTATGTGTCTGCTGCGCGGACAGCGGTTTCCAAATCCGGTCCAGATGCAATCAGCCGCGGACGGGTAAATTGGAGAACCTCGGTCGTTGGGTCGTTGAATTTCATGACGTGGCGTACCACAAACATTTCTTTCTCATGCTCGATCGTTAGCCACCCCGACGATTCTGATAGTAAATATTTCGTATCATCCACCCGGACCCAAGAATTTTGGCTCAGAGAACGGATATGTCGTTCGGACTGCGTGTCTTCCAATAGGTCGTAGACACTATCGTATCTGGTGAATTTAAGGTTGGTGTTTCCATCTGGGTCACCTGAGGGAGCAATAGGTGGCTCTGTATTATTTTCCTCTTGGTTGCCTTTTTGGATATCTTTCACACTGGACTTTTCCAGGACCTCATCGGGATGGAGACCAAAGAGGGTTGGGGTTGAGAGGACCCCAGTTTCCAAAGACGCAACCATGTCAATGATGTGGCAATCCTTCTTCTCAGGAAACAGACGCAACCCACGCCCAATCATTTGGATGAGCAGGTTTCGTGATCTAGTCGGTCGCGCCAGAAGCACACAATCGATGTTTGGAATATCAGTGCCCTCTGTAAATAAACCACAATTCAACAGAACCGGATATTCTTGTTTCCTAAAGGCTTCGAGTTGCTCTGATCGGACGTTTTTGTGAGTCGTGGCTGTAATGTAGCGAGCATCAACGCCGTGCTCACGGAACGTCGCAGTAAGCTGTCGGGCATGTTCGACATCCACACAGAAGACCAGAGTAGACTTTCGGTCCTGAGAATTGGCCATCCATGCCCGGACCGTGATATTATTGGTATTGACAGTATTGACGGCTTGTGAAAGCGAGGCGAGAGCAAAGTCGCCAAACTTGTCTTTTTTGACATTTGAAAGATTCGCTTGCGACTTGACTGTGGTGAAGACCGCATTTGCCAGCCAATTGTCACCGATCATGTCAACATAGTCTTTATGATAGACAATGTGGTCAATGGCAGCGCCCAGTTTGAGCCCGTCAAATCGTGAAAAGGTTGCAGAGACTCCGACAAGCACCGGCGCATCAGAGTTAGGTTCATTCAGTCCAAAATAACCTAAAACTTCGCGATATGATCGCGCCACAATGTGATGTGCTTCATCCACAAGAATGAGTTTAAAATCGCTAGGATCGAATTTGTTGATACGTCCTCGGGAGAGAGTTTGTACAGACGCGATAATAATGTCGCCATGTCCAGTGGCTACATTTTGCGCCATCTCAATCTCCACGATTTTGTCCGGATAGGCAAGTCGACAATGCTTCGCCGCTTGTTCAACCAATTCGCGTCGGTGGACAATGATCAGAGTCTTCGTTGCCCTTGCATCGCGTGGCGGAACTCGGTCGATGAGTTGTGTGAATATGACCTATCGAGCTATGATCAGTAGGATTCTTTCCAGGTAAAGACAGGGGACAACATCATAACTAACCGTTTTCCCTGCACCAGTAGCTAGCGAAATCCCAAGACGTCGGTGGCCATCGCCTAGGTACTTTAGCACTGACTGGATGCTTTCCTCCTGGTAGTCACGGAGTACGATCCTTGAGCCGGACAGCTGAGGAAGAGTCGCGTTAAATCGCAGATTGCGCCAGCCACACAGCACTGCGTGTCTTCTTGGCGGTCTTTTCCACCTCGAAATCGAAAGTAACCCAAACCCAAATTTGCGAATGAACTCCATACAGGAGGCAAGAAGTGGTGAAGTTCAATGAAGCTTGTGTCGGTCTCAAACAGTGCAAACATTCTTATCGATAACGTGTGGAGCTTCAACTTACAACTTTTTATGCTTCTATTTTCTCTCTCTTCGTTCAACACAGGACGGCTTAGGATCTCGCAGACGTGGCTGTGATGTTCTGTCTCCAGTTTTCTCTGCGCTGCGAGCTTGCGCGTCTCCCACGATGAGCAGCGTCTCTTCCTTCGAACCCGACAATTCCGACGACTCTGATTTCTCCGTCGAGTCCAATCGCGGGCGGCAGCAACGCCGCTCTACTTCCCGATTTGAATCCTTTGACGTCAAGTTTCCACTTTCAGAAGAGCGCGATCTTTCACAAAATCATGCAGGCTATGGTACGGAGCAGGAGGGAAGCGAAGATGAACCGAAGTCCTCACAAAATCGATGGGAGCAACACGATGCACTTCTCGCGGATTTAAAGGGAAATTCCTTAGACCAATATGTCACACTGTTAGAGCAAACCGAGCACGATATACCAGTCACCAAATCGATCGAGGACGACGACAAATATCCGATAACCCAGAATGGTTCGGTGATCTGGACCTCGGGAGAAAAGGCACTACTCTTCAAACTCCTCGATAGGAACGGCAAGAATGGGATCCAACAGATCGCCGCTATGCTCGGGAGCAAGTCAGAATTGGAAGTAATCGATTACCTCAAACTAATCCATAGTGGCTTGGAAGACCATAAATGGAAGGAAGCTCCCGAAACAATAGTTATGGGTGAAGTTCCCGCTGCCCTGGAAGTGAGCAAGGAATGCTGCGCTGAGCTTGAGAAATATGCGCGGGCACTGGTAATGAGAGAGGATCTTGATCTGGAGCGGGCGCATCGATCAACTTATGATGCGAATGCCCTTATTGCCCACGAGCAGGCCTGGAAACTTGTTGCAGAAAAGGTCAACCCTCCATTGCGAGGCAGAATCGATCTCGCCGCAAATGTGCTGCACGTTCCAGGCTGGATAAATCTCTCTACAATGCTCTTCATGAACTTCGGCGGGTCAAGATCGGAGGATTGTTGGAGTAACATCGTTCAATCAAGAAATGAGTCTCCCGCTCTACATGGTGAAGCTCTCATGGACTTCTATGCTTTGACAATGAGCATCACGCGTCGCTTGGTTCAGTCCGCTATCTTCTTTGCTATGTCACGGCTACATGGTCTGCGCGCAATGGGTAGAGAGCGCGCAAAGTTCGTTCGAACGAGAGATGTGCGGGCTGCCATTGACGTGTTGAACATGAAACACGACCGAGCTGGTTTCTTTGTCGATGTTGCGCGTCGAAACCGTCTAGTGATTACAGACAATGTGGCTGGCGAGGAGCCTCGGATTATGAGCTATGACGAGGCCCATGAGATTCTCCAGAAAGATGAAGACTCCGACTCTGAACCTGATCAAGATGACATCCCAAGTGGATTGGAAGAAGACGACGCTCAGTCTGAATCAGATTCCGTGTTGTCGGAACCAGCTTCAGGCCCGTCTTCATTGCCCCCCATTGAAAGGAACAACATACCTCTGGACCCCGAAGAAGATGATGCAAATCTCCTCGATCTAGAGATGAGTCGCCGCGAAGAAATCAACCTATGGCGTTTATTAGAAGAGCCCGTACCATCTCGTTTTAAAGTTCCTCTCATTTCGGAAACCCAAAATGAAAAGGACATACTGGTCCACAGATCTCTCAGAGATTGGACGTCAACAGAAAACTACAACCTGCGCGACCGCGACTGGCGCGATCGAACTATCTTTTGCAGTGATTGGGAAGCGTACGGAGATGGTACTCAGGATCTTGAAGACGACTTGAATGAGAACCGACGAAAAAGACGCTGGGCTATGCTTGAGGAAGACATATCAGAGGAAATTGAAAGTCCAAGAAAAAAGCAAGCCCCCGATGTCATCACCATTGACGATTCAGCCGCGGAGGATTCTGGAGTCGGCGCAGCAGACGATGAAGCTCTGACCGAAATGAGTGACCGCATGGATGTCGATGGATCCAGTCGTCCTCCAAGTGTTGTGGTGCCGCGCTATGGAAGTGCAGAATAACCATCATGATACTCTAGTAGTGAAAGACCTCAAAGAAATAGACTTAATGTATATACCCCAGTTGAACAAGAACCTCTTACAACCAAATTATACGTAAAGAGCACATCAGGCATTTCCATCACATATGATTAGAGTGAAAAAATAAACATTCAAGAAAATAGGTAAAAAAGACCCTTAGCCCCATTGGATCAATCTCCTTGAAAACATAATAAAAACCTAAACTCATCAATCAGGTCTTGCAGGGCAAATCAACTCAAACTCCAGCAGATAATAGAAACTGCGCCTTTTCCTAGCCAAAAACTCAAATATTCATAAACACCAAAGTGCCCTCTCTGTCTCTCTTCTCCGCACACGGGATATTGTACATGCATTGAGGAAGTTACAGGTCGAGGGTTTTGAAATCGGCACCAGTCTCAGCGCTCAAGGGCTGAGCTCCAGCCCGAGCATCTCCACCAATAGGCTGGAAGCTGTAGTGGTTGCCAATACCAGCAGTGGCAGCACTTGCGAGCATAGTGTTAGTATGTTCGTTGGGACCCTGCAGACTGACAGCCTGCAAAGCATCTTGGGCCTCCTTGACGCGCTTCTTAAAAGCCATGCGATCCAGGAAAAGTTGTTGACGCGCCTGCTCCAGCTCCCGACGCTCGACTTCGATGATCTCCTCCATCTCGTTGAACTGTTGCAACTTGATCTCGAACTTTTGCAAAGTCACGTTGACAGCGGCCCCAACCAACCGAGTCATTTCACGCTCTTCATGTGAAGCAAGGGCGCTAGCGCGAGCAGCAGAGGCAGCCAAAGCAACGGTGGCAAGCGACTCCTTGGGCTTGTCAGCCTGCTCGACTTGGCGAACGGGATCTACATCCATCGAGTCCTCGGCCTTTACTGACTCCTTACCCTTAGCATCTCCCTTCTCAAGCTGGCTGCGCAGCTCCTTGCGGATCTCCTCGATGGTGCGACCGGCGGCGGCAGCAGCCACTGTGGGCTCCGCCATCTGGGCCAGGAATGCGACCACGGAAAGCACAGGGTTCTCTGTGGCGCTAATTGGCTCCCGACCAGGACCGGAACGAAGCTCAGGCAGTTCTTCAAGGTACTTATCCTCGATATCCAATTGCAAGAATTTCATCACACACTCCTCTGAGGTCCGAGTACCCACGTGGTTGGCGATCTGCTCCCAGTTATCATCAAAGCTTTCCAGGCCCTCTAGAAGTAAGAGTAGCTCAGAGTCCGTCCAGGGTGCATCCTTGTCAGGCACGTGGGAGTGTGCTTTATCCTCTAGCTTGACAAAGTCCGAGGCGTTATGGCTGGAAGGCATGCGGCCTTCAAGGAAGCAGTTCGGGCACATATCATATTTTGCGTTCGGGGTGCTGGCATTGGCCGAGGTCGGGGCTGCCTTGGCATAATGGAACCGAAGCCGTGTGCAGTCAATACCGCAGGAAAAGCAGTGTGACTTCTTCCGGGGCTCTTGTGTCTCGGTTCCGTTCGTTTCGCCGTTTGTTTGCTTCTCCTTGTCAGAGAAGGGGGTGGCGTCCTTGCCCTTACTATCGTAAACATTACGGCGCAGGTCGAGACTCAGATCAGCCTTAATCGCGGGAGTAGCAGATACAGCGCGCTCAGTTGCCGCAAGAGGTTTGCCAGAGGAGACGACGGGTTGCGGGCCGGGCTGGAAGGGCTGCAAGCCACGAGGGGTGTCTGCAATAACACGGAAGTGGCCGGTGAATGGTGGGCCAATGTTGGATGGTCGAGTTTGAGGGTCAACCTTGGAAGGGGCTGTTAGTGGGCCCAAATGAGGGAGATCGCGAGTTGGAATTCCTTACCTGGTAATTGATCAAACCCCACTGCTCCAGGAATGAGTGAATACGCATAATCGCACAGACATCACCAGCAAGGTTGCGACGGCAAGCAGTAACAGTCAAGTATTCGATGGGGTTCAATCGGTAAGTGTTGATCATGAAATCACGGTAGTCCTTGTATGTAGCCGGGGTCTTGCTGCGGTTCCGGCCATTGAAGAACTCTGCAAGGGCCTTCTTCTCGATGTTGTTGATGGTGTTCATGTCAAACCAGCTAGCATAGCTGGGAAGAATAATAGCGTGGGTTTGTACGGCAAGGTGGTCACGAGCCGAGGCTTCTAAGGATGACTTGGTCGCCACGGGCTGGTCTTCACCCACGGCATCTTCAAGACCCTCGGTGGCATCGGCGGGGGGCTGCGACTCTCCTGCAGCATCCTCCAAGCCCTCAGTATCGCGCTTGGCATCCGTCTCGGTGCCACCCATCTCCTCATCTTCAGGCTCGGCATCACCATTCTGGGGTTTGGGGGAGGCCGGAGCATCGAGAGGGTTATCAGATCCGGCGAGGTTCTCAGCCTTCTTCACAGGCGACTCTTGGCGCGATTGCGCCTCTGTTATCTAGTGAGCCACCAAGATCATTTTAGGGAGGGCTGGGGAGGGGCGAATTACCGGAGCCACTGGCGGCATGGGATGCGTCTGCAGCAGCCTCTGATCCAGTCATAGACTGGACATTCTCCGACGCGGCAGGGTTGAGTGAAATATCATCCATGATGGATTAAGCAAAGAAAGCAGCTGTCGCGGGCGACAGAAGATCGACTCCTTGTCAAGCGCAGTTAGGTGGACAATGCAGCAAGCGACGCGATGTAACGACAATTTACGGGCCAAAAAGATGGAAGGAGGTAGCAAATGGCCCGATCCGATGTGAGGTCAGGCGAAAAGGGATGATTGGACCGAGTGCTGGATCACTGGGGAAGAGAGGTGGATGTCGCGACACGGAAAACTCGCGGTTTCGCCAAGACCGGCTTTGACCGCCTAGTCCGTTTCAAGACTAGCGTTCTCACACATCAACTTCCTCTAGAGGTTGATTCCGCTGTCTTTTTTCTACCATCTACTACTTGAATCCTAGCAAGCTCTATTTTGAGTATTATGGATATTCTGGTTCCGGTTTGCATTGTTCTATAATTGGGAATATTCCGCTTCCAAACTTAAAATGTCTAATCACTTGGACCCTTGAGCAGCTGCAAAGATCTCGTCGCATTCCTTCATAGCCTGTGCAATAGCTGACCGAGTCTTTTGGCGCTTCAGCCAGGCATCCACGTTGGGAAAGTCCTTCTCCAGGTCGATCTCAAACATGCCAGCAACCCGGTACCATGGAATAAAAGCGAGGTCAACATAGCTGAATTTCCCGCCCACTAAGTATTCCTTATCGGCTAATTCATGATCGAGGACACCGGTGACGCGACGAATCTCATTCACATAGCGATCCTGGGCGCTCTGGACCTTCTCCGGGTGGTAGCGGGTGAACCAGACGGCCTGTCCGAAGTAGGGACCCTGCCCAGACATCTGGAAGTGTAGCCATTGTTTGGCGAGGAAATAGTCCTGGGAGCCAGCAGCGAAGCTGATCTTGTGGTCTTTGTCGTATGTCTCCACCAAGTACTCCAGAATAGCGCCGGACTCCCACAGAGTAATACCGGTGTTGGGATCTTCAATCGCTGGGATACGGCCGTTGGGGTTGATCGACACATACGGCTCCTTCTTGATCTCAGAGAATTCGACGGTTTTACTGACGTAAGGGATTCCAAGTTCTTTGAGAACCATGATGACCTTCCAAGGATTGGGACCGGGTCCATGGCCATACAAAGTGATCGGCTTGAGAGACATTGTAGTGGATGGTATTGACGTTGCAAGCTGAAAGGCAAGTGGTGAGAGAATGTTTTGATCTTCGAGAAGAGCAGCAGTAGCCCTGAAGGACTGTTTTTAAATCTCGAATCTGACATCCTGAAGATTTCATCTACTGGATTCTACAGACATCGCTACCCCGTAGTCCATGCCATGATTACATCATGGTACTCGGCATTCGGGACTGCTGACAAATGTCTGATTGGTGAGCTTTTCCCAACCCTGTCTTGGCAGCTCCAATTGCTAGTGAATTTGGAGGATTCATAAAGCGTCGGATCCTATGGTGAGCTGAGCTTGGGCTCAGGTTCATGTTTCTCTGCAATTATATATATATTGGGCTCTAAACTGGGGAGTGGGGTCCACAAGTATAATGGGGCTCCAGGCGTTATCAGGCTTGAACAGATCTATACAAGATGCCGATCCTCTAGGATGCGGCGAGATCACTGAAATATAACCAAGCGAAAAAGAAAAAGAAAAAGAAAAGAAAAGAAAAGGAGAAAAATAGCGCTGGCATGGCAGTCAGTTTCAACGTCCTATTTGAAGAGCTCCACCTTGTCCGGGTAAACCGAAGCTGGAATAGCGAAAGGATGAGCTAAAACAGTACAAGGTTGGAAATCGGAAATATATAGGGAGGATTCAAGTACTGGGAATTTGAGTTTTTCATCTTTAGGAGAGATCAATGTTGTCTTGCATCTTGGGTACGCCCTTTGAAATAGTCATGTTCGTGGTAAAGTGGGACTCCGGTTAAGTAGACAGATTCAAGTATATTCCAAGGCTCACAGGGCGTGGGATTGAGGTGCTAGAGAGCGCTAGATCTTGGCACAATTAGTACTGAGTGCTGAACTTCGGGTGGTGCATATTGACTCACATTGAACTGACCAATCAAAATATGCCCGAATAGATAGAAAACACCCATGTATATCACTACGAGCGCTTGCCTTTTGAATTGGCTATTAGCTACATGCAGAGACATTTCTCAAGCTCAAATGGAAACATGTCAAATTTGCTTGAATCAGGTCGCATCGGATTTCTACGCCGTAAGTTGCAAGAGCTTAGCATCGGAGTAACGAATCAAGCATCGGACTAAGGCTCGGACTAAGGCTCGGACTAAGGCTCGGACTAACAACACCACGTTTTCCGTCACGCCACTTGTGAGATTCTAGATTCCGCAGATCTATACTTTCCCCTACATGTATCTATGCAGTCCACAATTTGGTTCCTACTCGGTATGCCCCTGCGATGAGTCGTCCTGTTGACTCAGAGCTCGGTAAGATTCCCTTCTTTTGTAGTCTCCGTGAATCGAAGTTATGACAGCACTTTGACATACACCTGTCGTAATGTTTATGGCCGCTAGTAGCCGCGACCAGGTCTCGCCTCAGCAGAGATCCATATTTCTCCGTTACCTAGTCAATGTGGAGGCTCTGGTGAAAAATTCTTTAGCGCATTTTATCATAGCTGCGGGAAGTGGAGTCGATTGGATCTTCATGTTCAGGGTTTCGAACAAACAAATTAGAGATTTACGAATCACGGGGCTAGTTCATTTGTCCATAATGAATACGAAGGCTCAATGCGTGGGTTTATCCTCTAGCCCTAGGCATCAAACTACACGCGCACGTGCACATCTAGGCTTCGAATGATGACGACAAGAGCCCAGGCAGAAAGAAGTGTCGGCATCGAAAGGATTAGGCAGTGCTTTCGTAGGGCTTCATTTTTGGACTTTAAGTTTAACAGCCTGAGGCGTGAGTCAACAGTGCCACGCAAGCCGTGATCATCTGCACGCCCTTTCGTATTGTTCACTGAATAGAGATCTAGAACCGGTAAGAAGAGACGACGACAAGACTAGCGCCCGACCTTGCTTTCCAAAACAGGAGCCCGCGCCATCGGGCTCACTAATTAGGCTAAGTCGACGCTCACTGTGGTCTGAAGTAATGCTTACTGGACGCCCTTTCGATTTCATTCGGGGGCATTGGTCATCCATGCGCCTAACTGTGGGACACACCTCTCACATGTCATGGTTTGAGAAACAGAACTGAAAGTCGAATTCACAGTATCAGTCAAATTCAATGCAACTGCGTGTCTAGTTCAATTTGGCTGAAGCGGACGGGACAATTAATTCTTGAGCTCCGAGCTCTACTCCGACAAGTCCGAAGCCAGAGGGCTCCACATTTTGCTTACTCTGACGTCTTTCCCACGCTTCAAGGAGGTTATTCGAGCTTCGACTCATGATGGGCTTTGATTGTGGGTCTTTGGCTTTGAGGCTTTTTTTCTATATTCGATTTTTCGATTTTTATTTTTTATTTCATTTTTTTTTTTACTTCGGAGTTGACCACAGACAATGTATGTGACTACACATCTATATAAGGCCATTTATCCTCCCTGTAGACAACATCATTTTCAGTACATCATAACCATCAAGCTTCACTTATCTTGACTTATTTGAATAATCTTAATTCAGGACAAGTCCATCCATTCAACTCAAACACAAAAACCACCACCATCATGAACCTTCTATTCCCTCAGGTTGCCCACACCCCCTCCGGCAAGGACCTAGTTCACCCCGAAGAACCTGAACTTTGGACCACCGCACTCAAGGATCTTATCAAAGAAAAGCTCAACAACCGGTCCAGTGCTTCCTCAATCAAGAGTTCTACCAAGACAATGACCGACAATGCCTCCATACATTCTGTCGTGTCCACCGCAACGACTCTCAAGGGAACTGCGGACGGCAACAAGAAAAAGTGGTACTCTCTGAGCTCCAAATCCAAGGCCTTGGTCTCGGAACCCAAGTGCATCAAAGATTCTGATCGAGAGGCTGCCCGCAAGGCCGTGCACAATGAAGCCGTTGCCAGCTACTTCAGCATGCGCTAAGCTTCTCTATACGACCTTGGCCACTGCATGGCTATCATATACCTTTCGATTTCGATTCATATCGACGCTCTCTTTCCTTTTCTTCTGCTTCTATTGTGCGAGCCTTGCCGCTTTGACGACGACACGACTTGAATATTCCTTATAATTATCTACGACTGTCGATTACTGCTTTTCTGTTTATTGTTGGTGGAAGTAATGGGATCAAGATGCTTTCATGTTTCCAAAAAATACCTGGCGTTGGAATTCAATACTGTAGCTTGCTGGTTCTTTCATGTTTCCATACTATTTTATTTGGATTAGAATTTTTTTTTGGAATCTTATTTGAGTCATGGAACATTTGAAGATCTGTCTTATCGTAAGATATATTTGGATGGAATATTCACATATGTACAAAATTTGAAATAAGCCTCTTGAATGAAGCTTAATACCCCCGGGGCCAGTATAAGAGCCGCTGAACCGCATCCCACGAGACACTGCACATACGTGAATCATATCATAGCCCTGTCAATAACTCCCCCATTGATATTGGCTTCCTCACTGCATTTGAAAATCCCTCATGGTAGGTGACCCAGACTTTTCTGCCAGCTTTCGAGCTTTCATCTTTGTGGCTTTGATCCCCCAAATCCATAGACTTCGGAATTTCCTCGATCACCCGCCCGAAAAAGTCGCGCTTGATGAGTCCTTCTCTGATCCTCTGGGCCGCGTCGTGTTGTTGTTCAGTAGCAGATTTACCAAGTGCTGCCTTTAAACCCTTCGCAGATGCGGTCAGGACGTCGGATTGCTTTCGCATAGTCTCTTTCCGATATTCCTGGTCCAAGGCTTGACGCACCGCATAGCGGACCGGTGCATTCCCGCTGGAGGTTGCCATGGATGTACCTTGGGTTTTTGAGAATGTTATGAGCGAGTCAACGGGTCTGTCATGGAACGGTTAGTTTTATTTGTCTCATGAGTACATGGCCAAGATCTTCACTTACGGTTCCATTCGGTAAGCCCACCCACCATGATTCCCGCCTTCGTTCTCCACTCGGACCTGCTCGAATGTCACACCCATACCACCCATAACTCGCACGGCAGACTGGACAAGGACACGTTCTGATTCTTTGCGAACACTAGCCGTGCTCCTTGACTCACCAGCACCTCGGATAATGACTGGCTTGATGTCCGGGGACAGCATACGGACCAAGTATGGGACCAGTTCAATTATCACATTATCAGGGGACCGAAACAAGCGGACAAGTGGCGCTGAGAATGAAGAGTGAAATCCAGTCAGGATAGCCCGGTTCTGCTTTTGCGCCTCAAAAGCAGCAAAATCCGCCTTAGGACCGGAAAAGGGATGCTCGTCTTCCGCGTCATCATCGCCCTCATCAGGCTCAGTAGCTTCAGTCTTGCCACCGGCAGTTGCAAAAAGGTGGTGAAATGCAAGTACCGACTGGCTCAAATATGGGTGTAGCTCCCACTCTTGAGAGGAATGTACCTTCGCAGAGATCGAATCATGAAAGTGGAGCCAGTCGTAGGCAGAATTCGGCTTGGAGAGATAGGTATCGTCTTGGTATTGTTGAATGGGATACGAGGCAAAGCAGTCGTTGACACATCGGTCATGCTCACCGCTAGAATCAATCATCTCCCGCAGGCGGTTTATGCCATGTCGTTTTCGCAAGTCAGCCACACCGACTGGGACCCGACTATCAGGGCCATTGAATCGATCTTGGAAAGAGTCTCTACCAACAGGAGCATCTGTGAACCCTGCAGCCTCAGTGAAGACACGGTTCACGATTTCACGAACACCTCCGCGGCTCATTTCTTTGGTAAACGAACCGCCTTCTGTTGACGCGCTCAGGACCCGCTGCTCCAGCCAGGTTCGAGTCAATCTCAAAGAATCCAGGCGTTCGTTTCGGAGCTTGTGCGCCACCCCCTCAGCAGCAACAAGAACACTACGAATGTCACCCTCGGAAGACCCTGAATTCTTAGAGTTGCGCTGTCGTCTGGCTGATAATCCCCAGGCAGCCTCGCAGAGCCTCCGGGCTGCATCACCGTCACAGGGGATCCCTTCTCGAATGAAGATACTCTTGATTCGCTGGACGACATTCTCAAGTGGTGCTTGGCGAACATGAATCATCTCCGCGATGGACGAGGCCCTTAATGGCCGAAGACTGGGGTGGTAGAGATCGTTGCAAACTAGAATCAATGGTCGAAGAAAACGAAAATTATCACCCTTTCTTTTCTTGCCATGCTGTCCACCATTTTCGGTAGCTCGTTTCGAGTTGCGCTGGTCAAGTATAACCAGGTCGATCAGAGCTTTCATGAATCCACCCTCGCCGCCACTGCCAGCTCCGCCAACAACACCGTCGACCTCGTCCACCACGACACAGACAGGTTTAGCAGCTCGGCGGACCTTGTTCTCGCCAATCTCAACATTTGAGCCCTTGACATTCTCCGTTGCCAGTGCGTCTCGAATTCGTCCCTTGACCACATCCCTACTACGTTCATCACTTGCGTTGATCTCAAGTACTTCGTAGCCAGCCTGTTTGGCACACACATGTGCTAGGGTGGTCTTTCCTAGTCCGGGAGGTCCACTAAGTAGGAGTACTTTCCGGTGCGCGCGTTCTTCGTCGTCCTCTTGGTCCGCTTTCTTCGTGCGAGACCGGGCTAAACCAGGGAACACAATTGGTTCCCAAGCTTTCAGCCAACGAAGTACCTGGCGGTGAGTACGTTCGTCTCCAATCAGATCTGTGAATTTGCGAGCGCGATATTTCTCGGTCCACATCATGGAGTCGAGCTTCTTTTGTTTCGCATCTCCCTCGTTCTTTTCAATGGAAGCCTTGACTGGAGGTGGCGGGGCGGGCTTTGATGTCTTTGTATCTTTCGCTGCGTCATCCATCAATTTATGGATATCAATTCCATAGTAGCTCTTCTTTGCTTTTCCGGGCTCTGTTGCAGACCGGCTAGCGATCATTTGCTCATATGAAACAGATGCCCGGGCCTTCTTCAGCGGAATACTATGTGTTTTTCCATTGCATGTTTTGATCTGGAATTTCTTTGGTGCAGGTCGAGATGTCATTTCCAATTGGGGACTCAAAGTTGTAGGAGCGAAGTCTGTCGGTTGTGGTACACCAACGAAAGTCTGCGATTGCTCAGGAAGCGTAGGGATCGAGTACGGCTCTGTGTCGGCGTGCTCTTGCAACTCAAACTGGCTCTTTAATTGCTCATCTCTAAAAGCGGCAAGATCATCATCCTCCTCCTCATCATCATCGACGAATCCTCCTAGGATTCTTTGCCGCTTAGGCTCCCCACCCTGTGGACTTTCAACCTCTACGGCCTTTCTTTTTTGTGCCTCTTCGGCAGCTGCGGCAGCGGGCGATGATATGAATGGCATTTTCGTGGCTGGAGGAGAGGACGGAAGAAATGGTAACAGTAGGCTACCACTCGGCGTATAATTATTTGCTCGGGGAGTTGCGACAGAGGCTTTGGTCGGAGTATCTAGATTCGGGTATATTAGGACTACCGCTCGAATCTAGCAGGTCTAGAAGTTCAAACCTGGTCTTATATCGTCGTCACTGCGAAATACATCTGACAAGTTCCAAGAACGGTGTTGAATCACAACTTTATTGCGGGTCTGTTCCACACGGTGTTGGTGGATTGCCTCGATGTCGTCGGAGAACGACTCGGAGGGTGGATTGATTGCGATAGGATCTTCAGAGTGGAGTTGAAGAGCGGGATCAAATGATGAAAGAAAAGGCGAAGGGGGAAGCATACAAGCGTCTCGGACTTTCGTGGGATCGAGACTGGGATTAATTGGCGATTCCCCTCTGATAGCGAGACGCGCCGACGCGCGCTGGGTCCACGCTAAACCCCTTTAGGCGGTCTGAATACCGCTAAATGAGAATTGCAATTCTTAGATCAACACATTTGGAAATTCATATTCATTCTCCCTCTAGTAATCTCGAAGTCATAGATGTGATATTGCAAAGTGACTAGGTCGAAGTGCGACTCAAGTCCTTCAATCAGTGGTATACTGTACGGTTCATAGAACAAAACAAAAAGCTCGCAACCTGCTCAATGGTTATGGCATAAAATAAATCAAAAAAAAACAAGCTCCCCATATTTTCACTCTAGGCGCTCTTCAACTTCTCAGTCAATTCGGGCACCTTATCGAAAAGGTCACCCACCAAACCAACATCAGCAACCTGGAAGATGGGGGCCTCGGGATCCTTGTTGATGGCGGCAATGACCTTGCTGTCCTTCATACCAGCCAAGTGTTGGATGGCACCGGAAATACCAGCGCAGAGGTAAAGCTGAGGAGCAACATTCTTGCCGGTCTGACCAACTTGCAGGCTGTTGTCAGCGAATCCGCTGTCCACGGCAGCACGGGAAGCACCGATAGCAGCGCCCAGCGAGTCAGCCAACGGAAGCATGATGCGATCAAACTCCTCCTTAGACTTGAGACCACGGCCACCAGACACAACGCGGGTTGCGGTGGAGAGATCGGGGCGCTCAGACTTGGCCAGCTCCTCAGACACCCACTCAGTCAGCCCGGGGGCGTTCGAGTCAACTCCATCCACAATCTCAGCGGAACCGCCTTCAGTCTCGACGCCCTGGAAAGCGGTACCTCGCACGGTAATCACCTTGATATTATCGCTCGACTGCACGGTCAGGATAGCGTTTCCGGCATAGATGGGACGGACGAAGGCTACATTTGCGGTTAGCACTCTGCATGATCACATGTCAATCCACGTTCTTGTAATTTGACGCACTATCTTCACTCTCGATTCCGGTGATATCTGAGACCTGCTGGACATCCAAAAGAGCAGCCACGCGGGGCAGCACGTTCTTGCCAAAGGCCGAGTGTCCAGCAACAATGTGAGTGTATTCACCCTTCTTGATGTTTTCGACGAGAAGAGGGGCAAAGTTCTCCGGGAGGCCCTGCAAAGAAAGAAAAAAAAACCGTTTAGAGTAAAATTCCAGAGGCTTTATACAAGAAAGAACAAATTCACCTTCTCATAGGCGTCATTCTCCACCGCAACAATCTTGTCAAGACCCTTGATCTTAGCAGCCTCGGTGGCGGAGGTACCTTTAATGCCAGTGCCAGCCAAGAAGGCCGTCACTGGCCCACCCAGCTTCTGTGCTGCAGCAATTGCAGAAAGGGAAGAGCTCTGCAGCTTGCCATCACGCTGCTCGAGGACTGCGAGGGTCGAGAGGAGACGAGCCAACGCTGACTGATTCAGCGCACGAGTGGGATAAATCTGCGAACGGGCAGCCCGCAATACAGAGTGTCTGGCAATTGGTAGCATGATGGCGGTTTAGTGGAAAAGTGGTCGTTGCTCTCAGGAAGGTCGAGTTTGAGGTCTCGGCGATCTGCGGCGATGTGAGGAGTGTGGCTATCGCCGGAGTGCCAAGACCTGCCCTCCCGAGGTCGGACTCGGCTAATGCAGGCTTCATACAGCCTGATCGAAGCACGAGGCAATGACGTGACAAGAAACTCTCCCGCAGAAATATACTCCGGACATCTAGTGATATAATTTGGGATGGGCACCTACCTTATATACATACCGACTACCTAGGTACATGCCTTTTTATGTCGATTTATAGAGCCTTTTCGTGAAAGAAATGAAACACGTGATATTTTGTACGCCGAGAATACCTTTTACATGCAGAACATTATCTAGGTAGAACAAAAAAAAACTCCCAATCATGAAGTTGACTTTCTCTTCTTCTTCTTGTCCGCCTTAGGTGCGGCAGCGGGCTCTCCATCCTCAAGAGCCTTGGCCTTGAGCTGCTGGAGCTTCTCTTTCCGCGCCGCTCCCGAAGAAGCCTCCTCCTCGTCTTCCGCAGACTTGGATTTCTTAGTCTTCTTGGCCTCACTGGTCTTTTCCTCGCCAAGGGACTTGCGTTTTTTGCTGTTCTTGGCACCCTCAATTTCAGGGACCTCTTCCACCACGTCAGCATCCTCCACCCACAGCTCACTGGCCAGCCAGATAGGCATCGCCATGGTGTTGGCGCCCTTGACGTGGATAGCCTTCATGTTCTTCCAGCCCTTTGCGACAAACTTCTCGGTCATACCCTTGACAACAGCAGCGATGTTTTCGGACAACTGGTCGGCGGTGAACTTCGATGAACCAACGCGGATGGCGGCAGTAGTAGAAGGCGCAAGCTGCACGGAGGCGCAGCTCAAGGTGCGCTCGATCTCCTTTGCGACGATCAGAGGAGCGGCGAATGCGGCGCTCTTGTCCTCCTTGGCGGGCTTGTTCTTAGGGTCTTTCTTAACCCGCTTTCCATCAACCTTCTCAATCTCTGCAATGCGGATGGGAATTGGTCGCTTGCTCGACTTGTAGAAAATCTTGCCGAGGGTGTTAACGAGGCGGGTGATGATACGATCATCGGCAAGGAAAACATCGTGCTCAGAAAGCAGTTGGCGCCGGCTCTCGAAACTCTGGTAGCGAGCCTTCAACTTGCTGAAGCCGATGACCTTCTCGATGCGTGAAGAGAGTTCTTTGGGGAAGGAGGGATCAGCAACGATGTCCTTCACACCACGCTGCGGGTCGGCAGTGATGAGGCAGACGCTGAGCGAAGGCGACGAGTTAAGGGAGTGCGGGAGGCTAATCTTTCCAGGCTTCAGGCGGTTCTTGTCTACCACGTGCTTCTTAGTGGTGAGGATGAGCCAAACGGCTTCGTTGTTGAGGGGAGTCTCCTCATCATCGGAATCATTATCGCCAATCAGAGTCTTCTTGGTTGCGGACTTCTCCTTCTCTTCCTGGTTTGACTTGATATGGCGCAGCAGTGCAGAGGAAGCTTTGGCGACCTGGGTAGAGTTAGCATGCATGCGGTTTAAATATCATAAATTGCACGAACCTGGGGCTTATCCAGCTGATACGGTGATCCCGAAGTCACCTTCGTTGTAAGGGCAGTAGAGGATGGCATCTTGGCAGGTTACAGACTCAGCTCCAACCGATCCGTTTTTTCGGCGATGTTATCAAGATTTTTTTTTTTTCCTCAGGAAGGCGGTGGCAGTTCCGTCTTGGCAGTCCAGACCCCGGGTTCTCGTGCCTGAGGCCGTATGATCACGTGACTGGTTCTGTATCTTAAGGCTGCATTGTGCAAAGGACGAATAGATCGTTGCTATTTTGAATGAGCTTAGCATTGGGACCAAGAGCCGGTGCTTCTGGATACAGCCCTGGAGGTGTTTCAGGCGGTGCTTTCTCTTTGGTATAAAAAGGTTCTCAAGGTAGCTGACCCGATCAGATTTTGCATTTGGTCGGCGTGGGCGTGACCTTCGTAAGTGTATTCAATATATATCGACGGTCTCAAAACTCAAGTGAGCAACCACCTCACATAAGCTACTTTCTTGATGCAACCTGGATTATTCACCATGAGTGCCAAAATTGAAAGGACCAAACAAACCATCGATTCATCAAAGAGTACGAGACGATTACGTATTCGATATGATCCAAAGGGCCCATAGTTATGCAGCAGCTACTCCCCTCAGAACTCCATGTATGTGACCTCAGACCCCCCGGGGCCCGCAATGTTCAACAACACTTGAGCCCAATTGAGAGCCTTTTCGATTACAAATTAGACAACTGGCACCAAACGCCACTGTTTTGAATTGTCTCAGACCCTGCAAAGCTCGGTTACTCGACTCCAACTCCGTTGACAGCCACGAGGGGAAAATAGGCGCTGCGGCTTCGCTTACTATTAATAGCGGCCCTCCGGGCCATAATTGGCCTCGCGCGTATACCTCCAATCAACAAGCCAAGTATGCCAAGGTCTACTTGCAATGGATTAACTTTTGAATTTTCTTGAAAATACTGCCACACCCGGACCACAGAGCTGCTGCATGTTATCGGTTTAGATGCAGATCTCCCAAAACCACCGAGCGAGATGAGGTTAGCCGAAAAGCTGTAAGCTACGCACGTGCACACCGTATAAGTGAGCTCAAGTAAACGTACCTGACCCATTAGGTTTGAAAGCCATCCGGGGCAGTCAAGCTAGAACCGGTCAGTCGATATTAATTGTGGCTCCTTTAAAGTCCGATCTCCGCCCCTTTGGGCCCGCTGGCCCTGATCCATGGAGAACGAAAGGTGCTAAAGAACGCTAGTACAGCGTGCCACGCAAGCATCCAGCCCACACGGCCCCAGATCAGACCCCCAGGGAGTTCGGTACCTGATTCAGGGGGTAAGGGGTCTCGGGTGCAGCAGATATGGAAGCTCCAGGGAGAATGTATAGGACACTTGTGCAACACTTTAAGCTGATACAATGTCACTAATGGTGAATAGACTCACTTCTTATATATACTAGCATATATATCTGCTAGTGAAATTAGGTGAGACATAACTAAGTGATTGGGGTCACGCAGAGAAGCATGTTGATTTGACTGCCAAGCGCGTGTCACGACCCCAGAAAGCAGTAAAGCCGACGAGTACGGTGTATTTACCGCTCTAGTGTATTACCCATTTGGCCCGTCAAGGAGGCTATGACGCGGTCAACTAAGATTACTGCGGATCGAAATTGACATGTAGGACGCTTATCGCCATCTACCAGTCTGAACGGATTGAAAGCTCAGATGGGCATGAACCTGCTGGGTGCTCAGGTCGAGCGGTCAGGAGCTTGGACAAGGCTGGGCATTTAATTAAACCGTTCGCGGAGTCGTCATCTTTGGCCTATAAAGACTCTTGGAGTCTACCGTTCCTGGACTAGCATGACGAACAGCGATCCAGGGATTACGGGGCTGGAGACCAGGTCCAAATCGAACCGAAATTTAGGTGGGAGATGGTGGTTTAATTACCCCCTGCTGGAACCCGAAGGTGAGGGGAGAATACCCCTGGCGTGCGATCACCAGTGCAAAATTAAACTTGCGGCGCATGGGTTAAAGTCCGTAACGGTGTCTTGGCTTGAGGATCTTTCGGACAGCACGAAACGAAGAGCCAAGGTTCAATAGCCAAGGAGTGGACTAGGTAATTTAATTTCAAGAAAGGAAGAAAATGCCTGGTACCCATGGATACGCCAGGTATTTGGATTGGCCGCAGGGGATGCTGATTGGTGTACCTGAGCATCATTTCCCCTGGCAGATTGTGGTTCCGCATTATGATTGGTCAACCCCTGATGATGGGCAATTTCACGTTGCATAAGTAAACAAAGACGAAATTATCTGAACATCTGCCCCACTGCTAGATGTGGATTCTAGGTACAAAATACATGGTACGATAAGAGCAGGAGAAGGGGCCAAAAAAAAAAAAAAAAAACACATGCCAAGCAGGAAGACCAGAGTCGAGACTTCTTGGGAGAACTCGAACGGTATTATAGAGGGGCAAAAAATCAAAGAAAATGAAATGAACAGCCCGGTCCACTTGGCATCAAAAGCAAAGCCCCTTTTTTACAGTGCATGGACTGAGTGGAGCCAAGGGTGTAATCGTGTATTGATGTAAACCCGTGCTCCCCCTGGGGTTTTACTACCCTCGTTTCCCCCCCCCCTCCCTCCTACACTTCCTTCTAGCACCCTGTGTATTCCTATCCGACCTGAGGGATTCGTTCTCTCTATCACATTCATTTGTTACCAGGAATCTCCCGTCGCTCTTTCTTCGCCCTCAACGACTTTGGTCTTATATTCCCTACGACAGCGCGCGACCTGCCGTGATTTTTATGTACGTGCGAATCTTCGATCAGAACACTGTGATGGCATCGCTCCCGGGAGGATAGTCGCATTGGGGAAAAGCAGGAATATATGGGAAGAAAAGCCAATGGAGTCCCAAGTGAATGTACTGGTGGCGCAGGCTCGAGTGCTTCAATGCAATGGACGTCCGGGAGTAGATATGGGACTTGCGATGACTACTGTGTTCGCCAGTGCATTCACACATCTCGCTTCGAAAGGCCATAGAAATGATCCCACTAACTGACTGATTCTGACAGATCCACATTTGAAACGCTTCTCGAATCGCAATGAAGTTCAACTCCGTTGCGCTGTCCCTGGCCTCGGCGGGTTCCCTGGTGGCCGCCCACGGTCACCACGGCCACGCCCACTTCCACAAGCGTGCTGTCGAGACTGAGGTTGAGACTGCCGTTGCCACTGGCCCTGTCGCTTACCAGTTCGTTGTCATGAATGAGCAGACCGGTGAGCCCGAGAAGATCAGCCTTGCGGCCGCTTGCGAGGGTCTCGCGGACCACGAGCTGGAGTGGCTCGGTGATGCTGTTTCCGCAGCCTGCGCGACTAGCACCTCCGTCAGCACCTCCGCTCCCACTCCTACTTCGACCTCGACCTCGACTCCGACCCCCACCTCGACCTACACTCCCGAGGTGCTTGTCCAGACCTCCGCGGTCATCTCTAGCTCGTCTTCCAGTTCGTCCTCCAGCTCTACTTCCAGCTTCAGCTCCAGCACCAGTAGCATCGTGATCTCCAGCTCTTCCAGCTCCTCCGCCGTTGCTGCTACCACCTCCAGCGCCAGCTCTGGTGCCACTGGAATCACCGCTGAATTCCCCGATGGAGAGATCGACTGCTCCGAGTTCCCCTCCGCTTACGGTGCCGTTGCTCTCGACTACCTCGGCATCGGTGGTTGGTCCGGTATCCAGTATCTCACTCTTGTTGACGAGATTATCAGTGATATTGTCACCGCGGTTAGCGGCGACAGCTGCACTAGCGGAGCCGTGTGCTCCTACGCTTGCCCTGCCGGTTACCAAAAGAACCAGTGGCCATCGACCCAAGGCTCCACCGGTCAGTCCATTGGTGGTCTTAAGTGTACCAATGGCAAGCTGTATCTCACCAACACTGAGTTGGGCAAGACTCTTTGCATCGAGGGTACTGGTGGTGTTCAGGTTCGCAACGAGCTGGGCGAGGATGTTGCTATTTGCCGTACCGACTACCCCGGTACTGAGTCCGAGACTATCCCTCTGGCTGCCACCTCCGGTAATACTCACGACCTGACCTGCCCCAACAGCGCTACCTACTTCAAGTGGGAGGGCAAGTCCACCTCTGCTCAGTACTACGTGAACAACAAGGGTGTTTCAACTGAGGATGGTTGCCAGTGGGGCAGCAGCTCTGAGAACATGGGCAACTGGGCCCCCATGAACTTCGGTGTTGGCTACACTGATGGCACCACTTACCTGTCTATGTTCAAGAACGAGCCTACCACCGATGCTGACCTTGACTTCAAGGTCAAGATTGTTGGTGACAACCTGAGTGATGAGTGCCGCTACGACGGTGCTGGAAACTTCTACAACAGCGATGGCTTGATCGACAGCTCCACCAACGGTTGCACTGTAAGTCATTTTGCATCATTCACCGAGACTTTTGTACTAATAACCAACCCTTTAGGTCGGCTTCTCCTCCGGCAGCGCCTACTACGTTCTGTACGAGTAAGCGCTCTATATCCGCTTGCATTTTTCTATTCCAATATATGCAAAGTGTTACCGCTTTGGACGAGTCCTTTCTCTTCTTCAATCAAACCGCGCTGCGGAGGTGTGTCCAAGGGTCTCCCTTGGCTCGCCTTTTCCAGTACTACTGTCCATATCATGGTTTGTCACTTGAAGGGTTGCTTTCTTCTGTGTATCTTACATTTTTTTTTTCAAACCTGTGCCTTGATGTGTGTTATCTTGGGGGGAAATTCAATCTTTGTTACTTTTTCTTTCTTCACTCCGACCGATATTCCTTGAGTCCGCTCGTGGAAAGTTACCGGTTAGATCTACTTCTGTACTACAAGTGCAACCAATCTTGATCACAAACTCCCTTCTTGTCTTAACACTGTTTGACCTGCAATGCGTGTCCTGTTCTTTTCTCTGATTATTTCCGTTCAAGACTTCACTCTGATTGAAGAGGCTGGTGTTTACTGTGACGTCTGTGGGTTCATATTGCAGCAGGCTGCAAAGCTATAGCGAAAATATGACGCCGACATCGAGTGATGAGCGAACTGTGAATGCCCTTGGATATGCCCAGATATTCCAAACGCGCTACGAATTTTCATCCTTCAGTTCTATTAGATTTTGAGCTACAAGATTTTACAAATGCTTCTTCTACTCCCATGTCCAGCTAGCTGTACTTCCAGAAATGTGGGGCATCTGGAAGACCTCATCGCAGGCTGCCAAGATAAATATCATCTCCAGCCTTTCAGCTATATGCGTTGTGTTCACCCTGGCAATACATCATATTCTTGATATCTCCAGGGTAACACATATTCTTGATTTGATCCTTTGTGGAATGTGATTTATCCGATCACACTTGGCGTCATATCTACGGTATTGCATCATTCCTCATCGTTGCTCGGTCACGATCGCTGTCAGTGGTCACCAGCCTCCGATCTACACACTACATAAAAAGAAAAACCAGCCTCGGTTCCAAGAAAATAGGTCCGGTAATATTGGCATTCTTCGTTTTCGAGGGTCGGCCGTACACAATGTTCGTCCGCACACACTTCGGAGTGAGTTGGTGCATAGATGAGGAAAGTGGCGCTTATAGCATTCCCTCCCCCTTGCAATGATTAGTCCATATGGCAAATCTGTCAACTGTAGATTTTGAAACCTTAATGATCGTAGGAGTTGATCTTCAAATCAGACAAAAGGCATTATCAAGAAAAGGAATTGATAATGTTCAAGTTCAAGGCTGAGTCTATCCAGACTGGAAATGAATTAGGTACCATGTGTATCCCAAGGAAACCAAGTCCAGTTTAGTACAGATTCTCATAATCAGCTTTCAAGTGGGATCCCCAAATTGTTGGTAAGTGTGGTATCTTGACGGGCTTTACTGTCTTGAAAACCTCAAAACACTAGTTGTGCATTTTTATGAAACACCTGCTTAATACAAAATCAATAACTTGATTGACAATCGCAAACCTGCCGATATAGTAATTAACAATATCAATATTGGTATCATTTGAAAGCCTGGTATTGCCTGGTCCGATAATGGGTGTAACCTTACAAGTATTCATGCGCGGTGTATGCCCCGCGAAGAAAAAAAAATCGAGTTAGCGCGTCAGTACTTGCCCCCCCCCCCCCCCCCCCCCCAAACCAAACAGAACCTGTAAGGAGTCTGCATAATCTAGTCTTTGATTTTATTTGGCTCTTGAAACTGAAGTTGCCTTCATAGTCATCATTTTCGGTCTGCTGTAGTCCTCAATTGCAGTTACGAGGATAACACCTAGACATGTTGATAGGTACGGCATGATAATATTGATTTAATTTCTCCATATTTTCACTACAGAAGAGTTCATTCTGAGATCGTCAAATGCCAGGTCGTATCTGGTAAATACCATTCTGTCATACTCCGACTCGCGTGCCTGTCACGCTCCACTTACACGTGACTTCAGACGCGGACGCGCTTTGTCAGATTTCATGTATAGATCAACGATCACGACCAAACAAAACTTAGAGGATTTGATCTCACGCGCCTTCTCAATTGACTTACAGAAACGATAAGATTTTACTGGGAATTATGTGTGGTACTTTCTGATTGTGATCGCGAGGGCATAGTGGAGCTGTGAAGCCTCGTCGGCGCCTATCGAACGCGTCTCGGGCTGTAAGCGTGCATTTCCGCGCTGGGCGAAGACCCTCCGGCCCCAGTGCATTCCACCACACACCTTTCTTCACCTTTTCCTCCCAGGCCTCTTCTCCTCTCTTCCCCTCCCCTTTTCACGTCCCCAATCTTTCTCTCGAGGAGAGCTCTCTTGCTTCTCTTTCATTTCCTTCCAATTATTACTTTACCCACGCCTTGCTCTAGGTTACGCGGTGACGCGAGTCCTTGAGCTTGACTCGCCTCTCGTCTTAAGATTAAAAAAAAAAAGGGAGCTCGTGTGGCTTGGTCACTTCCTGAAGCATCATGGATTCATCACCGTCAAGGATGTCTTTGGGCCCGGCCGCTGGTGTGAAGCGTCCGGCGTCTTTGTTGCCTGCCTTCGAACCCTTGAGCTCATCCCCCTCTCTTCCCCGGCCCCAGAAGCGTGTGGCACGCGAACCAGCTGTCACCTATCCCACCCCGGTCCCGACATCGTCAACCCATATAATGTCGTCTTCTCCACCAGGAATTGCTGCTGCCCATCCCTCGACGCGTCGTACCTTCTCTGCCGCCTCCGAACGTACTCCCTTGTCCGCTGTGCCCACCCTCATGCTGCCTGAAAATGGAGAGCCTATTCTCATGGGTCGATCAAGTGCCTCGTGCCACCATCAACTTGCTGCCAGTCGAATGATCTCTCGCGTTCACGTCAAGGCAACTTATAAACCCGCACCAAATCCCTTCGACCGGGATAGAGTTGAGATTATGTGCATTGGCTGGAATGGGATCAAAATACACTGCCAGGGCAAGAAGTATGATTTGGCCAAGGGCAAGACATTTACCTCGGATATCAAGGATGCGGATATCATGATTGATGTGCATGAAGCTCGGGTTTTGGTGCAATGGCCTCGTAATGAAGCTGATAGAAAGGACTGCCCATCCACCGACTCGGAACAAACCTGGGACGAAGAAGGCACGCCAACTCAGAAAACACATTCTCGTAGGGCGTTGCAGGATAGTCCTTTCCCCCAGAATCAACGACTGGCTTCTCCCGTCTCGCCGTCGCCCGCCGTGCAACGAACTCTGCCCCCATCGTCCCCTATCTTCACACCCTCTCGTTCTCGTGCTGCTGTTGTGGTTTATGAAGATGGCCCGTCTCCTCTGAAACGTCACAATACTGTTATTGGTCTCACTTCGCAAAGCGCTCGACGTGCCAGTGCTATTCTCCAGAGTGACCTGAGTAGACCCGATGAGGACTCGGACAATGATGAAGAAAATGATCCTATTGTGCACTCCTTTGGCCCCTTCGGCGATAATCTGCTTCCTCGTTTGGCTGCATTCCGTGCCGACGAGTCGCCCATTCGCTCTGCAAGGCCGCCACGCAGCTTGCTGCCGGCCCAACCCCTCCAGCCCACTCTCTCCCCAAGACAATCCGCCAAGGTCCCGGAGACCCGTGAGAATAGCGAGGCCACACCCATCAAAGAAAGATCTCAGCAGGAGGAGGAGGGCTTCGAGCGGGTTCGCAACCACGCCGTAAACCAACTGGCCTTCTCACGCCTCTCCTCCACGCCCTTCTCGACCATCTTGAACAATCTTCCTCCTTCGTTCTGGAGATCCAGTGCAAGTGGCTCCGGTCCATCTCGCGCGGAGATTCGGTTCATCCTCGAAACCACCAAATGTATTGGCAAGGTTGCTCGTGAAGGCAAGGATGCCGCTGGCAAGCCCCTTGAAAGCGAGTTCTACTATGTGCCAGATGACGACGATGATGACATGCGCCGCGAGACGGTGGTGAATAACTTGCGGAAACCCGGTCTTCGCAACTGCCGTAAGCAACACAAGGTTTGTCACTCTTTCCTTTCTTCACAAACTTTCGACTGACGTTGCACAGCAATACTTCTGGCGCAAGCCCAAATAGATTATCGGTCTCTTTTGGCCTTTCCATCGCTGGATAGGCTTTCTCAGTACATATTTGAAGTGTTCTTGGTCACCCCTTAGATGTTAGGTGACTTGCATAGCGTGGCGTGAGGCATACCCTGATTTTAACCTAGCCTTTATCTCTTTATTTTTTTTGTTCGTTGTTTCAGCACGAAGGGCATATCGCAGTGTGTGATTCCTTTTGCGTCCATTCTGAGGAATGTTATGTGTGATGGTTCCCTGATCTCAACGGCTGTTTCCCCTGATATTCGTCTCTGATGACTTGCTCCGTGTGCTTATATCATCAGCACCACCTGCAGTCAACCATGTACCTTATTGTTTTATCCGTGTGGTTTTCTTTGCCTTTCGAGCTGTCATGACTTGTACGTTCTAGCTTGCTGAGTGTATCAAAAAGTATAGTTAATGCTGTTATCCAATCTGTAAGCTGGCCATTAGTAGAAACATAGGAACATTGGGGATCAATTCATCAACATGGTTACCGTAAAGGGTGATAGCTGTACATTCTATGGCCAAGAACCCCGTATATGGTAGTATCCAGTAACGGTAACCAGTCGCCACCAGACGTCAGACCCCGCATTTATAAACTCACTTGATCCCTTCTTATGTCCGTATTGACTGAAATTATTTGTCAGTCCTATTAAGCACTTTATCATTTCCTCACAAGGCTTCCACCTACAACACAGAGCCATGATGCAATCTACTACGCACCAAACATCATACCCAGATCGAACCAGAGAACAAGGGGTTTCTTCACCACCCGTTATCTCTAGCGAAGAGTCCGAGATCTCCCATTCCACCCAGGATCCTGTATCTGATCAGCCATGGGAGCCAAAATTTGACCGTCGACAAAGCTGGAGTCATCAAGATCGCAAACATGAGCTGCAGGAGAGATTACTAGGTGTGCAGGAGGGGACCGAGACGGGATTTTCTGAGGAAGGTCATGA